CCTGCAAAACCTGGGTTAAATCACGGACCAGTTACAAAACTCAACCCTGCTCCAGACCAGGATTGAGATTTTCAACCTGGGTTGAAACTCTCGCCAGGGTTCAAAACAGTAGTAACTCAGCGAAACAATACTTGGTTTGCACGAAACAAGTGTGAACAGGGATGAATGCAGGGTTGAAAAATACAAAAACTCAACCTGCGGCGGCACTGGGTTCGCCCAGGGTTAAGTTCAACCTGGGTTGAGTGGCTCTAGTGTGAAAAGGCCTGTAGATTCTGGACACTACATGTATATGCACCATAATACATGTACATTGTACATGTGTGCATAGATCCCTTGCTTTATGTTAACATAAATTTGTAATGGGGCAAGCTGTCCCAATTCTGTTGCAACCTGACGTGCATACAGTATACATGTACATGTATGTACATGAACATGTACTTGTACAGTGGGTACAATATACATGTACATGTTATTAACACCTGAGTACCGTAGTTAGTTGTAAAGACCTCACTAGTTAGTTGATTACCTAGTTACTCAAATAGCTCGTAACTAACTGGAGGTTCGGTGTGAACGACCATGTACTGTATGCACATGTACATGTACATGTACTGTAGGCTTTGCTGAGCAGACTGTCCCCAGCATTCATTATAATCATGTAAACCCTGGCAATAACATCAATCTTACTGAGCAATCAAATCCAGAATCAAATTTATGATTTTCCGAATTCAATGCATCATGCCCCCTGGTGGTACACAATGCACGTGTAGGGGGTCTTCCCACATCTAAACGATGAGACTGTGGAATGGAGGCTACGTGTAGTTCAACACCAAACCGCTGAATTAAAATAAGGAAAATTGAATGTACAAAGTACTGCAGCTGCTGTTGTTCACGCCTTGCTGGTTCTGTATTGAGCCGTACATGCCGTGCCACCGGGCAGCGATTAAAAGTGCAGATGCTGTCTGGCGCATGATCAGATTTGCAGGTTGTTCTTCTGGTTTGATGGTTCAGCCATGAGGGAGGCCAAGTGGGAATTCTGACAAACAACGCAAGCAAATCGTTGGGAAAACCATGTCTTTTGGTGTATTTTTTTTCAATGTTTTTTTTATGTACATTTGTGAATTTTGCTCTCATGCGTGCGTGCAGGATTCATGTGTGATGCTTGACGCGCGTCCAAATCCACCAACTGCACGCAAATCGTGACCTTTCTGGGATTGACATTTTTCTTGAGTTGACTCTTAACATTCAGTTACTTTCCAGCTTGATGCGTTGCGCTGGCGATCGTTGAAGTGTTTTCCTTTTCTTGAAAGTACTTTTATTTCCCGAGAAGTCTTTCAAGTCATTTGAAATGAAACAGTCTTTAAAAACATACACAGGCTCTCAGTGTTTTAGCCAATGCTTTTTTTGTTTGAAAGTGTCTGTTTCGTTGTTTCAAATGTATCTGTAACCACACAAGTTGCACAAATGTCATGTCATGTGGAACGGATACAAATGACTCATAGGCACAAGTACAGTACATCTAATGTTTTGTATAATTTACAGCTTTTTATAAATTGGACATTTATCCTGTGAGCCAGAAATTGTTCTACTGGTATTTTCCTAGTGTACAGGTACATGTACACATCTGATATGGATACATGTGCCATATTTGCAGTACAACTTACAAATCAGTAGTATGAATGTCAACCCAATAGTCATTGAAGCGTTTACACTCGTATTGATTAATGAACAGTCGTTTTATTTAAACTACAACAAGTGTTATTGATGAGCACTGTAGTGCATTTGTAATTATCTCAGTACAGGTGCATGTACATGTACATGGATATATGTACTGTCCATGCAATTAAATACGGGTATTGCACACTTATACAATATTATGTTACTTAATTAATACAAAGCAAGCCAAATTTTATGAGTGATTTTACAGAAGCTGTAGTATACCGGTACATGTATGTGCGTGTAGACAGTGCGTGACGATAGATACATTTTCAAATGTACATGTACATGTACCCGGTACATGTTCATGGATATTACAATACATACATGTATGAATGCACCGTGTCAGAATATGTGCATGTACGTACATGTATACGTGATCTGTTACACGGTATCCTGTTGAGACATGGGTTTAATATGGAACAAAAGAATGAATACGTCTCCACAGCAATTTCTATAGGTGAATACATCTCCACAAGGTTGTCACAAAATATGGATTTTACTCAAAAACTAGGAATTTCCAAGGTGTGTTGATCTGTCGCAAATTGGAGTATTTTAGGGATATTAATTCCGAATTTCAGCCCAGGAAAGTAATTCTGGTTATAAAAATAGGAGCATTTTGAAACTTTCAGAACTTTCAAACTCGAAAACGTAGTACACGAGAACAAAGATATGACTCCTCAAGGATACAAATTCCAGTATACCAACTTGTAATCAGTTGATAACTTGATAGCAATTCTTGCATCATCTTGTTGCGTGATTTCATTAATAGTTCATAGAAACAATGACAGGTGCATAATATTGCATCATCATCATAATGTAACTACTGGTAGGCATGTACCATTGACACTGCCCCAGAATAGTTGTTTTGAAATAAGTGGCAACATTTTACTTTGGAATAAATGCATTTATTGGACATAATTAAAACAGTGTGCTGTAGCTTGTCTTCACAGTTGGCACCATTTAGAGCTGATGGTATATTGGCTTGCTGTACAAACAGAGTTCAACATCAAAATAGCGCATCTGAATTGTAGACGTGTACACACTGTTCTTTTTCCACACTTACATTGCAGTCTTATCTGTGTAAGTTTAAAAAAGGGCTCTTGTTGTGTGCGTTGCGTTTCATTATGAGTTCAAAATTTTACACATTTATTGTGCATCATCATTGTCACATCAATCTTTTATGGTCTTATCGTCATGTTAATTCTCACCATTATTTTCACGCTTGTCTGCTGTCAAGCTGTTTAACAAAACCATCCAGCCGTTGATATAATTAGAAAGCGCACTCCTGATTCTCACAGAGCACATATTTTAGGTCCTGAGCGTCTGAATTTATCATTCACATGTACGTATATCATGCCAATTAGGAGTGCAGTTTCCCAGTCTTTAACTAATCACCTTCTAGAGGTTCCTTCCTCCCTTGTGCTTCCGAAAAACATCTCCCCCTCGCCTCTTGAAATATTTATCATCGTCTTTACGACCGACTGTCTCTGAAAGCAAGTCCAGACTTGACAGCTGATAATTGAGAACTCTCAGTAATGTGTAAATTGCTGGAGAAAAACGTCTCTCTGCTTCTACTGTAAGGGGCTTCCCTATCAATACTGAGATCAGATGGGGGGGGGGGGGGGAGCACGTACAAAAAATAAATTTTAAAAACCTTCCAATATGTCCCTTGTGTTTTTTTCTGATTTATAAAATTGCTCTTCACATCGTTCATTGTGACTGGCTGTCAATTCCCTAAATCATAAACCTAGTCCTCCAAAATCAAGCAGGCGGTTTTGGAGGATTTTGGAGGTTTTTGGAGGATTGAGGTTGTATGATGTTGCTTGATTGTGTAGGATGTATTGTCTCATGGTCTTAAGCTGTACCCTGCATTACGTTAACAATGAACATTGTATGTTCAGCCATATGGAATTGAGGCCGAGATTATACTGGACATCATCTGAACTGCTTCTGGATATCAACTGCACTGCCTCAGTGATTGTTGGAGGATTTTATAGGATTGAGGCAGTGGTCTCCCTTCCACGGAACAAATTCAAGAAATAGGGAAATGATTTGCGGGGATCGATACTGTATTCAATCTTTACATGGTGGCAGTTGGCCTAAGTGCTTGGGGTTTAAAACCATTTTTTGTAACGTATAGTTTGCATTGAAAATTGTCTTCTGTGCTGGAACCTGGCGATGAAATTACTGCTCATGGTCAAGTTAACCACAAGCTGAGATATACAGAACGATAACCATAAATCCTTTCTTTCTGACCTCCATTTTGTTATAATATACACGTGTAGCGCAAAGATAAAAAAATGTACTGCGCAATGTCGTTTGCAGTGTTTTTGTTAATCAGATAAATGTCATCTGACTTTACCAAATGTCAGGGACTCAAAGGCCAAAAAAATTGATGACCTTTTTCTTTTGTTGACATTTTCAAAGTTTATCTTAAAATTATTTAGACTGTGGGGAATGTGGACAGAACGCCTTGACCTGCATGTAGGACATTTATGTTATTAATAAACATTAATATTAAGATAAAATTTGTCCATGAAGTGACCTTTCTCCAGATTCCCAAAAACCCTAAGCCGTGATACCATGATACCATACATGTATCAGTTTTTTGGTGACTCTCATTGTATTTAAACTATGCGTGCATACTGCATAATTCCACAAATTAACTTGATGGCAAGTGCATTGTACCTTGATGCCACATTACAATTCAGCTTAGTTTATGCAGCTCCTGGTGTGATTGCACTGCAAGGTGCCAGACTACAGCAGTAGTGATATACCGTTTCAATATTACGCAAAATACTGCAGTTTTCCACATCAGTGATACTATTATGCGATGCTGAAGACTTAATGATCCTAATAGAGTAAGCTGAGATATTTAATATCTGATATTGGCTGTAATAGCTGACAGGTTGAATAGCCATCCTTACTGACTAAATCAAATTTTATTCTCATTATTGGAGATTGAATTTGTCTCTGTTAGTGCAAGTGTCGCATGGTGTCTCTGCAGGCTTCTGCTCAATCCTGGCTTTCAAGTAACGAATATTTTCTTTGCAGAGCGTGAAATAAATCGCAAAAGAAACTTAGACAAAATGAATTAACACTTTTGAATTTAACCTACCTGTATCAAAGCTAGAGACTCCCATTCCATTGCTAACTTCCAATGCACTTACAAAATCATTTGAGCCCGTGAGTCTTTAGTTCAGACATAACGGGGTAAGGTATAAAACATGTCCAATGTCCGACAAAATTTTCAAAGTTTCCTTGTTTTTATTTTGGTTACCCAGAATCCTTAGCAAGGCAGCCAGTCATGGAGGACCATGGCGGTCCGCGAGTGGCCAACTATTTCGTGGTGGCTGGCATGACCAAGGACTCCCGCCCTCTAGAGGAGGAGATTCAGAGTGAGGGCCAGCGCAAGCCGCCGCGATCGTTGGCGCCGATCACGGACGTGGCTATCATCATCCGGGGCCAAGGAGAAAAGGTGATACACTACACAGGTTACACTAAAAAAAAGAAAATGTTCTTGACAGGCTTTCCAAACCTGAACACAAGAACCGTTTTTTTCCTCAAGATTTGAAAGATATAAAGAATTTGAGGTCTGAAACAGTTTGGAGTGACTGCATTGAGAGATCGAATGTTGCAGTTGTTCAGAGTCTGGTCAATGCAACTATACATTCTTGCCTTTCTTAAACTAAAAATCTATTTGGGTAAAACTGGGGCACAATTCTGAAACACCAGACTGAAATGTGTCAGGTTTGTGTCCTATATATGTACATGCAAAAAAGTCCAGCACAGCTGAAAGGAGAACCCTGCTGACACAAACACAATGAGTTTTGTACACAGCTCTTGGCAGTCATGAAAATGTTATTCTGCTGGTGACTATGGCACAGCTAGAAAGGAATGTTTCGGCTGGCAGAGGGACTACGAAAGTCTCGTTAAATTACCAACACACAAAAATCCTCGTACCTAATTTCTCATGTTTTCATCCTTTTTTTGGAACCATTTGTATTTTGTTATCAAATTTAAATTTTGGTAAAACTTTAACAGGATAAATGAAGGATCCTTAGCAAAATGCCTTGAGAGTTTGGGTTAAAACTTCATTTTGCCTATGGGTTGCAACCAAAGTCAAAGTAGAGATTGGTTCCCTAGGATATATCCGTTCATTTACACTAATGTATTTTCTCTTCCTATTTGTGGTTTTTCCAGCCCCCGCCAGGCTTCACAGTCATAGAGAACACACCCTCTGGCTTTGTAGCCGATCTCAACCATGGCAGTATTGGCAGCTCCTCCATCTTCCTGTGCTACAAGCGGGGATTTGACAAGCTTCCTCTCACCGACATAGGGTAGGCATTTGCAATTATTCAGATTTTTTTTCAAAAAGGGAAAGGTACTATTACCATTTGAATCAGTGTACGATTGAACCTAGAAAATGACAAGTGTAATTTTAACCTACAACCTCCAAACTGTTGTGCTGTGGTGCACTGTTGTTCAATGGCTACGATATCCAACTCATGTGCAACATGCGCAGTGGTGCATGGGTTCGAACCCTGATGGGGAACATAGTGTTTGTGTTCTTGGGCTGGACACTTTACTATCATTGCCTCTCACTGCCCAAGAGTAGAATTGTGCACATGTGATGTAAAGACCAGATTACGCTGACCGAATTGCGCTGATTGAGCTGCTGCATAAAAGTCCTCTAATATATTGAAGAAAGGGGATAGTTATTGTGAAGCACAAAGTCTACATTAGTATTTAAAGCAATACGTAAAAATCCCATAATGTACCCATGCTCTGCAAAGTGAACTGTTCAGTGCTGGTTTACTCTCAAAATAGGTCCAACAAATTCAGGGGTCCTGAAGAAAACCAAAAATCATCCGTGGGCAATATTTGCTTTTCAACTCTTATAATCTGTCAAGTTTAAGGCCCATACATGTTCAAGCATAATACAAGAATTTCAGGTATTGTGGTAACTTCTCAAGTGTCAAGAAAACATGTCCTACTTACGATCCTAAACAACTCTGTTGTTTACCGATGGATTCAACCAAGATTTTCGATCACGTAAACAAGGATGACAAATTTTATGGAGCGAGTATCATCAGGAGGTCGTGGGTTCGAGTCCCATCCGAGTGATTTTTTCCAACTTTCACTCGGGAGGTAACACACTGAGTATACAGTGTTTAAACGTCGGTGAAGGGCAAAAACCTAATTTGATTTATATCACCCCGACGCAAAATTCCATCTTATAAGAGTATCATCAGCTTTGTGCAAGAGGTCGAAATTTAAACGCCAAAAAACCCCCAAATTCTCACTTTCGGAATGTCCATATATAGCTAGTGGAAGGTGCGTGCTGCTGCTGAAAGCATCTGAAGGAATGCAGCATCACCCCTGATGTCATTGCACCCCTCTTCGATCGTATAATGCTCCAAACGATCAAGAAGGTGTGCAATGACATCAGGGTGGATCCTGCATTCCTTCAGAAGCTATTGGCCGCATCAAACACCTTCTGCCACCGTCTCCAGCACTGTATCTACATCAGAGGACACCCAGACAAAAGTAGCAGATTCTGAGAGTGAGTATTGTTTTTCGTATGGCGTTTACACACTCCCGCCTTACACAAAGCTGATGAAAATCGCTTCATAGAATTTGTCATGCTCTGTTTTCATGATCTGAAATTTTGGTTTAATTCCATTGGTAAACAACAGAGTTATTTAAGATCAAAAGTAGGACATGTTTTTTTTTATTTGACATGTAGTACACGTGTATATCCTCAAGGCTACAGGCCTGACAACAGAATTGGACTTCTGCTTCTTTTACCCCAATGATCAAGGGGAGGAAATCCTGGCCTTTCCTGTCCGGAATAACCCTCGGCTAGGCAGGCCGCCGCGTTTTTGTTGTGGTCAATTGACTGACTGTTCAGAGTCAAGGGAAGAATGGCTTGATACACTTGCATATTTGCACATCAGATAAGCATAGGATCATGAGCGTATCCATTACCCATAGAAACTGGACTGCCAGGTGCAACTTAAGCCTTTCTTAAAGAGCGGAAAGATTTTTTCGACATGTAATTTTGTCATTCCCTGGCCCAAGTATGTATGCTACTTGATTTTAATCCATTTTTGCTTTTTGGAACGCACGATTTCCGAAAATCCTCAAGCATTCTTCAGAATGGAAATCCTGATTTGTGAAATTCCTAGAATTTTTTTGCAATCTGGAAGTCTCCTGGCTACGTAGTCACTCAATTCCGCTGTTTGAATTTTTTTGGGAGCAGTTAGTGACTGTTACGATCTGACCATGTTTCATGTACAGTAGCAGGATGTGGGTTTCTGTATCTGTCGGTGCCAACTTCTGGTCAAAAATGATTTGTTTAGCCTGTTTCCCTGAGGGTGCTGATCTATTTATAGATCAATGGTGATAATTAAGGCAGTTGTCTTTATTTTGTTGTTATTAAGATATCTTCAATCCACTTTGCCCCAACCCAGCACCCTCTGTAAAACAACCTTACATTTTCCACAAAATCTGAAATTTTCATTACATTTTCTTGTTAGTATTCAAAATGAAACCCAGGTATTACAAATGCTTTTATAAAGTTTTACAGTCAAATCGTGGAAAATTAGTCAGGCCCCTTCCCCCCTGCAATGGTAAATTGCAACAAAATTACTTGCTTTTACCTTTAATTTGAAAAAAAAAAATTCCGAAATGACTCTTAACCCTTACATCTTACAAGTATAGGTCTCTCTCGAATGACGTCATTTCCTACAGACCAGCCATGTGCATTGGCATTTTGAGCGTCAACTTGCATAACGCGCATCGGCTGCGTCGTATTTTGAATGCATTTCGAGCAACAAGCGCGCGTGTTTGAAACATTTTCAACACTGCACAATGCGTGCAATGCGTGCAGCTATGTTCTTCTTTGAGAGAGACCTACATGTATAATGTACCGGTATATGAATACATCCCTTCTGAATTGAAAGTGACCTTGGATCTCTAAGTGCTGGTTGTCATTGTGATCAATAGACCATTAGGGTAGAGGCCATAATTGAAATGGTAAATTGACTTGAGTCATTTACTAAGTGGGGCCATTCTGGGAAAACAGATCACTCAACACAGATATGACTTTGAGAAAAAGGGATCTGTGTGTCATAAGCACATCTGATATTGTATTCTTCTGTTCCATTGTGTGCATTTATTTCTTTATTTATTGTTTTATTACATGTAGATAGTATTTCAGGCAACATTAAAATACATGTACATGACAATTAAAATATACAATATTACAAACATTACATTAAAATTACAAATCACATCAATGCAACTGAGCAAAAGGACAAGCTTATATAAAGGGCTAAGATTCATGTACAAGAAACTAAAATACAAGAAACATAAAATTGTACCATAGCAGGCCTGCAGGATTGCCTAAAAGCTATAAAAAATAACAATTATTAATGTGTTTGAATGTCTTTCCAAGTTGTCTCCCCCAACTCTCCTTTCCTTACCGTTGAAGGGGTACTTGTACACAATACCCATTGAGGACAGGAAGTGATGATCTGCCAATTTGTGGTGCATTGAAAATACGCTGTCTGTCACTTTTTGATGCGTTGAAACCATCACTTCTTTCAAAAAGTCTCAACCCTAAAATTTCAGACTTATATTATTTTTCTTCTCCCCTCTCAGTATCCTCCACGAAGGGAAGGAGAGAGTCATGCCAGGCTGTGAGATAGTCAGCACCACGCCTAACGGCAACCCGGCCAACGTGAACACTAGGATAGGCGTCGGCAGCCAGAGGGCCTATCTGACCTACCGGCGAGCCTCAGAGACATCCCCCCACAACTCACTGGCCGTTATCGACATCTGTGTCATCCTCACAAACAAGGTCAGAATTTGTTATTAGATATTAGGTTTTGCCAATCACCAATTTTTATAAGCACTGAACACATCGGTAAAGGGCAAAACCAATTAATAACCAGACTTGTCTTGCATAGCCAAGCTGGACCTGAGAGTTTCAGTGCAGGATATTGTTTATACTCAGTGACTCAGTCGGTCAGTCAATCAGTCAGTAAGAAGACAGTAGGCTCGCTCTTCGGGTCCAGCAAAAATGTACATCCTACCGAAATAAATATGCCCTCCAACAAGTGGTTAAGACATCTGCACTAGTAAGCAAGAGGTCCTGAGCTTGAGTCCCACCCCAGTAGTCTTGTTAAGATTTTCTCGCCAACTCTCGGACTGCACTGTGTATATAGACATTACAAAAATGAATGTTGATGAATGACAAAACCCACGATTAAATATGCACTGTATTCTTAGTGTTGTCAGAGAGCTTGCGATAAATATTTGAAAGCCTGCTTACTAGTGCAAACATCTTGGCTTGCCTGACTGGCCTATTCCAATCCAATTTGACATTGAGTATTGCATCGTTGGTTTTTAATAGAATTTATCATGTCTGTCACAAAGAAAATGTAAGTTTAATATTGGGCTTTGCCCTTCCCTGACAAAATTGCTTTCTGGGGGCTTGTGTGGAAAACTTCACAAGATTACATGAGCGCTGCTCAAACAAACCCAAAACCTGTGGCTTACTAGTGTAGTGTGGATGATGCTCAGCGATTGATTCTGGAAAGGACCATAAAGTCGTTTTGCATTAGCATCATCAATAATAGAAGTTAATTTTGTTTCTCATGAAGGGGGAGACGCCGCCTCATGCCTTCTGCCTGATCAACAAGAACCTGAACAAAGGTAGCATGGTGGGCTCGGACGTCTACCTCTGCTACAAGAAGTCTGCAGTGAGAGGCAACTCGTTGGCCTACCAGTCAGGTATGCTCTAAGGATTGTGACTAGGGAGTTTAGGAAAACCCTGGCTTCAGTTTCATCTCTAGCTTAAGATTCAGAAGAATCCTGCCACATGGAAAAGTTTTATGATTTGGTGTCTTTGCAGCAGAGAATGGACCAATATTGCTGTGGTGTCCATCTAGTTGGGAGGCTTAAATCACAAAGCCAGAGACTGAAGCCAAGATTTTGTAAACTGCTAGGCAGCATGATTGCTGTGAACCTTGCTGAACCGAAGCGCGTGCCAGCGTTGACACGACACACACGCGCGCGTAGTTGCTTTAATTTGTCGGATCATGCGTGACATCTGATCGCGTAGCTGCAATCGGCTCATTGAGAACGTGTCTCGGATGCTGAATTCAGGTTCAAATCAAAACATGATTCAGCAACTTTTGATTTGAAATTGAGATCCTAGAATGTTGTTTTTCTTGAATATACTTCTTCAGGTTAGTTGTTCAGCACCTTTCTTTAGATTTTGAGCACTTTTGTTGCTTCAAAGGAACAAAATACACAAATTACAAATGATGGACTATACCTTTAAAGGTGCGTAGCACAAACAGATTGGCTTTGCAAGCAGAACGACTCCCAGTCGGTACATTACTGATGCTGGCGAGAACCAGCCTACCCTGCAAAAAATGCAATCATTGTCTGGCAGCCAATAATTCAAAATTGTAAAGTAATAATTCAATAACTAGATATGGGCCGATTTTTGTTGGTCGATATCTCATTAAAAAGTGAAAAACTGCTGTATTGCTAGAAAAATAGCAATTTAGAAAAGGAATCTATTTTTCGGGATGAAAGTCGAAAATAGCACGGGGAACTCAACTTTAATGTGTTCTTTCAAAGGCTTTAATTTGAACATGTGTTTGATACTCTTGCAAACATTGAGATGGCTTCTGAAATAAACACATGATATCTTTTAAGTTGTTTTCTTTCCCTGAGGGCCCAGCAATATAAACGGTGTCATTATCGGAGAGCCCTGTTTATCTGTCCTAATGGCCTAAGGGTTCATGGTTCCAGTGAGATAATGCAATATCTAAATGCCATATCAACTTGTTAAAGGACCATGCAGTAGGATTTTTTTCAAAATGAAGAGTTGCATTAAACCTTTTTGTCCTGTTCATTTAAATTTTTGGTCTTTTTGGTTTTTATGCAGATGTAAATTTCTTATATTCATAAAAATAATTATGCCATCTTAAGCAGAAGTTTATTTTGTTAAAGAATGGGATCCAAATTTGAGCTTTCTTTGTTTATTTCTGCAATAAGCCATTTGTGAGTAACCTATACCCTTTGGGATTTACATTTGAAAAACATCTAGTACACTGACTTGCTCAGAATGCTTGGCACATTTTAACTTTGAACCAAAGACACTCTTGCTAAAGACACTCTTGCTAATCACATGATTCGGGGCAAGCTCCTGCATAGTTACGTAAGAGATGCTCAGCACCAAGACATTGTTCACAATGGGTGAGAATGGCACAAAGACACCAAACCATGCCGGAGCTGATGGTTGCTTGCCCCGAATCACGTGATATAGTAACAGTCTTTTTGGTCAGGAGAATGCAAAGTTAAAACGTGTAAAGCATTGGATTAAGTCGGCATTCCAGATTTTATTCAAATTTCACTCGCAAATGGCTTATTCCAGCGTTATGTACATGTAATGTCCGTGACAGAGCTTTTAAGAGCTCAGTGAATAAACCTAAAAATGCATTTTTTCAAATCTAATACATCCATCATCTAGTGATGGTCAAGGAGATTACAGACTAGGAGTTTTGGATCATTTCTCTAAATCATTCATTAGATATCATGGTTAATCGGCTCTGGCATGGACATTACACTGCCTTTCATAACATTGGAATTGCTTAATCAAGGTTTTGTAGTAGATTACCAAGTCTGGTGAGCAACATTTCAGATCATTTTAGCCTCCTAATCTCTTGAAACAGGAATGGTTTAAAAATGTTGACATTACTACTTATACTGGTTAATGTGGACCAAGTAACATGCAAAAGATGCTTCCATGTTTGGGTTGGGTCTAGATACGTGCAGCAGTGTCAGATGTCAGGGAGTAGCTTGGACACTGTATCAGTAAATAAGGGGGAAAATACACTTAAAAAAAGAAGAAGTTTAAACTGAAAAATTGCCCTGTTTATATTTCATACTGGCACAGTTGTATATTTGCGCAGATTGTGGTTTAGTGTGAAATTAATCTCATAGCCCCTTTAAGCTTTGTACGTTGCACTACCGCTTTCACTGATAACAGCACAGACACCAGCAAGGTCTTGCCAGTACATAGTTTCTGTTCCAGTTAGAGTTTGCATTGCGTGATTTGTGTATTTCCTTGTGCCACGCGCATGTATTTTTAGCAGTTTTATTTATTGTTGAAACTTGTCCTGGGACATCTTCTTCCTCATTGATGTCACTACTTATGTCGCATCCTGCTGATAAGGGTGGCAATAGAAAAAAAATAATACTGAATTGGTTCTGATTAGAAAAGAAATGGCTTTGATTGATTGAGATAGGAAAGGGATTAGCATTGAACGATTCTGTTTGGGAAATGGATACCATTTAAATGGGGTTGATATTAGCATCCAGTTTATCAAAGATAGAACTGGGAAATTGTATTGATTTCTCCTGAGATAATGGCAAAGTGTCTTTAGTCGGCAGAATATATGAGTATTACAAATTAAAAATGCAGGTACATGTGTACGTATGTAATTTGTAATAATTTACATTGCAGATTGGGAAAAAGGTGTAATGGCCTTGACACCTATAAATTACCCTGATGGAGAAAGAAATATGGTACATGTATGTGATAGGACTTGATGAATTGGTTTCATGACGAAACGTTACATCTAGTCAGGCTCTTGTTTCAGATCACAACATGAAAAGTAACCACATTTGAAATCTTTCATGAAATAAACAAGTGCTTGCGATTTTGAAAAGATTCGCTAAAGGACTCTAAATGACCCCAAAGTTGATGGGTTAATGTTAAAAAGGACATTAAAAAAAATGACAGTGCATACAAGGAGTTCACTTCTAGAGATTGAAGGCAAATGTTTGGTGGCCCATGCTACATATAATTATTGCCAATAGCACTAATTAAGAACACATGTATACCCTTAGCTGTAATTTCACCTCTCCGATTGGCATTAGCACCAAAATACAAGAAGACCCCACAACAGGACCATCTTCTTTGGCAGTATACTGGGTATCACAAAGGCCAATAAATACATGTACGTGTACCTGTTCTGACAAATTACGTTTTTCTGAAAAAACAGTCTGTGCAATTATTTTACTTTCCTCATATTGATTTGTGTTTTACACTAACCCCTCCCTCTCTGGCCGGCAAATTCAGCTTCACCATCACAGCAGTCAAAATCGTTCAAGCGACTGTTTTTATCAGTTTAGGAATTGCCTTGTTAATTTGATAGTGCCATGCTTTGACTGCAGGTGATTGATATGCCAGCTGTACATGTACCAACCAGTTACCTCTTTTGTCTGTTGATGGAATTTGACGGGTCACAGAATGTGATCTGACTGTTTTTTTTTTACTAGCCTGTACACAAATGCATGGCAGAGGAAGTGGAAGATAGGTTTGACTGTCTGTGACTGATCAAACAATACGAATAGTCACTAAGTACCAACGAACCCTTATCCAACTGTTTACATCTACTGCTTGTCACTACCCTCAGGTATCCTAAATCGCTACCCCTTGGTAGACGATGAGGAGTTTCCCCTTCCAGAGTCCATCGCGCGTTTCTGCATGCCGCTGGGTGCCACCATCGAGTGCTGGTCCACCGCCCGCCACCACCCGCTGCCGGTCTTCTCCACGTTTGTCTTGACGGACAGCACCGGAGGAAAGGTAGGCTACCCTCCCAAGTCTTTTTATAAGAACGTCGATATTACAGTATAAGACTTTCGTGGGGAAAGGAATATCATTGGTTGAAGCTTATTTGAAGTGCTGATCACTTGTCTTGAGACTTGATAACTAGTGACTTGACAATGGACTTTGTGCATCAGTAGATGCTTTGGAGGGCTCTACATGCGCACACTGGTGTATGTGCATAAGCGTGGAGTACGCCTGACATATTTGATTGTAAAAGAGCACAAAGCAGCAGTGTCTTTGCGTGAGTGTCAGTCGGCAATGCATTAATGACTTTCCCTTCATTTTTCTTTGTTACGGCTGAAAGTGAAAGGGTAATTGTGCACTGAGTCTAACCATCAAAGATATCAATTAAGTGCACATAATTGATACGCTTAAAGGGAAAATACAACATTTGCAAACATCAAAAAATAAAACTACCAAATCATTTTGAAATACCTTGCTGGACTGTTAGTGAATGACAGTGTAAAGCATCCTGTAAAATCATGGCACCTGGTATACTGTCATTTTCTAGAAAAGTGGTATTTTTGTATCAATTTCCAACGCTGGTCGGCCGACCAGCGTTGGAAAACACTGTTTTTTTTCCAAATACTGGCCCCAATTGACCATCGCACTTGTTTGCAATCGATTACACACCTATGAACGGGTACAAGCCAGCTAGACTGGTTCCCTGACCTTACAATTCCCCAGTGTATGTAAACTGCTCTGTTTCTTCTTATATGGAGTCAGGGAACCAGTCTACAGGAAAATGATTGTTTTTCTTGGTTTTTATAGCATTTTCGAGCCCAACACCTAAAAAAAGTCAGTGTAACTATATTTGCTATATATTTCCAACCCCCCAATTCCATCCATTTCTGAAAATTACAGCAAAAGCAAATGATGTATATTCCCTTTAAGCAGTGTTGTAGTTGGTTCCATAACAGTTCTATCACAAGTCCATCGCAAGTCCATCCCAAGTCCATCACAAGTCCTTTACAAGTCCATCACAAGTCCATAACAAGTCCATAACAAGCCCATAACAAGTCCTTTACAAATCCATCACAAGTCCATCACAAGTCCATCACAAGTCCATCACAAGTCCATCACAAGTCCATCACAAGTCCTTCATAAGTCCATTACAAGTCCATGACAAGTCCTTCACAAGTCCTTCACAAGTCCTTCACAAGTTCATGACAAGTCCTTCACAAGTCCTTCACAAGTCCATCACAAGTCCATCACAAGTCCATCACAAGTCCATCACAAGTCCATCACAAGTCCATCACAAGTCCATCACAAGTCCTTCACAAGTCCATCACAAGTCCTTCATAAGTCCATTACAAGTCCATGACAAGTCCTTCACAAGTCCTTCACAAGTCCTTCACAAGTTCATGACAAGTCCTTCACAAGTCCTTCACAAGTCCATCACAAGTCCATCACAAGTCCATCACAAGTCCATCACAAGTCCATCACAAGTCCATCACAAGTCCATCACAAGTCCATCACAAGTCCATCACAAGTCCATTACAAGTCCATCACAAGTCCATCACAAGTCCATCACAAGTCCATCACAAGTCCATCACAAGTCCTTCACAAGTCCTTCACAAGTCCATTACAAGTCCATCACAAGTCCATCTGGTACCAAGTCAAGTTGGAAGCTGTTCTCAAAAAACTGACGAAAGCATTCCTTTGTTATTGTTGATCTAAAGCCGGCCTCCTGCGATTTGCTTGCACCGTGACAGAACAAGGCTTGGTCAAGGCATTCATCGTTACTGTCCCTGATGGCATCTACAAAATGCTTTTCGTTCTTTGCCAGCAAGTGATGAATGCCTTGAGCAAGGGTAGCTCCGTCACGGTGCAAGCAAATTGCAGGTCGACATGAGGCTGGCTGAAATGCACAAGTCCTCACAAGTCAATCACAAGTCATCCATTCAGAAACTCTTCAAATGAACTGTTTCAAAGGCATTCCTTTGTTATTGTTCATCACCTGTTACTTCGAGACCAGACTTTCAGTGGACAGTTTGACTACAACACTGTGATAAAGTGATTCTCGCTAGCAAAGGTTAATTATTTTGAATTCCTGCCCGACAGTTTTACGGCGCCGCGGTCGCCTTCTACGAAGGCTACCCTGAGGAGAAACTTACCCCTCAACAACAAAAGGACCTGGGCCTCAAGCCGTTCAAGAAGAATAACACCAAGCTGACCTACAGCGTCCACACCAACAAGTGCGTCTGCCTCCTGTCCAGGTGGCCCTTCTTTGATGCCTTCAAGAAGTTCCTGACATTCATCTACAGGTTGTCGCTCTCCGGCCCACACACGATACCCATAGAACGGTAAGTTTTGGGTTGTTACTTGGTCTCATTTTTAGCTGTGGAAAGCAGCTCAACAAATGCTCATGTCTCTCTAAACGTCAGCCACAGCCTTGCAATGCGATCAATCACCTCGTCACTCAGGCCCTTAAAGGGAAAATACAACATTTGCAAACATCAAAAAATAAAACTACCAAATCATTTTGAAATACCTTGCTGGACTGTTAGTGAATGACAGTGTAAAGCATCCTGTAAAATCATGGCACCTGGTATACTGTCATTTTCAAGAAAAGTGGTATTTTTGTATCAATTTCCAACGCTGATCGGCCGATCAGCGTTGGAAAAAACTGGCTTTTTTTCAAATACTGGCCCTAGTTGACCATCGCACTTGTTTACAATCAATTACACACCTATGAACGAGTACAAACCAGCTAGACTGGTTCCCTGACCTTACAATTCCCCAATATATGTAAACTGCTCTGTTTCTTCTTAAATGGAGTCTGGGAACCAGACTACAGGAAAATGATTGTTTTTCTTGGTTTTTATAGCATTTTTGAACCCAAAACCTTAAAAAAGTCAGTGTAACTATGTTTGCTATATATTTCCAACCCCCCAATTCCATCCATTTCTGAAAATTACAGCAAAAGCAAATGATGTATATTCCCTTTAATGGGTCTGCACTGACTGCCTACCAATTCATGCAGTACTGGAAAAGCGGGTCACTAGGGTCCAAATCCTGATGTTTATACTGAAAACACTACTCCTTCCAGAAATTACATGGCACATCACGTCACACATGCACGAACACAAATGCATTGGCCCGCAGCTTCCGAGAACATTTCGAGATGGAGAAAAAGAAAAAAGAAATACGGAAATAAGAAAATCGTGATTAATGACTAGAGTAATATTTCAGTGATTGAACACTTGACAGTAACCTTTGATAATCTGTTGCATTTTTGTGGCAAAACTGTCTCGTTGAGGCAGTACTTTAATTTTATGTTTTTTTTCAGGATCTGACAGAATGGGGAACCTCTGTTGTTGAAATTGTTGAACAATGTTCAAGGCTGTGTCCGAATTACTTGGTTTCGGCTTGAAATCACACAAGCGCCTATGGTAGTGGCTGCAGCCACTTCCCATAGATCTGTGTGTTATTTCCAGCCGCATCCAAGTAATTTGGACACAGTCTAATACACAAAATGTATGAAAATACATGGAATATGTCAGTGTACTCAATTTCCTGAAGCTGCTAAGCAGAAAATAACTGCTTAACAAATTAGTGTGCTAAGCAAAAATCAGCAGAGAACCAGTCACAGGCAATATTTACAGCAGCACATTTTGGTCGGTTGCCCGTTTTGGCTAAGCAGATATTTTCCATGCTTAGCAAGTTTCTGTGCTTAACGATTCTGTGAAATTGTCCCCTGCTGGCCTTGGACCACACTTTCACAATCTACAGTAATATTTTTTTTCGTAGCACATACCACACCTGCATGTACATGTCAGGCATGCAACTTTTCCTTGGGTCTGCTGAATTCCTCGTTTTTGACTACCCAAGTATGCCATTACAAATGGAAAAACACTGTACAAAGTCTGGTGTGGTTTGGAATTTCCTTGGTTTTTTCCTCTTGATTCCCAGTTGCATGCCTGACATGTACATGTGTACATAAGGAACGTGACAAGATCACGGTTTGTCAGTGTTGGTCTCGGAGCAAAACAATGTTTAGACAAGGTTATTTGGCAACATCGCCAAGAGAGCTCGACTCATCGTCGTGTAGAACTTGGCAATCTTCCAGGCCAACAGACATTCTCCCTCCTAGCTTAAAGATGTATACCCGGTGCTCTTCAAAGAACTGATTTTTTTTTCTCCTTATAAAATTTAAATTTGTAGGCCTATATTTTGTTTCAACCAAAAAAACCCCAAGTGTATTAAGATTTTTGGCATCTACAGCCCGCTGCAAAGGGCTTTCATTTTGCACACAAATGAACCCGCCTTGCGAGAGCAACTATTGTCTGGCCGCCAGTAATTCCAAGAAATAATTGAAGAAATAATTTAAAGAAATGATTCAATAACTAAACCTCGGTGGATTCTTTCGTTCGATATCTCATTCAAAATTTACAAACTTATATATTTCTAGGAATATAGCAATTGAAAAAAAACAAATGTATTTTTTTAATGTGAAACTTGAAAAAAGCATGGGGGAACGCGTCTTTAAAGGGAAAATACAACAATTGCAAACATCAAAAAATAAAACTACCAAATCATCTTGAAATACCTTGCTGGACTGTTAGTGAATGACAGTGTAAAGCATCCTGTAAAATCATGGCACCTGGTATACTGTCATTTTCAAGAAAAGTGGTATTTTTGTATCAATTTCCAACGCTGATCGGCCGACCAGCGTTGGAAAAAACTGGCTTTTTTTCAAATACTGGCCCCAATTGACCATCGCACTTGTTTGCAATCGATTACACACCTATGAACGGGTACAAGCCAGCTAGACTGGTTCCCTGACCTTACAATTCCCCAATGTATATAAACTGCTCTGTTTCTTCTTAAATGGAGTCTGGGAACCAGACTACAGGAAAATGATTGTTTTCCCGGTTTTTATAGCATTTTTGAACCCAAAACCTCAAAAAAGTCAGTGTAACTATATTTGCTATATATTTCCAACCCCCCAATTCCATCCATTTCTGAAAATTACAGCAAAAGCAAATGATGTACACGTATATTCCCTTTAATACACATCAGCTCTACATGTATTTTTACAAGCCTGGTCTTGTTAGCCAAAGATCCTTCAGAAAGCCACTCCAGGGAATGGTTGGTGTATCGTACCTCGCTGATTGCAAACACTAGTTTGGAGGACATCCATATGCATGCGTATCTCTCGGACCCAAATTGCCAATCCAAACACATTGTCAATGTTGATTGAGATCCATCGCGCCTGATGGGTAGGCCGTGGGATGTGGATATTACATGGGCTGATACTGGCGACAGCTTAAGGGGAATTTCAGCAAATCAAAAAAAAGAAGAAGACAACTTAAGAAAAAACAACAACTTAAAACATTCATATCATATGCAAACTACTTAACCCTCAAGATGGAACAATCTCGGCACACAGTATTTCCAAGATTGACATCTGTGGCGCTTTTTCATTGGTTTCAACGGGCGACTGATACTTGGCTGCGCAGGTTAGGCGAAAAAAAAAAAGTCTCCGGTTTCTGGTATGCGCGCACGTCGCCGTAACCATGCGCGTCGGCAAAATGAAAAAGTTTTTTTTCAATGAAAGATGATGTCTCAAAACCACCAAACTCACTGATTTGACTGGAATCCTGCTGCTTCACAATTTTAACGTATGTTTAGATGGGGTGATGATCGAGAATAAGCTTTATGTGGCCTCTCTGGACTCCCGTATATTTGCGCTAATAAAAAAAGCCGCGTCGCCGCACCACTTTTTGGGCAAGCTCCATACCAGAAACCGGAGACTTATTTTTTTTGGCCTTAGATAAAGTTGGACCAATTTTTGGTTCCTTGGACATGTTGGAAAAAGCAAAATACCGGTAGCACTGTTCTTAGTAAGTCAAACAAGCTAATGTTGCAGAACTTTAGCACTGAAGTATGTGAACTCATACTACATGTAGCCTATGTTTTCAAAAAAGAAAAGAAATTTTGCTTTGCTTAATATCACCCCAGAATAAGCTAGTTCGGTATCTCGATGAAATAGACCATGTCAAAGGTCACTCGGGATAAAATCGCTGACGTGATGATACGCGATGTTACGCGGACTCCCATTCTGCTTGTCATTAACACTCGAGCGTCGTGCGACCGTCTCCCTGCACGTTCACGCGCCTTCGATGAGCGTTTGATTAGCCCGAATGACAGAAAAAAGAAATAACAGCCGGAAAATTGACCTGGCAGCTGATGTTTTTTGGAGTGATTCAGTATGTCAAAAAGGAAAAAACAAATCTTACCGAAACAATAGAATTAACACTTTTGAGAGTGAAAAAAAAAAAAAAAAATTATAAGAAAAAAGCAGAAAATTTAACTCAAAATCTTATCACCCAAAGCACTGAAATAATTTAGATTCCAATTATTTAAATACAATTTTTGAAACTGTTCAAAACAGTTTTTGTCATAAACGTCTGTCAACAACACTGCTAAGTTTGTTTGTATAATAATTATTATATTTAAAATGGATAAAAGCAAAGAGCACATTAAAGAATGGAAAATGTCTGAGCCTCGGTTATCTAAATGCGTTTTATTGTACTTTTAGGTAGATTATTTGTAGATGTAGCCAAAAGATGCCTAGGTTCCTTTATTTGGCCCCACCGGTTGAATATCAGCCGACATCGATCACGGTGCTCTGATGAACGATGCTACCCAAATCCCCCCTCAGCCTAGCGCTACGATCGATAAACTCAGAATGCCTTGATCCAATTACAGAAAAGGCTACAACCAAAATGCCCTGGTGCCTAAACCCCTAACCTGCTTCCCCCCCCCCCCATCCCCATCTCACAGTGTACACATCCTATATCCAACTCGCCTGCTATACAGAGCACGCAGTAGCCAGTTCAGCCAGAGGCTTACGATCAGTGGCGAAATCCACTTACATGTAATTGTTTTGAAAGGTTAAAGTTTGACTCGTGTATAAATCTTGATTTGTTCAGCTCGATGTTCCCTTGTTACCATGTAGAAAACCTCTTGAGATGTATATTATGTAATCTAACGTCGGGCCGAATGAATCGGTCGTCATGGATGAGATTCAATAAAAAGAAATACCAATCCATACTTTACAAGAATGGCAATGCGAGTTCAAAGTAAACTTGACGTCATTCAACATGAATAATATTCAATATTCAGCAACGTTTACTGCCAAACTCTCTGCTTAAGTTCAAGTCATGCAACGGATACAGACAAATCAGATGACACATCAGTAGAAGCTGTGCCTCATAACATTTGGTCAGAAAAGCTAACAAAGTACATGTAGTTTTCATTACAACTGATCATGTTCTTGGAATTCCCAGTCCATACATTATCGATAGTGTTTGAGGGGTTGGAACCAGCCTACCCCGTGAGAATGCATTTATTGTCTGGCAGCCAACAAATCGAAATTGTAAAGTAATATTCAACAACTAAACATGGACCAATTTTTCCAGTTGATGTCTCTTTCAAAAGTGAATATCTTTCTCCATTGCTAGAAAAATAGCAATTCAGAAAAGGAATCTGTTTTTTGGGATGAAACTCAAAAAAAGCATGGGGAACGCTTCTTTAGGGATGTAGTCATTAGAGGTTTCAAACTCTACAAAGTCCATGGAATTGGGGATACAGGAACTCAAAAATGGGCAAGACAAAAATTCAACGTACACGTCTTTTCCGAAAGTCTCTTGAAAAGTCGCCTTCCTTTAAAAAAAAAAAAAAAAATACAATGTAGATTTTTTTTGAAGTATGCTGAGTGTTATAATATGCACCTGTTACACTCTGGCACACAGTTTTAAATGTCAGAATAACAAGCCAGCCTGCTTTGATGATGCTAGTCATGTCCCTCGTAGCTCCCAAAGCGTGTTGCCCCATTAGCGCCGGGTCTCCTGGCTGATGTTGGCTTGACACACAAACACTGAATATTAAGTTGGACATGTACGTGATGCTGCCAAAGGCTACGAAAAACACTCATGGTTGAAGTGTTCTGTTTAGACATTTTTACAAATGTACATTGATCGAAAAAAATGTTTTGTTGTATTAGAATTTCCGTTCACACATACTGAAATGGGTCACCTGTGAGTATGTTCCATATGTCACAAGTTTTTTTTTACGCATGCATAAATTCCTGTTACATGTATGCATAATTACAATATGTTGTCTGAATGTCATATAATTAGTATTACCGTACTGCGCATAGCAAGTGATACAATTAATACAAATGCCTCCAGGAAAGGTACATGTAGTATCTGTAGTATCAAAAGTCATGAGATTTCTTTCCAATCTTGCATTTCATGTTATTTTTTTGACGAGTTGGGTAAAATTGTGTATTAATTCTATCGTGTCCTTTCATTTTTCAATGACAGTATAACAGTCTTGTGCGTTGGTCAATCTATAAATTTGTGGTCCAAAGTGTGACATTTTACCTGTCCCTGTTACCGGTACTTTACAATGGTTTATTTGCTGGGTTGGTTACAAGTTTGCTATTCATAGTCACTCTTGGAGGACGACTACACTAAGGCGTGCATCAGAATTATAAAATCATAGATGTCAGATGTAACAGGGACAGGAAAAAAAGTGGACCCCAAATTTATAGAATGACAGTATGTGTAAGTCACTAAATCCCTACGCATGCCAGATTGTCACATTTAGAGTCAATGGTCCTGTCTGTCAGCCTTGGAACTTTTTTAATTGAACATGTATCCCATCAATATATGTGTTGACTTTCCTCCATTTTTCTGTCATTTCAGACACATCGCTCACTTCATGAGCGAAGTCCCCTTCCCCACCGTGCAGCGGCCAAGAATTCTCATGGAGGTAAGCATCTGCTCTAGCTCTCTGGATCTAACTTAGTTCCTCACTTCGCGTTATCAATGAACGGTTGAAACGAATCTGTCATCGCTGTTTGCTTTTGAGGCTAGGCTGTCTTTGCACGACAATTACTGGGTGTGCAGAAATGCCAGTGGTCCAGAAAAACCTGTCACATTGTGTCTAATGCTTCAACATTGACATTGCTTTAGACATTACTTTCGGAGGTTGGGGTGAGGTGGATAAACAGTATGGGACGCGTGTATGAAAACGACTGAAGAAGACATAACATACGAAATAGTTAGCAGTTTGGAATTTGGATAATATAGCATCTGATGGCTCAACTTTGTTGTTTTCTTTATCACCCGTTACAACATGGCATCATTTAAATGTACTGGTTCGCCTTGTGTATTTTGTTTATCATCACAAATTGTCTTTTTTTGTCAATATTCAGCCTGCTTTGGCAAATAAGATATTTAACACTCCTATGCAAAATGCACATTCTGTGTCAAGCTGTCCTTTTCAGTCAAAATCAATCAAGTGATTGTTTTTACAGTTAACAGCTCCCAGCCTTTATATACATGTAGCAGGATTGACTGGCTGTGACTGTTTATGTAAATTGATACAGCTGTGCTTTGTCTAGTAGTGGAGGTGATGAGCCAGCTGTGCAACCACTTGCCTGCTTCTCTTGGTTGCCTGAATTTGACTAGTCACAGTGCTTGCTTGAAATATGATCTGACTGTTGGTGACTAGCCTGTGTAAAAGGCATGGCAGGGAAAAAGGATTGTTGTTTTTGACTGTTTGTGACTGTTCAGACAGCAGGAGGATTAAAATATTTAAAAATTAAAAAGCCCACAATATATTCTGATGTTTTCTGTTGGATTATTTCAATATAACCAAACTCCAGTCCACGTATGATGGATATCCTTTTTCATATATCCAATAATAATTAAACTCGCTTTTGATTTCAAATACAATGCTTATTAAGATTATTTAACAGAGACCTGAATCGACATGCATTTTACTTTTTTTCTGGTATGGATAAATTGATTTGATCATATTTTCATATTGTCTGAGTTGAGGGGACTTGAATACCATAATGGCAGTCTACCAAGTGAGCTATCCCACCCTTCATTGGCTGTCTCAGAATTTGTAAAATTTCTTTGATCAGGGTACTATTCAGAAGCCATAAACCGGTATATGCCATACAGCCAGGGATCACACTCGAAAGTTACATTGTATGATGCTAGCAACAGTAGCAATGCTGCAAACTTAAGAATTTGCGGGGATCACGCAGAGAGAATGCATCTGTTTGTATGAAATCACGAAATCATCGTGAAATAATTCCTGTCTTTTTTTTGTACCTCTTAGCTTGGTCACGACTCCCTGATCCTAGCCCAGCCCCAGACCTCTCCCATGCCCCTCAGCGGTGCCTCCTTCTGTGCCATGCTGCGCAACCTGGCCCCAGAGAACAGCATGAACATGCTGGCGTTTGTGCTGCTGGAACACAAGTTGCTGCTGCATTCACTCCGGCCGGCCTTACTCACGGGGGTGGCCGAAGCAGTGGCCGCGGTAGGTTTGCCTGTGAACATGTTCAACATTTGTTTATATTTTTGGTGTCCCCCATTTTGCAGTCAGAGCATTGAACAGACTTCCAGGTGAGGAAGGGGGAGGGGGAGGGGAGGTGGTAATAGTTAATGTTCGTGACTCATGATCACGGGGTTCAAATCCAGCTGCTTGCCGTATGTTTTGTCCTTAATCAAGGCACTTAATCCACACCTGCCTCTCTCCACCCAGGACTATAAATGGGTACCGGCATTAATTGGGGAGTAAGCTGTGATACACTGGCATCCCATCCAGGGGGAATAGAAATATTCTCAGTCATTTTACACCAAACAAACCTGAGATAAACACCAGCCTAATGGCCCATATGGGCTCAGGACAGACTTTGGAAAGAATTCCATACTGGGCCACCACTCAGACCTCCTGCACTAAGCCTATGGGCCATGACAGATAAAGTTAAAGAATTTGAAGAATGTTTGCACTCCTTAAATAGTCTTTCTTCATCAGATTCACAACTTTTGGTACTTTTTAGATCACATGAGGGAATATGAGTGGTGGCCCAGTATGGAACTCTTTCCCAGACTTTATTTTCCGCTAACCCTATCCATAATTTTTTTTTTCGTGCGTCTCTCCTATCCAGATGATCTTCCCCTTCATGTGGCAGTGTCCCTACATTCCCCTCTGCCCACTCAGCCTGTCGGCTGTCATCAGCGCCCCGTTACCTGTCATCATCGGCGTAGATTCACGCTACTTTGACATGTACGAGCCTCCGACAGATGCCACGTGCCTGGATATCGACACAAACAGCATACTGCAGTAAGTCTTATGGTTGCACACTCTTAAACGACTGATTTCTCAATCCGTGGTCCCCTTTCTCGCTTTCTGTATTATATTACAATTGTCCTTTTCTGTTTTATTTTGTTTTATTTTGTTTTATTTATTTTGACGTGCGAAGTACATTTTCTTAATGCCTTTTGAAAAGAATTTAGTTAAACCTACATTATCCTTCACTATTCTTGTCACATTTTGTTTTGAGTATGGCTTCAAGGAAGGTGAAAGTAAACCTGAAAACTGTTTGAACAAAAATGACTGAAGGCAATAAAAACTTGAGCTGTCTTTTGCTTTATTAATGCTCTTGCAGTCTAATTTATTGCCATTGGCTGAATGTAATTTTACACCTCTTTTTTTTTTTTTTTTTTGTTCTCATATTTCATTGTCACATTTCATTCTGTGTTCATTTTATTCCCTCCAAGTCATAAACTGCCCATGGAATCATCAGTGTATGTATTTGCCGGCTAAAAGTCTCTTTTTTTTATATTAAGAATCTGTAATCATATAAGATAATGCCATAGTTTTGGTGGGATGCTTTTGTGATGCGAAAAAGAACTTGCAAAAGCTTGATAGTGGAATTGGGCGATCACAAAGTTTGCCATCATAAAAATTATTGTATTGCGATTTTAAGGTTGCTGAATTGAAATTCAGTTTTCGGGTTGCTAGGTCACAGAGTGTACTGAAGTCTATCTCAAGTCAAATCACAAGCCCCGTTACATATCAGATGGCACCTTAGTCAGAAGTGAATAGGGTTGAAAAATGTCAAGGAATGCCTTCGCCATTATTGATTTTTGTGGCTTGTGGCGTGACTTGGGATAGGATGGCTTGTGATAGACTTGCGAGGGACTCTTGTCAAACTTTCTGTAAATGACCAGTGGGTAGAATGACACCTACATTTGTATCTTATCACTCTTTAATTGCCAAACACTTTACTGCTCTAGGCCGTTCACATTCTGCAAATGGCATGACAGTCTTCCCAGGTGTCTGTAGATTGGGGCTGGTGTCGGTGTTCTGATGCTCTGATCAAACTTCTCGGTAACGGAGGTGATGGTTTAGTAGTCTGTAGCTGGAAGGGTGTTTTTTTCCTTGGCAAACCTTAAAATATCAAGAGGACAGCAATTGTAAAATCTCATTTCTTTGTTTTCTTCTAATTCAGATCTGAAGAGAGGAAGCCTGTAACGTGGAAAATCTTGCCAAAGGTAAGGTTTCAATTTGCATTTCAAGTTTAAACAATTCATGGAAATGGACCTTAAAAGCCAAAAAACAGTCTGGAAGTGTGGAATACATATTGTGTAGGACTTATAGGTCTCGTTCAAATGACGTAATTTCCTACATACCATCCACGTGCATCGGCATTTTGAGCGTCAACTTGCATAACGCGCATCGGCTGCGTCGTATTTCGAACACATTTCAAGCAACAAGCGCGCGTGTTTGGAACATTTTGAACACTGCACAATGCTTGCTTGATTGCGTAAAATACGCAGTTGCAGTTCTCCTACATAAATGGCCGTCATTGAGCGAGCCCTATTATTATTTTTTTTAACACTAATCACCCCATCACTTCAAAATCCAACTGCGTGTTTGGTTTGATTCTGGAGTGAGTACTGCTCTAGTTCATTTATTGTGCTTTACATGGGGTTAGGCATACCACCATAATCAGAGTCCAACAGTTTGGGTGGTTGAGTTTACCATATGGTGTTTGATTTTGCAAGGGTGAGGAAGGTTCCTAGTAAATCACTCAAGGGGTTTAGGTTCAAGGATCAGAGTTACACCATCGCTAGTGTTCTCTCTATGAATTCATTTTTTTTACAGCAAGCGTTTGGTTCAAATTTGATGAAACTAGGTTTACATGTACCCATAACGGAGTGTGTCTTTCGGAGATCAGTTCTCAAGTAAGATCACATTTTTTAATTTCGAATTTTATCGTTTTGTATTTTAAAATTAACAGAAGCCAGCTAAGCGTCTGCACAGCATGCTGAACAAGCTGTATTATGAGCTGTGTGAGTCCGGCATCGGCGACGGCGTGTCCGACGAACAAGCCGTGGAAGTGGCTCCCTTAGAGGCAGACTTCAACCGCAAGAAGAAACAGGTATGTGATACAGGGTACCAGACAGAGTAATGTTTGTGATATTGGCTGTCAAACTGGGCCCACACTAAACAGTTAACCCAAACCCTCCAGGGTATTTTGGCTAGAAACCCTGCCAGATGCAGCAACATGCAATACTTGATTAAAATGACAAGCCTGCAATGCGCAGCAAGATCCATCAGGCCAAGAGTCTCCAAGGCCAAACTGCCTCAGAGTCTGCGGTCACCGAATGCAGCAGGATACAACCGTGGCATTGTTCAATGGGACTAGCTCTCATTGTCACAGAAGCGGCTGTTTATGCACTGGTGTTGGTAGCTGAAGTGCATAAGTGTTTGGCTTTAAAGGGGAGATGTAATGAATGTGTGCATTCATAGGGTTCGTTGAACTGTACCACTTATAATTATGCACAGCGCCCTCTATTGTCTAGTGCACATAACCATGTGAGTGTGATGTCCATGTAGGCAGCCATCTGGTAGACATACAATACATAGCCGGTAGCTGGCTCAAACTACTTGAGTGTTCTCTTTATTAAATCCAATCCGTCTGATCGTTACATGGTGTCAGAAGTGGGATGCCACAAAATTAAGGACGTTTCTTCTCTCTGCCATAAATTGTTTTTTTCGTTCCTTCTCATTCAATGATTGCAAAAGGAGCACAGGATTCAGGAGGCATTCCCGACCTTCATATCAATGTTAAATATAAAACAACATCTCCCCAATGCAAGAATTCATTGTCATCAAAATTAATATTTTGGAGTAATTCTCATATTTTGACAGCTGCAAATGGAGCACAGGATTCAGGAGGCTTTCCTGACCTTCATGTCCTCCATGCTGAAGGGTTACAGCCATAACCTGCTGCCCATCACCCAGCAGCCTAACCACAGGGTGACTGATGCCAGCGCTCGCTTTGATCACCCTGGTAAGTTCATCATTGTCACACTGACAAAATAATTATCTTATTTGACAACTTACAACGACGAACAGAAAACATAAAAGAACCCTGTACTTTACTTTTGGCATGTATAAGTAATTATACCAGTAAATAATTTGTAAACACTGCATTTCTGTTTGGCTGCTTTATAAATAGTATTTTGGCTAAAACAGTATATTCTTTCCTCCTTATCTTGTGGATATTAAGATTAAGATATATATATTAAGATTGTTGTGGTCTGAACTAAGTTTCTTGATGCCAACCAATGTTTTCATGCTAAACCGAAACAACCAGGACATCTCCTATTTTGATATAAATTTTGAACATGCTGTATGGAGTTAGGGTTAATCTACGTTAATTCTATTGATTTATTATCAGATACTATATCTGTAGAAAAATTAGCAATTGTAATTTGGATGTGTGATTTTTAATATATTGCCAATTTTGGCGTACTGAATTTGACTCTTGAAGACAGACCGAGGAAACTGTCTAAAACTTTGAATGAACGTGTTCTGTTCAGGACCACACAATCTTCACAAAAGGGATACGCATATAGGGTGCTCTTGCTAATACATCACTTATTGACCGTCCACCATGCAAACCTTCAAGTCTGACTGACTCTGAATTTGCTTGATGATGATATCATTTTCCCCTGGTTCCTTATACTACAGGCTTCATGAAGACGCGGGAGAAGACGTCCCATCCTTTCTTCAAGCAGTTCCTGAAGACGCAGATGTTCTACAAGTTCATCGAGGAGCGGTCCTTCATCTCGGGCAACGATGAGCGATTTGCCTTCTTTGATGAATGCATTGATAAGGTAGGGAGGGGCTTCCCTTGCACTTGCGAATCTCATTCGCTACAAATTGACCGTTCTTGGGATCTGTGCGCAAGAAGTCCCTCTACGGTTACAAAGTAGAGAGAGATATAAAAGACACTTGCTGGAGTTTGTTCACATCCACACGGAGATTAGTCATGGCATATTTTTCGTCAAGAAAAAAAATATTGGAAACAAATTCTTAAAGTCCACTTGTGAAATGCATTTGCAGCGGTACCTCATTAAGCCTAACTCCCCAGCATGATTTACTAGGAACCATACCCATCCTGGCAAATTCCAACACCATATTGGAAACTGCACCCACATATTTCTGACTTTGATTCTGGAGGTGTGCCAACCCAATGTAAAAGACTGTCAGTTTAGGGGTACTGTACCCATCCTGACAGATTCCAACAAAACATGCCGCTGGGGTTTGATGGGTTGAGTTCTGTTAGAGTTAAGAGGTGTATTTGCTCTCCTAATTTTCCCACCGAACAGTGGCATTACTTTGGGGGCACATTCCCCCACATGAAATCTGGAAACAACCCCCCCCCCCCCCCACCCCTCCCCCTCTCCCCCTCTCCCCCTGTGCTGCCTGATCCAAATTCGGGGAACGGAATAATGAGATTTTAGGGGGTGTGCAAAATCGTATTAAAATTGGAGGATTCAGGATTGTTAAGGTTAAACTCAATGAACTCCCCCACAAAATAAGCCCCCTCCCCCTCATAGGAGTGGAGTCATGATTCTGATTCTGAAAGATTCTTTTCAATTCTGATGCAGAATCACACCAAAAATATTATGACTATTGTAACTAAAGCGATTTGTTTTTCTTAACCGCAGCTTGACAATAATGACGGTCGTGAGGAGGTCCAAATGATTGATGCAGAGGACCAACAGGGCAGCGAGCACACAGTATTCGTCACCCCTCCTGATGCTAATGGCTTCGGAAATGAAGAATACCTGTAGGCATTACCCCCCTAAATGTTTTTTTTATTAACATATTATTAACATTGTTGCTGTAGGGTTTTGTAAGACTTTGTCCAAAGTACTTGGCTACGGCTAACAATTGCACATGGGTCTATGGAAGCTGCTGAAGCCGCTTACCATTGAAACGTGTTACTGCTAGCCATAACCAAGTGATTTGGCACAGCCGAAGATATTACTAAGTGTTACTAATGTGCAAGCAAAATCGTTTTTTTTTTAAGGATAAATTTGATATATCATTCTTAGTCATATCGGGGCATTTTATGGTCATATGTTTCATACATGAAGGAGAATTATGAATCAAATTTGATTTACATCACCCCGACGCAAAAATTCCATCTTATGAAAAGAGAATTATGAATGCCAGAATTTGTGATAAAACTCCATGAGTTCAGGAGCCAATTTTGTGGATGAGCTAAGTTGAGATGTGTTTTTGAGCAAAAAACAAAAATTGCTTATTAAAATGAGATAACCAGGTGAATGGTAAAGCTAAGTTTGCTTGTGAGAGGTTCTCTAGTGGAATTATACTTGGCAGATAAATTTGCAGATTATATTCATGAAATTAGGCCCTGGTTCAGCGTCCCTCTAGAAATCGGAGTGTTCTTTGTTTTGGAGCAGTTTGGTGGAGTGTTTTTGAGTAATGTGTCTATATTCCAACAGATATGATAAGTTCCCACTTCTGAGACCGGAGCTGTTTGACCCCACCACGGCAGGCCGTGTGAAGCAACCCATCAAGACCCCACTCAGCGCCAGAGGCCTGCGAGGCAGCGGGCAGCAGAGCAGCCCATTCCCCAGGAGGACCAAGCATGAGATCAGGAACTCCCAGAGGATGGCCAAACAGCAGGCTGCGTCACCTGAGCAATGGGCAAGGTGGGTAGTAAACTGGGCGTAAATGGGTAGTGGGTAATTAAGTGGGCGTAAACAGGTAGTGAGTTTTTTGGGAGTAGTAATCAGGGCATGAGTGGTAGGTTATGGGCGACTGGGTGTGCTGACTGGGTATCAGGGACTCCCAGAGGATGGCCAAGCAGCAGGCTGCATCGCCTGAGCAATGGGCAAGGTGGGTTAGAGGGGTAGTAACCTGGGCGTAAATGGTGGGTTAGAGGGGTAGTAAACTGGGCGTAAATGGATTGTGGGTAGGGGGTTTGTAAACTTGGCATTAACAGGTAGTGAGTTGGGGGTAGTAATCTGGGCGTGAATGAATGGTGGGTTGTGGGTACTGGGTGTGCTGATTGGGTATCAGGATCTTCTGATGCCTGAACAATAGGCTAGGCGGATTCTGGAGGGTGGTAAGTTCGGTGTAATGGGTAGTGGGTTGAGGGTGGGTAATAAACTGGGCATGAATGGTTGGTAATGGGTACTAGGTGTGCTGATTGGGTATCAGAAACTCCCAGAGGATGGCCACGCAGGAGGCTGCGTTGCCAGAACAATGGGCAAAGTGGGTTAGGAAGGGGGTAGTAAATTGGGTGTGGATGGTGGGCTATGGGTACTGGGTGTGGGCTGACTGGGTGTTGGGAAAACCCAGATTATAAATAAATATTTTTCTGAATGTGATTTGTGTCTTTCCAGTTTCCTATTGGGCCAGTGTTACGCTCTCTGGTTCCTCCATCTACCCTCCTACGTCAAGGCCACCCGTTCAAAGACTAGGGCTCTAAGGACGGCCTTTGAGGTGCTGAAGAGGATGCAGGCACAGGAGCTACAGCTAGCTGATGAGGTGAGGTTAAGCTGCTTCTAAACACTGCCTTAAAGCCTCTCACTCAGATATACAGTCCGACATCAGCCAGGGTGTCAGTGGCCCAATGACCTTTGAAGCAAGGTCAACTCATTGAACTGGGCCAATTAGACTACAATGAAAGCAGCTTTGTCAATGTCCGAAGCTTTGAGTGTATTACCTGTCCTCATACATTTGTGTGATATTAGGTCACATCTCCAGTCTGGTAACTGATCTGCTTGAAAAGTTGAAAGGGCGGCACCTTTTGACAGATTTTTTTTCACGCAGTCCCTGTAGCTTAGTGTTACAATTGCCAAACATAGAATCAGTGTCAAGCAAAGAGAAACTGCTTAAAAGCAAAAGACACATTGGCAATTCCAGCGTTATGAAAGGAAGTGTAATGTCGGTGACAAATCTAATTAACCTTGATATCAAATGAACGATTCAGAGAAATGATCCAAAACTCCTAGTCTGTAATCTCCTTGACTATTACTAGATGATGGATGTGTCAGATTGGAAACAAATACATTTTCAGGTTTAACCAGTTCAAGAAAGGAACGAGGCTTGGGATTACTTTCACTTTACTTCAAGCCAGGCGGGTTGAAGCCATCACCCTTGGGCAGCACACTTATATATCCGGCCTCGCCTGCTGCGAGCGGGTCACTGACAGATATTTTCCGGCCTCGCTCCCTTCGCGTGTATCCGCCATCAGTTCCGAGTACCGTAAAACCTTTGCGGGTATACACGTCATCCGTCGCGAACTGGTTAATGACTGAGCTCTTAAATGCTCTGTCATGGACATTACATGTACATAACACTGAAATTGCCCTTAGAAGCTACGTGTAATGTGGCCTTTTTTGTGTTATCATGGACACTTCTGTATTGTTCAGTGGGATATTGATTTAGACTAACTAGTCAATGATCTGAGTCATGGGAACTTTAAGTGACCTCAAGGCTTCACTGATTGTTTGATTGATTAAAGATATAGTCCATCATTTGTAATTTGTGCATTTTGTTCGTTTGAAGCAACAAAAGTGTTCAAAATCTAATGAAGGGTACTGAACAACTAACCTGATGAAGTTTCAGCTAAGCTTCAGCTGTATATTCCGAGAAAAAACAGCATTCTAGGATCTCAATTTCAAATCAAAAGTTACTGAATCGTGTTTTGAATTGTTTTGAATTGCAGCTATATGCGACGTCGCGCACTGATCCGACGAATTATAGCACCTGCGCGTGCGTGTGCATCGTGCCAATGCTTGCGCGCGCTTCGCAGAATAACAAAATGAACTACTAATTTAAATTTTCCTACGGTGCGTCTTAAGACGCACCGTTGGAAAGGCCTTCTTTCGTTGATTACTTCAAAATGACAGCTTCCCAGAAAGAATAATTTCACAGGGAGTTTAGTTCCCTTACTATCTTTCAACCAAGTTTGTTTTTTCAACAATAATTACGCCAGCTCCTTTTCTGATGGCTGCAAATGATGGACTATAGCTTTTATGAATTGATTGATTGTTTTTTGGTTTTTAGGTTTGCTATCGGGTTCTGATGCAGCTGTGTGGTCAGTACAGCCAGCCGGTCCTAGCCGTCCAGGTCTACATGGAGATGAAGCGACGAGGCATCGAGCCCAACGCAATCACCTATGGCTTCTACAACATGGTAAGTTGACCTCTTCGCATAAAACTTGTTTTTGGCCAAAACTGTTAACGTTTCAATCATACCTGTGATGCCATGCCGACAGATAACTGACAGGCAGAACAAACACCCTGTTATTATTAGAAATAAATGTCAACACTTTTAAACCGCATGTATTTCAAGAGATATACATGGCACATGCAGTTCAGAACAAAACAGTTTGCTGAAATTTACTATCACATGACTACAACATCCAATTTTGTAAATATTTATGTCTCAGGATTTTGAGGCTTGCAAGGTTACTCGTCCTAGTTGTTCTGTACTATGATATCTTTGTCAAAATATCCCAACTCCCCTTTTTATTTCACTTGAGCTAATTTCATGGAGGTAGTAAACAGTGTGATGTGCAGTGGAATATGTTTGCCTTGTGGGTCCAAATTCTAAGGTAATTGCTTAGGAGCTAAATTTGTCAAGCAGTCTTGAACAGGGTTGACAGCTTCATTTAATCTGTCCCTGGTGAGGTTTTGTTAAACTTTACCAGCAGTACCAGCAGTGTTTATGCAGTACATGTAGATCCCAAAAAAACTTGTGGAGAAAAGTTCCCCGATCGGGTTTATTTCATCTGATAAAAACTGTTCATTACTTCGGGGAATCATACACGTAAACTTCATCAGCTACTGCTAGACTGAGCGGGACTGTTTACTTAAAGCGCCTTGATATCGCCGGCTGAGATACAATCAGGAAATTTGGGGAAAATTCAACTTTTCCAGGAGCAACTTTTCCAGGATTATTACTTAGATGACTATTTACTGTTCGAGATGCTTTTAATTTTGCCCAATCATTGCACATGGTTTCAAACATTTCTTACACAGGCTGTATTGGAGAGCACGTGGCCGGCGTCCGGCTTCAGCGGTTACCAGCAGTGGGTCAAGCTACGCAACGCCCTCCGTGCCGTCACGCTGTTCCGCCGCGGCCTGAACCACCGGCGCAGCATCTACTCGGACACCAGCAGCGAGGTGGACGTTGGCAGCGGCACCAGCGGGGACAGCGGGTCGTCAGATCCGTTGCCGGACAGCAAGGAGGATCTGATACAACTGATGTCATCGCAGGCCGCCAACCTGACCAGAGAGGAGAAGAGTAGTACCGGTTAGTATTTGCTGTACCGCCCCAAACTGCCCTGCCTGTACTGCCCCAAAGCGCCCCAGCACTGTATGGTTTTATGGATTCTTCAGGGAATAAATACAACTTAATACAGTGAAGTTCTGAAAAAAAATTGGGGAAAATGGGAAACTCTTTAGAGTAGTACCGGTCAGTAGTTGCTGTACCGCCCCAAACTGCCCTGCCTGTACTGCCCCAAACCGCCCCGAACTGCCCCAGCACTCTATTGTTCTATGGATTCATCAGGGAATAAATACAGTGTAATACAGTGAAGTTCTGGAAAAAAGTGGGGAAAATGGGAAACACTTTATAGTAGTACTGGTCAGTAGTTGCTGTACCGCCCCAAACTGCCCTGCCTGTACTGCCCAAAACCGCCCCAGCACAGTATGGTTTTATGGATTCATCAGGGAATAAATACAATGTAATACAGTGAAGTTCTTGAAAAAAATTTGGGAAAATGGGAAACACTTTAGAGTAGTACCGGTCAGTAGTTGCTGTACCGCCCCAAACTGCCCTGCCTGTACTGCCCCAAACTGCCCCGAACTGCCCCAGCACTCTATTGTTCTATGGATTCATCAGGGAATAAATACAGTGTAATACAGTGAAGTTCTGGAAAAAAGTGGGGAAAATGGGAAACACTTTATAGTAGTACTGGTCAGTAGTTGCTGTACCGCCCCAAACTGCCCTGCCTGTACTGCCCAAAACCGCCCCAGCACAGTATGGTTTTATGGATTCATCAGGGAATAAATACAATGTAATACAGTGAAGTTCTTGAAAAAAATTTGGGAAAATGGGAAACACTTTAGAGTAGTACCGGTCAGTAGTTGCTGTACCGCCCAAAACTGCCCTCCCTGTACTGCCCCAAATTGCCCTCCCTGTACTTCCCCAAACCGCCCCAGCACTGTGTGGTATTATGAATTCATCAGGGAATAAATGCAACGTAATACAGTGAAGTTCTGGTAAAAAATGGGGAAAATGGGAATCACTGTAGAGGAGTAGGGAAGGGAACATGCTGGTTTGGGGAACAATTTGACCCTTGAAAATATGTAGGCTTTGAAAGAAGTTCGAATAAAATGGACAATTTGCCTATTTGTTCAAATTTTTGCATGTAGCGTTGGCAATCCGTTCAGATAAGCTAAATATCACAGCTTCATGTTCATGTACTAATTGACCTCATTCATGCTGATTGACATATTTGCGTTAATTCACCAAGTAATCCAAGTTCGAATATCATTTCTAATTCGTTTTCCACAGCCATGTGCAGTATTAACTTTCCCATTTGTTATTTTTTGGGTCATAAGCACAATATTGACAGAAATGAAATTAAGAAGGTCTTCTTGGTTTTTTTCTGAATTCTGTGAAATTGAACACATTTCCAAATTTGTTGAAAACTGCAAGTGATTTTTTTTTTTCAATAAAAATTCAGGAAGAGTTACGGACGGCTTAACTATTTGTTCTCCCTTGTACTTGTTCATGCACAAACCGTTCATTCTCTGGTTACTTTTAAGTCATGCGACATTCATTAGTTCGCTGTAGTCTCTTTGTAGAGCAATCCATGTTTCTCATCGAAGAGGGGCTGTTACCAATGAACGTTCGTTAGCAGAATATTTAGCAGAGTAGTTAGCTTTGTAAATTGGTTGGGGCAGGTTAGCTAATTTAATTTTTGCTTAAACACATCATTTTGCATATTAAGGCCAGGTAAACAAATAAAATAGTTTCTCGTCAGGGCTTTTGGAAAAGGGAAGAGGCAGCCATTTTTTTTTCTTTCTGGATGGCGGATTTTCCAACTTGGATTTCCCCATTTTCATGACTCTTGCTGATACATTTGTGTCTAAAGGAGCTGTAACCCTTTATTATTCTAAGGTTGCATACATAGCTTCAATTTTGCTGGAAGCACATCAAAGAAAAAATACATTGCAAATGTATGATTTGGAAAAAAAAGGAGGCAGCCGGGAAAACGGGAAGCGTGCGGGGACGAGAAACTGGTTTACTTTTTTACTTGGCCTAATAGGGGCCTATCTCATGGCACTGCTTGACATTTCGCAGAAGAGTTGTGCTTAACCATAGCAAACAAATTGCACTTGTTAAGCATGGTAAGCACACTGCACAACCTGGGCTTGTAATGGGTGCGTGCGCGTAGAGATCTCAGCTTTTTGTGTGTTGTTAGCAAGTTCTGCCTCTATAGTTAGCGAGCCATTTGGTGTGCTTACTACTTACTGTGGCCGTGAAATAGAGTACATGTAGTTTCTTTAAAACAGCTTTGTCTCCCAAATTTCTAGAAGTTCCACAAAGCGCAGTTACATTGCCTTAAACTTGCAGTGCAAATCAAGGGAAAATTGCTCAAGGCTCTGAAAATTGTGTGCTTAGTATTAGTCAGCAGTGCCGTGAAATTGGACTTAGCGCATTCATGCAAAATAACAGGCCTTTGCCCCTCCCCACTTACTACGCTTTGCAGGCAACTCAGACATGGGTTACAGCTCAATGATCCTAGACGAATCGGCACCCAACGAGGTTCTGGCCTCGCCTGAGCTCTCCCCCATCCGCTTCGGCGCGGAGAAGAGCGCCACCAGCAGCAGCTGCGACAGTGACGCGAAGGACGCCACGGACGGTGAGGAGAAGGATGACGTAGAGGACGGAGAACATTCCCAGGACACACTGAAACGGAAAGACCGCAGCGAGGCCGTCGATCTCATTAAACAGGGTCAGCTGCTTTTGGCATTGCATGAAACTCTATTCAAAAGGCTAATTTGAAAATTCTCTTTTTTTACTATCTGCAGCTGTACATTTTTAGCTTCAGTCTTTTGCTGTCATTATTTTGCTGTCTGTTTATTCCACCCACTTTTGGCGAAACAATGGCGAGAGCAGAGTAGAGCAGATTTGTTAGGCGTTATGGCAAAGTGAGACAGAACCGGGCAGAGGTCGTAATGAGGGTTTGCATGTACATGTATTAGGAAAGAAAATAAAATTATCCTTGCAGTATTGGTTGTTGCACTTCAACTGGACATTCTGTTGACAAGTTATGGCTTTTAAAGTTTGCATTTATTGATATATCAAAAAAGTATAGTACTGTGAAAAAGGCCTTAAAGTTTTGAGTGTGTAGTCGTGAGAATGAAAGATGCCAGTTGTTTTTCCTTTAAAACAACTTTTATTCCACAATGTTTATTGTATTGCTTTAAAATATGTGTAGTAGGTATATCAAATATTTATCATTATTCATCATCGTCATGTCCATTTAACGTCCATTTTGCCCACGTTGTGGGATGAGACGTTGTCTTTCCTCAATGACCCTGTTCCACGCAGTCCGATTTCTGACATCCACAGTGGCGAGTTTTGACAGTCTTGAGGTCTTCTGCCAGTGTCTCATCCCAGGTCTTCCGTGGCCTGCCTCGTGGTCTCGGAACTACTATTTATGAATCTGAAAATCTCAAAAACTCTCCTCCTTTCGGTTTTTTGCATTTTTCTCTGCTATAGCCTGTGCCCAATTCTGTCTCTTTTTGCCAGAATGCCTCACATTTGAGCAACTTTAACCCACTTTTTTTTCCAAACTGAATCCATCTCAATAGTTATGTAGAAGTTTTGAATCAGGGTAATGTAGATTTTGTATTAGGTGTTGCCCCAGCCGTTCAGTAATATTATGACTTGAGGTCAAAATAGGGCAAAGCCCATGATTAAAAATTGAATCCATCTTGGTCCGGTTCCCAAGTGTCAGCTTGGTTAACCATACAGTTGATTGTAACATCATAATGGGCACCACCCTGCCTACCGGTATTTGTGATAGTTGCCTAAACAGTGCTGGCTGTTACGCTTATGAGCATTCTTTTGCCAAAAGCTTTTGCATGACTTCCAAAAAGCAGAGTTTGTATCATTTGCATTGCCTTTGATTGATATCAAAGAGGTTTTGTTCCTTTTTTTTGGGGGGGGGACTGGCATGGGGCAGAAATATCATTTCTTATCAAAAGTCAGTTTCTGATACCTGATTCCTTGTCATCCATAAAATATGTAGACCTTTATTTTATCTACAAACATAGAATGATATTTTCTATGGGCGTCCATCAAATTCTGTGAATTACATCTGTGGTTGATAACTTTTAATAGTGAATTGTTATTTTTCTGTGAATTGTAATTTTTTCATGAAATGTGTTTATTGAAATATAGCTGCCTGTTGACGTCATGCCGACACGCAATTGCTGGGCAACCCAAACATTTTAGCATCTTTTGCATGTTTTGCGGCCCACATTCAGCAGTTTATGTCAACACTTTTAAACCCTTCATATTTCAAGACATGTACATTACAGTGCAGAAGGGAACCACTTGCTGAAAGTTGGCAACACGTGACCATGACATCAAATGATCAAATTTTGTGAGCAAATTTCACATGGTCTACAGTTTGCTACATTGTGGTTGGAACTGAAGCTGTACCAATTTGTAAAGTTTTCTTGACTACCACAGATGTTGCGGAAGTTGTCGGCCCCAGCAGTGCCAACTCAACTCCAGTAAACCACAGCCTGGACTCGCCAATCGATGGCGGCGGTAGCAGCAGTAAATCAAACAGTAACAAGCCCGCCGACCAACCGGACGCCAAGGGCACCAAGGAATCGGGTACCAGCATCGTCCGTCACTCCAGGAGCAGCGTTGGCAGCACGGGGAGCATGGGCACGTTGCGAGACAGCACAGGTCAGAAAAAAAAAAAAAAATAATAATAATAAAAATGAACAACTTCAATATACCATGTAACCAGAAGAAAAAACTTACATTTACCATGCAGGACCCCACCCACCTAATTAGTCATCTGGTTACTTTGCAAAAATATGGCAGAATCCGGCCTCTGCGTACAAATACACAGCATTTTAGAAGATCGTTCTTGCCAAATTATTGTCATTCTTTTATTTCAAGTTTTAAAAAGAGAATTTTTAAAACATGGTTATATTATAGGGTATTAGCTATATATTACATGTATGTGTTTTTATGTGATTGTAAGCTGTTTTCGATTTATTTGTTCGTGGTTGTTTAGTCTTTAAACTATTTCTTATACAGTGTCATTTAAAAGTTTGTGTCATTGTTTTTAACCCACGGGATGCAGAATTTCATATTGTATCATCAGGATGAATAATAATTGAATTCTAATAATTGAATTCAATTCAATTTCAATGTAATGTCCCTGGAGGGCGATATGTCAGATTCATGGGCCTTGACATCTGTCTAGGTTGATTTGTTAGCTTATATTCATCAATAGAGGGAGCTGTTTAGTTTGCCTTGATTGTGCAGATATATTGACCAATCTGGGCCGGAGATGATAGTGTAGTCAGGGAACTTGTCAGTATTGTGGCAATTATGGTATCCTATAACTGCCTCGTGATGGTGTGCTGTAACTGCCCTGTATTAGCAGAAACCAAATAAACATGGTCCAGTACTTGAGTATACCCATCTTTAGACACTCTGGATTCTTGCTGATTTGTAACTTTTTTTGGCTGTATGTCTTATTAACAATATTTGCAACAATGGTTTAGTCATAGAAATTTGCTGTGTACCAGTTCATGTCCATAATGGGGAATTTACCCCAAGAACACAGCATGTCCAGTTTTGATACATTTAATGTCTGACTTTGATCTGTAAAAGATGTTTCATAACTTTTTCATTGTTCGTCAGAAATTATTTTATTTTCTAAACCCCCGTTTTAACTATTAACATCAGGGAGTTCAGCAGGGGTGGTTTTAAGTGGTCTCATTTCCTTGGAGAACTCGGTGGATGAGAGCGTGTTTGAAGGAGTAGACACTAAGGAACCAGCCGCGGACTCCAGCGAGAAGCGACGGCACCGCAGTGCTGATCACTCAGTCACCATCCCCATGCACGGCTCACTTCACAAGCGCAACAAGAGCGGGGACACCAACTCCCCTTTCGGACTCAGCTTGTCTAGCCAGGGAAGCAGCATTGACCGGGAGAGCAGTGTCTCAATGGAGCTCTTCGGGAGCGACGCCAAGATCCTCGCCGGCATCGCGGATGAGGAGTCTTCAATCGCAACCTCCCCCTTAGGAGGTAGAACTAACAGTATTCACTGCCGACCTTCACCGACATTAGTTGAGGTCACCCATGCCACACGGTCTTACTCGGTTGGAAGTAGACCGAATTTTACCTTCAGGACTCCAAACGGGAGCATTTCGAATAAGGAGCTCTCCGATCAAACAAAGACGGTGCACAGTGAAAGAACTTCATTTCCAGCACCTGCCAAAGATTGCAAGAAGGACCTGCTGATTTCTTTCGAGGAGGAAAACTCGGAGGAGGCGGAGAGCAAGACTGGAGCCCTAACGAACCATGACAGGTCAGGCTCAGATGACCAAGGCAGTGCCGACCTGCTAGATCTAGGATTGGATACCGTCAGGGATCCTAGTGGTAGTGCACAAGAGAAAGATCTAGTGGATCTGAGGACAGACTGGAATGATACCATCGAAGAAGAGAACAGCGAGGAGGTGGCTGCTGAGGATGCCTTGAGCCCCAGGACGACAGAGCACGAAGTAGAAGAAGGTCCTCTAGAAGAGAATCCCTCCTCTCCCATCTTCCAAGGCGACAATTTAGACTCCAACAGCTCCAAGTCAGGCTCAAGGGACAGCCTGGACTCCAACAAGGACAAGACAACGCCCCGCAAGGGCAGCCTGTTCTCAGGCATCCTCAACACAGGTTTAACGCCGCGCCTGAATCGGCAGTCCCTGACCAAGACCCTCAGCAACGCCTCCAGTCAGATGGAGACATTTGGCACAGCTTTCAAGGCCCGGACTATGGGCTTTGCCACCAAGATCGGAGAGTACACACGGTCTTTCTCCTCCCCAGCAGCTCCTAAGACTATCCCCTCTAGGAACTCGGCCATGGGAAGCCTGAACAGTCTAGAAGGCATGACACTGGTAGATGAAACCACCGAGATGGCCGGCTCCTGGAACGACTCGGCCATGGACAATATATCTCTGGGAAATATGGGTATCCACCTCCAGGGAACCTCATTAGAAGGTGAGTTCTTGCAGTTCTGACTAACATTGTCCTTGTCTTGATCACAAGTCCACTCACGAGTGGAGCAGAAGTCTATTCACAAGTCCGGTCACAACTAACAGGGAATTAATAATAACAAAAGAATGCCATTGTCACAGTTCATTGGAATAGGTTGTGACTTGGGACTAGATTACTTGTGAGGGACTTGTGAGGAAGTTTAGGATTTATAATGGACTTGACTCATACACCAGTTTGGACCTCAAAACCTAATGTTCCCAGAACCTACAAAACCCAGGTGTGCATGTAGTTATGCTAAGCAGCAACAAGCAGGCGACTTGGCACCATTGGTTGACAACAGTCTGTTTAAAAAAAAAAGGTGTATCCTTTAATTTGTTTGACTGTTTGACCGTTGACCCTCAGGGAGCTGTCAGTCATTAAACCAGCCAGGTCAGGACTCGGAAGATGCTGGGATACGTCGTCATGCCATCGAGGTCCACATCACCAGCTGCCACCAGTGCTTCAGCTGCCAAGCCCTGCTGTACGACGAGGCCGTCATGGCTGGCTGGTCTGCCGATGAGTCCAACCTGAAAACAAGGTAGGACAAGTTTGGAAACACCGGCTCCATGCACAAGTGGCCAATGGTGACAAACGGATATGTGACAGACATTTCTTGCCATTGTTGCCAGCACCCTCGCACCGACTACCCTCTGTACATAAAGACAAATACGGACACATGATCACTGTACACTCATGATGCTCCCGTTAATGGAAAAAAACATCGTGCCACTATTGTACAAAGCAAATGCCCCGTGACGGATTATCTAAAAAAAAGCTAGAACAGTGTTTTCGCCATTAGAGGGGGCCATCATGATAGAGTGGATGGCGTGTCCGGATCGGTCTGTAGGTAGTTATGGAATACCACTGTTGTAGACCTTTACTTCTATTATGTTCCCTTTCTTTCTATCGAAATCTCAAACTCATAGAGTTTCACTTCAATATGGGGTACTGAGTTTTCTCAAGATTGTACTTGCGGGGTGCCATCATCCCTATTGTGACTCTTTGTTCCTGGTATCCCATGAGGACACAAATGTATGGGATCGGTGTGTGTCCCATAGAATGGGACACACCGCATGTGCGTATTAATTTGCGCGCATATAGCAGAAGTATGCACGACTAATTTTATGCTGAATGTGCACAGACTCATAGCGTCTTCGCGTGAGCGTCGGGCGTTGTCGGCAATGCGTTCGAATGTCTCTCCAAGTGGCCTCCCCCAACTCTCTTTTTTTTAACTGTTGAGGGGGTACTTGTGCATGAAGCCCATAAATGCAAGGGCTCGTGCTCATACAGAGGAGACACGTCATGCATTACTCTGTGCTTTATACATGCAAATCTGTACACCCATGTGAAGTGTCTGCACCCTGGAGCTTTCTTGAGTTCAGATTCAGAGAGCGCCCTCTATTGTCCCTGTACGGAGTCCAAAGGAGACAGTGCTGTGTGCTCTCAATGAGACCCATTATTGAAGATCTCAGTATGTCAGGGCGCTGAATCTCGCGCATACACTGCAAAGTGAGACCAACTTATGTTATTTAAGTGTTCACAAAACTGAGGCATCTTGGCATGAGCGTCGGGCATGTAGTGGCAATAGCATGCAAGTGTCTGTCGTAATGTACCCCTCTTTTTGTCACTGTTGCAAGGTACTTCTGCATGGAGGCCATTGAACCACAGTGGTATTTATGCAAGTCAGCTCAGAATTTATCTGAAAATACAATTTATCTGAAAAAAAACCACCAAACCAATCATAAAGAGGGATTTGCGGTGCTTTTCACCTCAAAGCGTTTGCTTCAGTGAATCAGCGGTCGTTAATTGCTCCGCACAATTACCAATGCATTCAGAAGCCTATTAAATATAAAAGCCTTATTATTCATAGAAAAAATCCAACTTAAATCGCACATATCCAGACAGAAAACGTTTTGAGTTCTTGTTCCCTCATGCAAACTAAATACCGTTTGGCAATGTTTAAAATTACGTTGACTTTTTCCTTGATGCACTGCTGGTAAGGAGGGATTTTGTCCCTCCCCCCCCCAACAACTTTTGCTTTAACTTGATTTTCTTGTATTGCTATATCACAATGTAAGTTATATTTCCACACCATTATAACAGCCAGTTATGCACATTTGAAATTCAGTATCAATCTTCTAGCCTGTCTCAAATATTGAAGGCTTTTTTCCCCTGATAGCTTCATAAATTATTTATAAATTATTTATTATATCCTGAGCCAAAAGTGTAGTTTAAAAAAAAAAATCATCCAAAAAGGGAAAAGAAATGCTGCCAAAAATCAGAACAAGAGATGATGAGCTTTATTGGGGTACATGAGATACAGGAAATACAGTCGTTCTGATTTGAAAATCACAGGTGTGTGGAAACAGGCACAAGTGAAATTTTCTAGGCATGTGGTTTTTCTAGGTGTGTGATTTTCTAGGTGTGTGATTCTGTGGTCCAGGGCCATTCAGGCGTGTGATTATTCACACTTCTTTGGAAACTTTTAGGTGTGCGATGGCGTGGGGGTGCAATCGCACGCCTCAAATCAGAAGGACTGGAAATACTCATAAATTGGTTTTCCCTCGGCAAAAAAAAACTTGTGAAGGCTCTGGCTGGCAAGTTTCTTTGTATGTGTGGGGGAAAAATCCCCAAGGTTTTTTGTTCGGGGAAAGCTTTGCAGGGGCTTTGCTACCTAATCAGTGTAGTACCCTTTTAGGATAGGATCTGTATTCCCAAAGGGGTGAAATTCAAGTTGATAAAACTTGTCTTAAAACCTGACTTTAAAAAAAGGGGTTTCTAAGGAGGATATGGATTTCGATCCTGCCAACAAAACAGTGTGAAGTAATTTCATCTGGGTATGCAGTGAAGCATATTAATGTTAGGGGAGGTTTTCTTTGAAATCAAATGGGAGGTTTGACATACATGTATGTTGTAAATGTGACACCGGGGGGATCGGTGTCGAAATGGGAATGAGGGACGGCTGAAGCAAATTCTCTGATGATATCTCTGTTGTTTTATTTCTGTAAAATGAAAAGAGGAGTAAACCAAATGTTGTCTCCTCAAATACAGAAGATGGAGTGCGGCGGGCCGTGAATAAGAAATAGTCCGGAAAATAAAAAAGGGGGGGGGTATATTTTAAACCGTCACATGTAGTTCCCGGGATGGGAATGAAGCATCAGAATTGGATGATATAGCCTACATGTGCGATAGTCAGAGTGCTGAATTGGCAGCAGAATAAGAATTGTCATGTCCCCCCAAAACAGTGGACATTTCCTACCTGTATATACACATGCAATTTTATTGATGTGGTATTGGCACAGCTATACTTTGCTGCTTAATAAACATGTACAATAGTATAGCAAATGTTGATATGTTGCCCTTGTGACTTCAACACACTGCAAATGATTAATTTCTACCAATTAAAATGCATTCGGGATGTCTTTTACATTTCGGCACTTTTAAAAGGTGTTTACTGTTTCGGGCAAAACATTTTAATCGGATTGACAATTGTTTATGTGTGTGAAACCCATACTCACCGAGTCTGGTACTCTGACTCCCTTCTCCAGGCAACTGTTTCTGCAGTGGAAATTCTATTATTACACAGTACCTTACCACCATCTTGCTTTGTCTTTGTTGTATAATCTCTGTATTGACTGAGTATGGTATCCCGACTCCATCCCACCCAGGTGCTGTTTCTGCAGTGCCCAGCTGGTGCCCTTCCTCAACATCGCCATGCGAGACTTCCGCAACGAGGCCGCCATGCCGGTCTGCACCATCACGCCTAGCCCGTCGTCAGAGAGCGTGCAGAGCATCCACTCGGCACCACTGATCAAGCGCAAGGATAGCGCCCAGACAGGGGAGGAGTCCGAGGAGGTTAAAAAAGGGGCGGAGTCAAACCCCAGCGTGGATAACCTCTCTCTGGAGGAGGAAGATGAAGAGGAGGAAGAAGAGGAAGAATCTGGCGAAGCCGAGCAAGGTCAGTGAACTTTTGTTTTTTTGTTACTTGGAGGATCGAGGATGGATGCAAACAAAAAGGGGCTTAGGCGGTTAGGTTAAAATGTCTGACAATATCCTTGACCACTACACCTTGCTCTCCCGTTTGTTTCCACAGATGAGAAAGATGGCAACCTCCCGTCCCGCATCAAGTCGGACAAGCAAGAGTCCATAACCAAACTCCCGGTGACCCCTAGCCTGTCGGCCGGAGAGGTCACTCTCAGAGGGGAGCTGCGGTCAGCCAGGTTGTCCCCAACGTCCACTCGGCGACGGTCGTCCAGCGAGTGTATGACCGTGACGGACCTAGCCGCCAAGGGCCATGCAAACGGGTAAGAAGACATTGCTGTCATTAAAGATGTGATGTCAGTGCTATAGATGAGTTTTGTCCCGAAAAATAGATTGTTTTTTTTTTTAAATTGCTATTCTGCTAGTATTGCAAGAGTCATGAACAAAAAAATCTGCCCGTGTATAGATATGAAAAACTGGCAATGTACTTGACAAATGTGGGATTAAATGTGGCCCGACCATTTTTCAGTTCACACAGGGTAGACTGGTTCCTGCCCCTTATAAACATTGATACTGAAGGGACCGGGAACCAGTCTCGTTGTGCACATAAGCAACCTCCTTTTTACAGAAGGTTGTTTTTGGTTAAAAAAAATAAATAAATAAAACATACAAAGTTGGAAAGCGCATGGAAAAGATATCTTTAAACCTGAATTGGAGATAATAACCTAGTAACTTTTGGGAGGTATGATTTACATTGCATAATACCATTAAGGATTTCCTGCATATACAAAAAAAGGGGGAAAAACAATCAACTGTTGTCTTGATTCAGTGCAACAGTTTTTCCAAGGAATTAATACGGTAATAAATTGGTAATTTGAGGAATTCACGCCCCAAGGGTCGCACTAATTGAATTTAGACTGAAGCGGTTGTTTCCCAAGACTCCAAGGATGGATTGCGTGCACCGACCAGGCGATCTTTAATCAGTTCTTAATCAGCTAATGCGCGTTGTTCCTACATGCTTGGGGAGGGCTCAGGTTGCATTACCTTCTCCCCATCCTACCGACACGCGATGGTGTAGTCGGCTCAATTCATTAGCGTTCAATTTGCAATATCAAGGGGATGGCCTTTTTTCCCCTTGCCATCGTGGTGTCATGGAGTGTCAATTCCTCCCGTATTTATTTCACGGTAATCCCTTGGAGCACTCAGCTGACAAAGTGAAATAATTAGGTCTTATATTATATGACATAAACAATGTTTGTATTTTAGGCTTCTCCCGTATGGATGATGATTATAATTATGATTTTAATGGGGGGGGGGGGGGTGTTCCAGATTAGTACAGTTCACCTTTTCAAGTTTATTCAGTGAACCCGACATGTGGTAAAGAGGTTTCAAAAACTGGTTTGCACAATCGCAAAATTGAAATACAACCAAAATGTAATGTGTGAAATTCTAAAAAAAAAAATTTAATAAAACCTTATACATCCTCAATTGTCCATGGAATTGACGTCGTCATTTCGTTATCAAAACTTTTTGCCCTTCACTCTGAGTGAGAAAATTTGCATTTAAACACCTTATTATTTCCACTTTTGCGGTCGGAAGCTGTTGCCGAAATATCTAAATATGGCATATAATGCAAAGAAATTGCGTCGAATCCAATTTCTGTAAAAGTCTACCCTGCAGGGCTAAACCAGGGCAGAGCGTGGGAAAACTAAACCCTCGACTTCCCCCGCAGGATAAAAATGCAATATCACTCCCCCATTCCATCAAAGCACCAAAATCCGGGATTTGTAGATGACTTTTGTGACTGAAATGCCTCTCCTAATAGACAAAGCATGTTACGCCTGACAAGTAATTGTTTTTAGAAATTTGACATGAATTTTATTTCATTTTGTTGTGGTTGCAAACATTCAGTAGTCTGACCCAGAAAGCACTGCGCACGTGGGCAGTTAACACGTGGTCCTCTCCAATGCCACAACTGCATGTTCCAGACGCACATACGCGCACACACTCTTGTTTTACCTTACTCTCGAGGGCAATGCTTTGTGTTTTCCTTTGTCCCTGTAATATAACACTCTCCCATAGACTAAGCACACAAACTTACTACAGAGGACCGTTTTGAACAAAAGACCCGACTCCCGAGGACTGAAAGGATCTGTTGTTCTCCCTTTGTGTGTCGGTCCTCAGGGGGGTTATGTAGAACACGTACACATGCACCGCTGTGATCGGTTAGAACTCAAATGGTGCAGGGCTTAACCCTAACCTTCCTCAATCCTCCAAAATCCTCATTGTGGTTTTGGAGGATTTTGGAGGATTGAGGCTGAATGGTATTTTTTTAAATAAGGATTTTGGAGGATTGAGGCTGAATGGTATTTTTTCTGAAAAGGATTTTGGAGGATTAAGGCTGAATGGTATTTTTTCAGAAAAGGATTTTGGAGGATTGAGGCTGAATGGTATTTTGAGGCAGGACTGTCTGACGATTTTGAAGGATTGAGGGGCTGGGTACCCTTCATTTGAACATTTTTGGATCAGGAGGATTTTGAAGGATTGAGGATGAATGCATTTTGAGGCAGGACTGTCTGAAAATTTTCTGAAAATTTTGCAAAATTAGGGGGATTTTGGAGGATTGAGGATGGTTCCCAGCAAAAAGGGCTAGGGGGTTAGGGTTAAATAGATCGGTCTATTGATAGGTATTGGTATGTTGTTTATCAAATACATAAAAAATATACAAAAACATAAAAATAAAAAATAAAATTTCAAGAGTTACTTTGATTCCTGTTAATGTACCCTTAAGGAGACATTTTTTCATCATTAGTTATACCTAAGGGAAACATCAGACATTAGGGAGACATTTCAGTGTGTCTCCCTCATGTCACAACTCCCATTTAGAGGCAGCATTCTATTGTCGCAACTAGGCTAGAGGGACTGCTCGTGGTCCAAAACATAAATATACTAGAATTTGTTGGGGTAGGATAAGGGAAAATTTGGGTTAGGGGTCATTAATTAAAGTGGGAAAAACCCTGTAGAGTACCAAAGTGAATACGTCACGCGCACAAAATGTGTGTGAAAGACATTAGCGCGTGATTCAGCCTGTGAACCAACTCGCGCGCGTACTCCATTCATTTGCACTACCGTTCTGGTTCTACACGACGTCACACTTCGGTACTCCATGGGGATGTCACCCTACGGTACCATTTCCCGTAATGTTTATTATTATTATTATTTATTCGGCCAACAAATGAAACAAGCACATTGACAAAGCAATGATGTTAATACTGGAATTACCTTCTTTCCGTTAAGAGCTACATGTATTTATTAAATGATTCAACAAAAAATAGAGAGATCAGTCTAATACATTTTTATCTGGAGTTTGTGGAGGGAAAAATTAGGTGAGTTTTGGTACAATTGGATAATGCTTCTTTTTGAACACAGTTTTGTGACATGTTTCTAACCACCGCAACATTGCTATCTTGAATCTTCAACTAAACTGGCATGTTTTTCTCGATCGAGGAACTATCTAGGGAACTTTTGTGGCCATGTAAAATATTCAATTTGAAAGAGAATTGAAGACAACTTTTGTAACTGTTTGGTAAAGGAATCCTGCCTTTTTGACTGTTAAAAACAGCAGAGGAAAAGCAAAAATGGTGAAAACGTGTCGAAGTTGCGCCATATCAAATTTCCATGGGGATTTCCAGTTGACATATTCCATGCATTAAATTGTGCAACCTGTAAACTTGTGTGGCTCGGACGTAATTGAAGAAATTCATGAAATTTCTGTTTGAAGTAAAGAAGGGGACCTGGGAATCGTTTTACCAAGCTGTTCCAAAGGGGATAACGGCACCCGTGAACCAGATCTCTTTTTGTCGTTGTTTTATGTAAACTCTTTAAGGTCGGTGGACAAACTCTATAGACAATTTCAAATAATATGTAGTCGGTGGGATACAAAATCTATGAATCTGTTTTACGTTCAATGACTGGTAACCCTACTGCATTAACAATTACATGAATTTTTGTGTGAAATTTGGGGGAAAAAACAAGTCACAGAATTTAAAACACCCAAAATACATTGTAGGCTTGAGATACATTTACACAGATCAGGTTGTATATAATGACTACAGGGTTTTCCTATTTTTTTCTTCTGAGGAAACCAAATCAGGTTTTTTTGGTAAAAACTTTAGCATGACATGATAGTGTCTCACAACCCTTGACAGGAGTTTTGTTCTGTGTGATTTGGACCTTTTGTTTAAAAGTTATGGCAAAGCTTGTAAAGACTGTCAAAATCTGTTTGGGCCACTTTTCTCACCATCCTAGTATGTAAATGCTTTTCATTAGATAGCAAGTGGCCCAACTTGGAATTCAGGTCCTTTCATTTAATTAGCTGTATCTCTGGACTGGGGTGTCCAAGTGAGATGGGATAAAGACCATTGTGTAGAGTGCTAACTACACCTTCAGACTCTATAGATAAGTTTTGCAAAAAGAGAGTGCTGATATATTTAATATTTATGGATTGATTGCTACATTTTTTGGACACACATCTTTTTGGATAAGGTTTCAAAAGCACCCCTAAATTTCAGGCTTTTTGACCCAGCAAGTGACTGTATTACAGATGGAAAAGAGGCTAGCCCAGCACTCACTGTTTATCCTCATATATCTATTGCACTAGTCTCATTGCAGTGCAAAATTCTTTGTGTAAACTTGTTAAAAGTCAAAGTGTAGAATTGTTTAAATTTTTGAATAACGGCGTGTAACATTTCATGGAAGTGGGTTTTCTGTTCGCTATATTTTGTGCTACGGGGTACGCCTCTCACCTCAGCTCAAATTGCAAAGGCACCTGTCGGTATACGCGGTCACATTGGACTGGCTTATAAAAGGCATTATGTTACACAGTACTCGTATCAATCATGATAACCACAAGATGAGGAGAAAAGTAGATTTTGAGCTTCATGTAATTTCAAAACTGTAGCAAAACATCTATAAATTGTGTACTGATATCATTGAATATGGAATTTTTGTAACAAAAATAACCCTCAAAGTCAAATTGAGACGAGTTAGCACTATATGTGGCTCTTTAAAGAATGACTTATTGCTTTTCCTGGCTCCCGTTAAGTAGTCTCCGCAGTAACACAAGCAGTTCCTCATCACCCCAAGGCGCCAAATGGAACATTAAAATGCTTCTGGGAAATGGGGGGAAAAAAAGGGGAAAACAGCACAGGACAAAAATGAAAGTATGTTGACCTGGATTTAAAAACAGGATTCATGACCTGTCTGCAAGAGGGTCATGAATTTCTTAAGGTGTTTGTTGGGAATGGTTGCCCCACCTGTCTGTCTATAATTCAATCTTTATAGACCCATATCACTCTTCCTCATTCTTAAATGTCCCCCACATTTACACTGTGAACCTACGGTCTCGTAGCTGGCTTCCCTAATGCACTTTACACTGAGTTTTTCTACAGTTGATCATTTAGGAAGTTAGAGATGTGACATACAGTGTTGAAAATTGCTCTTCCCGTGCTTTTCAACAAATCAGATTTGTTTTCTCTTTATGAAGCTTTAATTTGGAGTGAATAAATTAGAAACTACTTGTTGATTTTGGCATCCCTTTCTCTGAAAAGGGTTGTTACTGTTGTGCCTCTAATCCAGAAAACAGTGTGCCTGAATACTTGCTAGTATTTATACCATGCCTAAACCTGGGTAGAGTTTTCCATTCGATGTCTCATTCAATATTGAATAACTTATGCATTTCTATAATTAATTTTAAAAATTATTTTTATTTGTTTACCCTGGGTAAAATCAGATCAGTACATAATTACTGTTTTCCACTGATGCCTAGCAAAGTTTACAAAAGTTAACAAAATTGCATGCAAGGGTTGAATAATAGTTGCTACCGTATTAAGACAAGACCAGGCAAGCCCCAGTAAAGCATGTAAAAACGAGTACTTGTTCAAGCACGTATTACGTGAATACACAGGGTTTATTACATTTCTGAATGTGCATAGACCAATGGCGTTTGTGTATGAGTGCCAGACGCCATCAGGAATGCGTTCTCCTAATCCTCCCAGAGGTATTCCCAACTCTGCCATTGTAACCATTACTGGGGTGCATGTGCGTGGAGTCTAAGGACTGTCCCCTCTGGGATGAGCCTAAATAATCTTTTATTGTGGAGGGGGGGGGGGGTGTTTAAGTGTAAAAGTTAATACAGGAAATTGATACTGAAGTGGAACTCTGTTATTGAAAACGATATCCGTGCACAGAGTTCATGGAGAGGCGCTCTTACTGACAGAAATCTCATTTTCTTTTGCTCTCGCTTTCCTTGCTCCAGTGGACGTGCCATGACCCTGCCCCGCTGCAAACCCATCGAGGAGTTCAAGGACCTCCAGCAGGGCCTCCTCCCGGGCGCCTCGGCTGGATCGCTATCCTCCAGCGTCCGCAACTCCCTGGAGTTCATGCCCCCGCCCAGCAAGGAGTGCAAGGTGGGGCCCATCTCGGTGCCTTACCTCAGCCCCTTGGTCCTGCGCAAGGAGGTGGAGAACGTGATTGAGAACGAAGGGGAGGCGTGCCTGAGGGCCCCTAGCTTCGTGGTCCAACATCCCATCATCTTCTGGAACTTGGTGAGTAAAAGAGGCTCTGAATAGCTTGTGACTGGACATGAGACTGACTCACCCGTGAATAACTTGTGATTGACATGTTAGCACTTGACGAGAACGCTTTGAAACGTTCCGCGGTCCATTCCTTGCCTGGGATTGTTATGTGACTTCAATTTTGAAAAAACATGTACATCTCTAGCCTGTTCATGTCTTGACTTAACTTTGAAAATACACAACAATGCCCCCTTCTATCCTGTTGTAACAGTAACATTTGGCAGTGCATACACAATCCCAATCTAGAGATTCAAATTGTTTGGTTTGTCTTCCAGGTTTGGTACTTCCAACGATTGAATTTCCCCAACTACCTTCAAGGGGTGCTGCTGGCAGCATACAGTGAGAGCCGAGATAATTCCGTGAGTCAGCAACTTATTTTTGTTTAATTCTGTGCACATCCTGCAAACTGCTCTACAATAGCACTCCGCACAAAGGATAAAAATACAAGCAAGTACCCGGATCTCAGACAGGCATGCTGTACAAACTTCTCCTGTCAAGATTACGCACAGGCTTGCAACACCGTTTCTATGGGAATGTAGGCGGCCAGATGTACATGCATGTGCGCGCGGGATTGTTCGAAAGTTTGGCTCACATCAGAGGTATGCGCGCGTACGGCCAGGAGCAAAATTGACGTCATTAGTGCGGAGTGCTATTGTTAGTCATCACTTCTCAAAGTGTTGGTTAAACAAATAAAATCTAATTTTTGTGTTTTTTATTAGTTTTGTCTAAAAAATTACAATAAAAAAAATCTATGTTTACATTTCATTTCAGTTGAACATGTATGTCAAACAGATTGAAAATTCTGTTACTTTGTTAGTTAATAAAATACTTCTTTTTTAATCCAACAATGGAATTTTTGTTTTATTTTTTAATGGGAGCACAGACATACCAGCTTTATTACAGTTTTAAAGTAACTGCTAACAGAATTCCCAAGTACGGAATTATTAAAGCAACAATTTAAATTGTGTCACGTGATCCAAAATGGCTGGCTAATATGGCCGACTTTTGGCAACCTCCTCCCCAGGACTATGTTCAGTGGTTGTCCTCAGACTCGCGCTACGTCAAGATCAGCGTGCTGTGGGACAACGTCAAACTGTACGACGACAGCATGCTTCCCATGTACCTGCTGTGGGGGGCGCAGGGCACTCCCTCACTGGACCCCCTCATCAAGGACCAGCAGATACATGTATTCTCCAAACCGTAAGTAGACCCATACCTCTCTGAACCTCAGCTGTGATTTGTTGAAGAAAACATTTCAAATTAATGGCGTTTTAGGGGCCATTCAGAATTTTCAATGTTTTAAAATTTCGACTATTTTTCCAAATTGTGGGTGGGTGGGTCAAGCTAAATAATTGAAAATCGAAATTCACTTTTCATGGAAAAAAAGAGCCAAAAAAAAAGAAGAAAAAAATTACATCTTTTGACTTTTGTTTGTTGTTGAAAAGTTGCAAAGAGACAGCTTTTGCCTCCGCCCAGCACTCAGCAGCAATGGATTTTTTTCCGAAAGGACACGCAACCCACACAGGCCCGCCAGTGGGATGCAATGATGTACATGCAAGTGCATACATGTACATGTTCATGTTTTGTTTTTTAATACTGCGTAACAAATCAGTTTTTTATAAATCAAAATTAGGGGTGGGTGGGTGGGTCAAAATAATTTGGAAAAAAAGTTGAAATTTTAAAACATTGAAAATTCTGAATGGCCCCTTACAACATTTGCACATATTCAAAAATGAAACTGTCATGAAATATCCTACGCCTAGTATGCTCTCATTTTTTAGACAAGAGGAATTACCGTCATTTCCTCTCAGTGGTTAGAATCAAATCAGCGCGCTTTCAACTGAAACTTATGCTTTTGTGTAAAAAAAAGTGAAGATGCCTTTCATGGTTTTCTTACATATTATACACTCAACCAAAAAAGAAAGTCCCCCCTTCCAATATTTTTTTGTCTAACTCAAAAACTACTGAGCACCTCTCGCTCAAATAACAACTAATCAGTACAGAAATTCCTTAGCAATCCAGCCATACTCTTTATTTGGCCCAAAACATTGATAATGTGTACGAAATTATGCAATTTATGACAAACGATACCGAAAACAGTTGCACTTTTGTATACGTGCAAGTTGTGGTTCACACTCACCTTGCACTCATATACAAATGTGCAACTTTTTTTCCGGTAGCATTTGTCATCAATAGCGTAATTTTGTACACATTTTCACTGTTTTGGGCCAAACAAAGAGTATGGCTGGATTGCTAAGGAATTTCTGTACTGATCAGTCGTAATTTGAGCAAGATGTGCCCAGTAGTTTTTGAGTTAGACACAAAGTATTAAGGGGAACTTTTTTTTTGGTTGAGTGTAACTGCTGAGTTGAAATATTGACAGGTTAGTTTTCAACAACCTGCTTCATATTTTTTGTATTGTTCCTTGAATCATAAAAAACATCTTTTTTCCAGCTGGTGTCCATTACCTATAAACTAGGCATAGCCCACGACTGAGAAAATTGCAAAACCGATCAGGACTGATTTTTATTAGTTTTTTTAATCGCATGCCATTTTCTATCCAAATTTGCAATATTGTTTTCAGAGTTTTACTGTCCAAGAAGAAAGTAGAAAATCAAATATTTTGCCCCTGTCAAAATTTTTTTTATTAAGTGGTCCTTTTCTCAGTATCATTAATTATTACATCAATAATAAATCCTGTACTTTGAAAATTAATTACTCTGCAATGTAATGTCAAATTAAAAAGAATTGATTCTTCAGGACCGCCATAAAATGATAAACACTCCCACCCAACTTCATTCTTGTGAAAATATTTATCTCTCTGCATATTTTTCTGCAGTTGCTTTTTAGAATTTGGTCCAGCCTTTCCCACATGAACATGTATCTTCCTACTGTAAAAAATGTTTGATTTGGCATTTTAATTCAAGAATTATAATATGGAGGAATAAAAACTTAGATTTGTCTTAGAAATATGGAGCAACTGTTTGCGAAGCCCCGTGTGTAGGCAGCATCGCTATGAATTAAATATAGAAATCACTCATTCACCATTTGTTGTTTGTGTGCAAACATCAAGCCGGGATTGATTTTCACACCAATATCACACTTTCCGCATGAAAGACAGTTATACCTGTAATCGTGTAGATGGATTGGAGAATAATAGTGCAGCTGCTTTTTACTCGCTAACATTTCAGCATGTGTGTTTTCCTCAAAATTATAGATTAAAACCTGAACTTGTACTGTTCATCATTATTATTTTGCCATGGATTTTAAAAGTGGAATTCAGGGAACTTTTAATTTTTACGAATTATTTGATTACTTTTAATTTTTTCTTTGGTCATGGATTGAATTATTTTTATACTAAAATTGATTTATTAAAGGAGTACTTGTTTAAAATCAGCCAAGCACATATTGATTCCCATTCATAAATACCTTTTGGTCGAAAAGTCAAAGCAAGTCAAAAGTTCATGAATTTCCATCGATTTTGTTCAACGACTTCACTTCGTGTCCTCTCAGTCTCTGGCCGTGTCTATGGTATGTGCCTCAGTAATGCTTTGAGTTTTTATGACTGAATTTATTTATTGTCCTTGACTCGATGAACCTAGTAAGGAAACAGTAAATTAAGCTCTTAAATACGATATCCTCGGAAGTCAGGTACATATAATACTGCAAAAATCTCGCCACGATTTTTACGGTCGACCTGCACACTCTATTCCCTGAAAGTGAAATTACCCTGACCTTGGACATCGTTGCCATATTCCTTCAAAATTTCTCCAAAAAAAAGAGAGTCGGTTTTCTGTAGAGTTGATTATTCAATGGGTCAGCTACGTTCAGCAGAACCTTGGACATGTCAGTGATGTATGTCTCTGCCATAATTTTGTCAATATCGTCAATAATTTACCGGGGTTTGTGTCGTTGCATTCATCAATGACAATTTTGTTTTTACTAAATATTCATCATTGTTTATAGAGGAAATAGACCATCTTTATTGTAGGGGGATAATTGTGACCTGCTGAGGTTGTAAGCACTTCCTCAGGAGTGATTCATGCTTTTTTTATGTAATAGAATGCCATTGCCTATAAATTAGAAATAAGTTCTAACATTTGATGATTAAATTTAGGGGAGTCTGGTTGGCGCAGTGGTTCTTTCCTCGCCTTCCGCCTCTGTGGCTCAGGTTCGATTCCTGCCCTGGTCCACATGTGGATTGGGTTTCCAGTCCTTACCTGAGTCCGTGGGTTTTTCCCGGAAAATTCTTCTGGGGTTTTCCTCTCACCTCTTAAACTTTAATTGCTTCAGTGTCTTCTCTTCAGGCTCGCAAGCTACAGTGCCTAGAAATAAAATAATGATACAATTTGAGAATTCAAACTGAGGAAAGTATAAAAAATAAATAAAAAAAATTGGCAGATGCTTTGAAGCAAGTTCTCTGCACAAATGTTATTGCAAGTTATTGCTTTCTAAATAAAAAAGAAAAAAAGTAATAACAACAACAACAACAACAACAACAACAACAACAACAACAACAACAACAACAACAACAACAACAACAACAGAATATGTAGGTAAAATAATGGTTTTGAGGATGAGACAATCCCATTCCAAGTACCAAAGCCCTTGATCAGGATGTCCAGGAAAAATCAGAAACCAATTTTTTTTCTTCTGTATCAATCTCAAATTTCTTTATTCCCAAAATAACATTTAGATAAAAAGGACAGGCCCTTAAACAAAATAGATATATACGCATCTGGAGTGGTAGTTTTAAAAGACTGCCCGCGAGCTACATGTACATTTACACTGTACAGATTTATTATGAGTCTTCCGTGTTCAATTCCTTGTGGATCCATCACATCATGGAACCCTGCCCGGTGTTAAAAAATCTGCATTGCCTACAGTCACGGATAAGCAAGATTGAAAATGCTACACTTAGGTCGAGACTATTATTGATGTGTACCGTACACACAGTTTTCTACACACTGTTTTTACTGTGAAACATTGGAGTGCCCATAGGCAGAAGTTTTACGATTTAAACAAGATTAGGCTTCCCTCGTCGAGCTCAGTTTAGGACATTTTACAGATCATTTGTCCCGTGACATCATGCCGACAGGCACATTTCAGCATCTTGTGCGCATTATTTGGCCCACATTAAACGGAATATGTCAGCACTTTTAAACCATTCATATTTCAAGAGATACTACATTCATTGCAGGAAGGGAAGCATTTGCTGCAAGTTTGCATCACTTTGACATTAAAGGGAATATACATCATTTGCTTTTGCTGTAATTTTCAGAAATGGATGGATTTGGGGGGTTGGTAATGTATAGCAAATATTGTTACACTGCTTTTTTGGACGTTTTGGGTTCGTCTGTTCGTAGTGCTGTAAAAACCAAGAAAAACAATCATTTTCCTGTAGTCTGGTAAGATGAAACGGAGCAATTTATAGATGTTGGGGAATTGTAAGGTCCAGGAACCAGTCTAGCTGGCTTGTACCCTTTCCTAGGTGTTTAATCGATTGCAAACAAATTCGGACTAACTAAATATGGTCAATTCGGCCAGTATTTGAAAAAAGGCCAGTATTTTCCAACGCTGGTTGGCCGACCAGCATTGGAAATTGATACGAAAATACAACTTTTCTTGAAAATTACAGTTTATCAGGTGTCCTGATTTTACAGGATGCTTTAGACTGTCATTCACTAACAGTCCAGCAAGGTATTTCAAAATAAATTGGTGGTTTTATTTTTTGATGTTTGGAAATGTTGTATTTTCCCGTTTACATGCAGTTTTTGTCGTATGGTCTATACTCAGTAACTCATCAGTTTAGTCAGTCAGTCAGAGAACAGTAGGTGGTTCAGGTTCAGCAACGATCATACAGCCTAATCACTTGACAAAAGGAATTTACAAACTATGCCGGTCCTTTCCAAATCTGCTACATAAAGTTCTACTAATCTATTTGCATATTATTGATCTCATACTTCATTCATTCATTGCTGCCGTCTTCAAAACTGAGGGTGACTGTAGTGGACCACCAACGAACCCTTTCCTGTGCCCTCTGGGTACGCTCACACAAAGTTCGGTCGGTCCACTCTTTGATGTCGTCATTAATTGATCCAACTTCTAAGCCTCCCTCCCTGGCCGGCAATTTCAACAAGGCCAGCCCAGCAGCACAGTCAAAATAAATCAAGTGACTGTTTTTAACAGTTGGATGCTCCCTGCCTTCATAAAGCGGGATTGACTGGCTGTGATTGTTATGAAGCCTGATATAGCTATGCTTTGACTGTAGGAGATTGATAAGCCAGCTGTGCCTACCAGTCACCTGCTTTTGTCTGTTGATGGAATTTGACTGTCACAGTGCCTACAAGAAATATGATCCGACTAGCCTGTGTAAAAGGCATGGCAGGGAGCAGGATTGAATTGTTGATTGTCTGTAACTGATCAAACAAAAGGAGGGTTAACAAAAACCTTTTTTCTTCTTCAGTTTTTCAGCATTAAGATTCACTGTCAGCTTCATTTATTTTGGTGCACCTGTAGTGAAGATCAAAAATGACTTTGGATAATTCTATTTATACAAATCTTTTGTGCGTTTATGATGCCGTCGGCAACATGGGAGGAAGGGAGAAAAAAGAAGAAGATAAACATGATACTATGGTAACGGCACCCAGATCAGACATAATTGCTCCTGCGGGTGGGCTCAAAACAAACAAAGCTGACAGCTAATATCACTCTCCAAATTAAATAATTAGTTTCCTTTCAAACTGACAAAATCTGTCTCGCTTCATGTCACTATGCGCAAATTTTATGAAGCCGGACAGCCATAAATCTCACTCACCTGAGTGAAATGTGTGGATAAGAAAATGTACATGTATGATCATGACTCTATTGCAGGCAGAGTGATATGTGAAGTAGGGAGGGTTTATTTTAAAGGTAATATACAACATTTGCAAACATAAAAAACAAAAATTCCAAATAATTATGAAAAGCCTTACTTGACTGTATGTGAATAATAGTCTCAAGCATCCTGTGAAATCATGGCACCTAGTGTGCTGTCATTTACAAGAAAAGTAGAATTTTTTGTATCAATTTTCAACGATGGTCGGCCGGCCATCGTTGGAAAAAAAACTGACTTTAAATATACATGCATACTAATAAAATAAGCTGAGAACCAGGCCAAGTAAAACTTGTATAAAAACGCGAGCTCTTCAATAAATTTGATTTTATTTTTATTTATAAATTTTCAACTAGTATGTTTTCTGCTAACAAGAGAAAGCCTCCTTCTTCCCTTGTGTGAACGTCCGCAAACGTCTGGGAAAAGAGGGCACAAACATCCGCTCTGCGAGCAGACTGGCTCCCGGTCCTTACATTATCGAAACTAATTGTGGGGCGGGAACCAGCCTTCCCTGCGAAAGCGGGAATTATTGTCTGGAAGCCAATAATTCGAAATTGCAAAGTAATAATTCAATTAGTAAACATGGGCCGTTTTTTTGGGGGTCGATGTCTCATTCAAAAGTGAATAAGTTTTGTAATGGCTTTTTCGGGATGAAACTCGAAAATAGCACGGGGAATGGATCTTTAGGCAAATATTTTCTGTTCCTTGCAAGTTTCTGTTCGTCACAGCTCCATGGAATTTGGCTTAAAATTATATCTCGTAACAAGATCGCAGATTTTTGCTTAACAGCCCTCTGAAACTATCCAAACAGCAATAAGTTTAATCAGACATTTTACTATCAGTCAACTCTGGTATATGTTGGATGCATCACGGTGTGATGAACCTGTAAAATCCCCACCTTAAGTTCCACAGTTTTACATCTTACGAAATACCTGTTGATGACCCTGGCAAGTGGTCAAAGTTAAACAGGAGATCATGGCTTCAAGTTCCACCTGAGTAAGCTTTTGAATTTTTCCTGTAGGCTGTCAGAGTATTCAATGCTGAATATCCTTGAATGGCAGAACCAAATTTGAAACGTTTTTCTAAACCCCGTTTTTCTCCCTATGTATTTTCGCGAGGTAGGTTCATGGTGCAACTGGTCAAGTACATCCGCTACAACAACGTCTATCAGCCCATTGTTCTCCTGCTGGAAGAACTCAAGAAGCTCGGCGACAACACCGCGGGCCGGCGCAGTATCTACAGGGAGCTTCTCTTCCTGTCCTTTGTGGCTATGGGCCGGGAAAACATCGATCAAGGTAAGCAAACATGTCTTCTTGTATTTGTTCAAAACACAGTCTTGGTAATAATGTTATTCTTAAGTTCTATTAATCACGTATAAATATCTGCCACTGTTTGCGCACAAGTTGCTACATCATTACAACACCTGCCCGTTAAACCATAAATTATCTATCTCGGCTCCTTGGGGAGTGAACAGTTTGATTTTTTTTTTTTAATTTGACTAAAATTGTGGTTTGGAGGGGGAAGAACAGAAAAAGTTGATGTATCCATCAAGAGATTCTAAAAGAAATTTATCTTGTAAAAAAATTGAGGGCGCCATGACAATCAATTATTGAAATATCCTGGACATCTGCTACATTTAATAAGTTCTGTGTTTTTCTGAGGTTTTTTGTGTGTGGTTTTGTTGGGGGGGGGGGGGGGGGGGTTGGGCAGGGGAGGGGGCTCATCCTGATATGCAAAATAACTCATGTAACTTTCTATTTCCTATGTTCTTATTTATACCTATGAGTATGCTTGGAAATGAAATGACTATCAGTGGTTTGAATTGTCAAGTCTTGCAGTAATCAACATTTACCTCAAAAGCTAAGAGTTTTCACACCGTATCGAAACGAGGCTTTTACCAAAACCTGTCGAAGTGCTAATTTAAAAAAAAAGAGCAACTTGAGAAGAACAACGCTGTGCTCAATTATCGTGAAACGTTTATTTAAATACCAGAAATTTACACCTCTGTCAACCTTGTTGCCTTGATGACGCATTTAAAGCTTACGTCTTGGTTGAAGCTTTCATCTTGGTTGCCTTGCAACGCATCATTGTTCGAGGGTGACGTGAAGTGACAGGCTTTTTTTGTTGTCGAGGCTGTCACACAGTGATGACACTGGTAGCCTTCCGAGGTTGTGTACGTGTTTTGTTGTGAATGCCCAATTGCGTCAAGACTTGATAGTGTTTTGCATTAATTAGCTCTAGCCATTGCCGTGGACAGCAGGTTACTAAAGATGGTTTCGTTAATGTACCAGTCCTTCTGATTTGAAAACCACAGGCGTGTAGAAAAAGACACACCTTGATTTTTCTAGGCGTGTGATTTTTCTAGGCGTGTGATTTTTCTAGGCGTGTGATTTTTCTAGGCGTGTGATTCTGTGGTCCAAACTGGTACTGAACAATCTAGTCCTTTCTTTATAATGTTCATCTTGGTTCCATTTCAAGAGCTCACAGAAGTATAATTATGCTGTAAATGTATGCCGAGGTGTGCGGTACTGAGGGATTCAGGCGTGCAATTATTCGCACTTCTCGGGAAGCTTTTAGGCGTGCGATGGCGTGGGGGTGCGATCGCACGCCTCAAATCAGAAGGACTGATGTACATGTATGCAATTGATTTTAAAGATTAATAAGAAGAAAGAATGAGATTAAGAATTCGTAATTTTGTTTGGGGGGGGGGGAGGGGAGGGGAGGAGGGGGAGAAAATGTAAGCCATAGGCTCATTGGAATTACTTTAGAATGCCCCGTTTTGAATTTGAACCATTTTTTGCCCAGTATCGAAAAGAGAGATTTTCTTTTGTTAAAAATATGAAAAAAGTTTTGTATGGATTTGGCTTGGAATTCAACTTTAATAACGAAAAAATTGATGGTAATCTCTTTTGATGCTTTCTGTTTGTTTTATGGCATTGGGGAAATATTTTTAAAGATCTTAGAAGACAAATTTGAACAAGAAATGGAGGGAAAAGGCCTGAATCTGTTCAGTGCTGATTGTATTCACTCGTACCTTTACAGGAATTTAATTTTCTTAAGAAAGTGCATGTCAGATACAGAACACACTTTGTTATATCAACAACAAAAAATGTTAAAAAGGGAAAAGAAGGGAAAAGCACTTCTCACGTTGTCCTGATGAAAATCGTGTGCAAAATTCACGGTGACAAGTCCCAGGCAGATCATAAAATACACAGGATGTCATTCTGTATTTTTCCTCCTCACCTCTTTCCAAATGACGTCGCTTCCCTGATTGATCTTGACTCCTCTCTCTTTTCTTCTCGCGTTGTTTCCGACAGATGCTTTTGACCAGCAGTACCGCCAGGCATTCTACAAACTGGAGAAAGAGAACGGGCCTTTTGGCAAGCTGCTCATCAATGACGACAAGCCGCCTCCGCTGGCCGTCCAGATGTGCAGGAAGGCGTTCGGCGACTTGATGCTGTAGCAACCAAACTCTTTGAATGAACACTTCGAAACAAAACCTTGCCTTTGTTTGTCATGGTATTAAACTTCTCTTCTAAAACGGGGTTGTTACAATTTTGGGTGAAATACAAAAAGCTCAGGCCCTCGAGGAACAGTCTTTGACAGATTTGAGGATAATATTTTCAGTGCGGTGTTCCCTTATTAGTTGTCGTTTTTAAAAGCTTTTTATGATGATCGAAGTTGCATTTCCATGAATTGGAGATAAATTGAGGTTTGATGGACAAGGATGTCATGTTTATGGCAGACGGAGGAACGAGCTTCTCATTTGTTCCAAGGGTATAGGGACTGAGGCTTATGATAAATCTCTTGAGCACCAAACGGCACATGCCGCCAACGGCAAGATTCAAACTGTGAAAAAAAAAAATAAGAAGTGATGCGCTTTATTATGCATTGGTCATCTTTTGGTCTTTTGGCTGTATCTTGTTCATTTCGTGTCGGGCTCATAGCGGCTCACATGCCCAGAAGAAATTGCAATACAATTCCTCCGTATTAAGAAGACACAGCAAGCAAGAGAGAGATTTCTGATCAGGTGTTTGTACCGAAAGGTGTAGGCAGAAACCTTCCCCTTTGACAAGTTAAGACTCAATCCCTTGGGGGAAGCCTTCCGAATGAAGACAAGTACTCTAATCGTCAAAGATTGGCATCTTTTTTTTCCCGGGCGACTCAGTTTTGTAAAGGGGTGTCTGCCCCCTGTGCTATGACTTGTATAAGCTTACCCCACAAATTGTGCCAATTTTCTGTGCTGTTTTGCATGATTGACCACTCTCTGATTATTTCTGAGCATTTTCCAATCAGGGGAGTTACATGCAGATGGGAGATTTTTATTTATGCATTGAAAGCCTTTGTATGAGTATTTTTTTAATGTCAATAGTACAACTCGCAAAGATAGTATTATAAACTCCTCAAGGGATTGTATTATTTTGCCCAGAAAGGCAAACAGATTTAGGATAACACCAAAACAGTTTTTTTTTTTGTACTTGGAGGGTGACGCTAAAACCACAATCTGATGGATCTGTTGATATCTAGGACGGAAAAAAAAATGAGGATTTTGGTCAGAAAGATTTGGAAACTGATTTCAAATTCTGTGAAGCGTCAAACGTGGGGGGAACACTGCCCGGGGGATGTTCTCTCCTGTGATTGGCTGTACTCTGTGGTTTATGATTGATACTACGTTGTGATTGGACGATTGATAGTAGAATGAAATGCCACAGGATTGCAGGATCTTCTTCAACAAGTGCACTGAAAAAATTTGCATTGATTCTTCCCTTTTGTGTACAAATATTTCAATTTTCGTGTGTGTAAATAATGTCTGAGGAATGTGTCAAACAGTATCGAAAAGATTGCCCTTTTTCTGTTTTTTTTTGTTGGGAGGGAGGCGGGGGTTGTTTTTGATTTTGTTTTTCTTCATAATTCAGTCGTATGATGCACAGTATTGATTAGTAAAATTTAAAAAAATGATCCTTATTTTTTGCCTTTTGTTGAGTTACCAAAGTCACAATCTGGGATGAAGTTTTGATAATTCTGCTGCTTGATACGATGTGTGTTTTACCAAAAAAAGAGGCGGTATTTCTGTCTCCATTTCCATTGACAAAAGAAGACCGGAAAATCATCTAAAAATTGAAAGAAATTAAGATCGCCATAGTCACGCTTAAACCCCCCCAGGACAAAACAAAATCCGCCAAATAGGAGCTGATAGTACAAGCGTGTTGTTGTCGTTTTTAATCTGCAAAAGATATTAACGGAGCCGAGGGGGTAAACCGAGGTTTTGCGAATTAACCGAATAATTCAAACGGGCAAGTGTGCCGCATCAATCAATTAAAGGAAACCACGCAACTGGGTTACAGCAGGTGTGATTGTAAGGCCTTGGGGGAAAATACAGAAAACTGACCGGGAAGATGAGTTTTGAACCGACGCCTCCTGATTGATCTATGAAAGATGGGGACGGGTTAATGACATGGGACAGATTTTCTGGGGAGGGGGACGGGCGACAGGGTGGGGGTTGTGGAGAGAATTGATGGGGAGCGTTTGGGGAGTGTGGGGCAGGATTTGGGGCAGAGCTCGTAGTTAATGATGGGTCATGGTGGGATTTATGTCGGATAGTGGGATTTTGGAAGGCAGTGAATACAGCAAAACAAACTATTGGGAGAAAAGGCCTGCGGGGTGGAAGGTTTGGTTGGATGGACTGCACTGCCAGCTTGGGTTAGTTTAGAATGAGTGTCTAGCAAATAGCTTACAAGCCTGCTTTTGTAACGAGGCGATTTTGTTTTGTTTTGCAGTTTCAGACTTCGGTTCATTCGAGTCACAAAGAGCGAATAAAAGCATATCACAACTCACAATAATATTCCAACTACTAAATCTAAAACAAACAAAATCTAAAATAAGATCCCAGCTCGATGATCTTTTTTTTGTTTAAGTTGTTACAAATAATTACCTGTTTGTGAAGGTTTTGAAAAGTATTCTTAAGAGTGAACACACGCATCTCTGAAAAAGTTTGAAGATTTTTGTTTTTTAATTGTTAACTAGGTTGCGCTCGTTAATGCATGATTGTCTCACATGGAAAGGCAATTAACAATTTGAGCACGGAACCGATTGAGAACGCCATACTTTGTCTAGTTCGTCATGATTCGCAATTCTCAGGTTGTGGACCGTAGAATTTCATCCCTTTTGTTTTGGCTGTCCGTGTGCATGCTTTGTTAATTGTCTTTTCTGAAAAAGAGAAAAGTCGGTTAAACTTTGAGAGATAATGAAGTTTTTAATCTTAAGTGGTTTTTTTTTTTAATTCTAATTTATGTTGAGATCTGCAAATTAATTTGTGGAACGAAAATGCTTCCAGTTGAATGTGCCAATCAACTTAGTAAGTCGATTAGCAAGTAATTGTAATTTAACCTTATTTTGCTTATATTGAAAAAAAAATGCAATTGGATCAGTTCTAAACAATAATATTTTTTGTATAGTATCTCCGACACACGATCATAAATACCGCATATATAGGTTGCATTACACGTTATCAAACTTTGATCGAATTGAGGGTTGATATAAACGCACCTTTTAAGTCTCGTTTTTAATGATCTCGTTTGTGGAAATTGATTGGTTTTATAGCCCGTAATTCTTCGACGGGTTCGGGGGCGTGTGGGGAAGGCCTAGCAGGAATTTGTCAACGTTTGGTAATAACCAAATTAATAAGCCTCTGTACTGATGACGTCACGTTTTGTTTACACGTGTGCTTTCTTATGGGAGCCTAGTGGGGACGACGGTTTCGTAGCCCCATAGAAAAGCGCACACGTAAACACAGTGTGACGTCATCAGTACACAGGCTTATTTATTGAGACTCTCCATCCCTTTTCTGAATTCCCCAGTCGACCGTTTTCCGATGTAAAAATCGATAACTTTATCAAATGTTTGGAAAGTCGACAAACACAGATTATGCGTTTAAAAGTCTACTTCGGGTACTTTTTGGTTTAGAACTTATCAACCGATTTCGGCGAGGTTTTTGCAGTTACGATGATAAATGATTTTGAGGAATTGTCATATTTATGTGCAATTAACTAACAGGTGGCCGATATTAATTAATCACTTTACGAAACAGAGGCCGGGTAATTGGTTCTTCGTTTTTTTTCTTTTATACCGGTTCCCTTATAATAAACAAATCGGTTATTTCTCGATGAACAAGACACGGTTGTATAAAAACGATTGTAACATATTCATGTCATTGATCTTCCTTTTCAAAATGCTTTGTAATAATAATAATGAACGTCATTGTGATAATTATGCTTAAATGAAATTTAAATTTGTAATTTTTTTTTTTAATTTGGTTGTATATTGAGGGATAAGATGCAAATAATAATTGTTGTTTTTTCTTGCCGAGTGTTTCCACCAAAATTGCGAAACACCAAGCCTTGGTGGTGATTGAAACTGTTTTTGATTATTCTGAAATTTGCGAAACAAGGAAGACTGTAAATTGTTGCAATTTTTGTTCTCAGCTCAAACTGCCACACCGTGTACATTTTTGTTGTGTAAATAAAGTAACCTCACTATAAAACTGATTTGCTAGCAATTAATGTAACTGAAGATGAACATACTTTGGGAAAACAAACAAAATCTGCTGTATATATCGATGTTTCTTTAAGCCATACTAAGTATCAACACTAGTTAATATGTACATTTTATCCGTAATGGTATTGTTATTACTAAGTTACGTCTTTAATCGCTTTTTCTGGACTGTAGTTACGTTGTCTCGTAGACTCCGTTACCAGCCGTTTATGTAACTCAACTTGTGAATTGTCTCGCCCTTCGTCTTTGTAAATGAATTAAGAAAAGCCTCTGTGATGTCAGCCAACCAACAAGAATGGCGAGATAGATGAAATAAAGGCTAAGGATATCACAAACTCATTTTTTTTGTGTGTTTAATGTTCACGTTACGTTTATTATGGCGTTCGAGTGGGTTCAACAGAGCACTTGTGGCTGTTGGTACTGAGTTTAAACGAAATTTCCCAAAAGTATAAAAGGGGTTAAAATTCTTTATTCGGAGCTCTGGAAGTGCCATCAAAGATGCTGTGATCATGATATCCTTTATCACGGATTACGACATCTTACACGTAAGGTGACGACTGAAAAGTGGAATGTCGACATCCTGAGATAAACGGGTTGACGACATCCTAAAAGTGGAATGTCGACATCCTGAGATATACGGGTTGACGACATCTTAAAAGTGGAATGTCGACATCCTGAGATAAATGGTTTGACGACATCTTAAAAGTGGAATGTCGACATCCTGAGATAAACGGGTTGACGACATCTTAAAAGTGGAATGTCGACATCCTGAGATAAACGGGTTGACGACATCCTAAAAGTGGAATGTCGACATCCTGAGATAAACGGTTTGACGACATCCTAAAAGTGGAATGTCGACATCCTGAGATAAACGGGTTGACGACATCCTAAAAGTAGGATGTCGACATCCTAAGATATTTTACCAAGGGATGACGGCATTCTAAAAGGAGGATGTCGACATCTTACGTGGGATGTCGTCATGCCGCGATGAAATACATCAAGAGGTCGGCATCGTACTTTGAGGATGTTGTCATCCCGTGATAAATTATATACCAGATGTTGTTGGGATCCTATAGAGCTCCGTAAATTTGTGTTGAATTTCTCATGGTTTGAAAAATGGAGGGTTTTAATTCTAAAAGAAAATCCAGGCAATGTAGCTCTATAGCCTGAAGAAAGAAGACGACGACGAAGAAAGGTTCAGTTTGTAGAGGTGGGAGAAAAAGGGTGCATGCTTATGTTCCCCAATACCGATGTTCCCTAACCTTAACCCTAACCCTAAGGATTTTGGGGAACATCGGTATTGGGGAACATAATTATTAAGGAACATCGGGCAGACATCGGGTGATCACATTCGAGATGAGCACCATGGAAAATTCAAGTTCCGTCGTAGCCTAGGTAGGATTCAAACCTGGGTCACAGATACGGAGAGCTAGAGGCACTTAGAATGCTTCGAAAAGAAGTGTACACCCCTTGTCAGTGCTTCACTCAGTTGCCTAGTGTGTTCTCAATGCGCTTCTTGGTTAGTGGTAATCTGTTCCTAGAGCCCGTAAGAAAATTCGAGACAGGTAAGTCGGTCACACAAACTGACACAAAATATGGAAATATCTCCATATACCCACACCCAATTTGCTAACATAATCACAGGTGGAATGCGATATGCATTAGCATAGTCCTCTATACAGCCGCTTGCACTGGTAAGCTGCGATACTGATATTCCGAAACGAATTTCGCTGAAGGGAATGTATCGAGTGATTGGTATCGCGCCTAGATTCGGTCTGATCCTTGGTCCCATCCAAGCCCTGCGGTGCGTTCCACTTAACGCGAACAACGCAAACGTTGCCAACAGTTTCCCGTGATGGCACAAAGAAAAACATCGCGAACGTTGGCAGTGTTTTGCTTGAGTGGAACGCAGCTCTGGTGCAGCCTAAATGCTTTTTTTGGTGCAATAGGCCTACTAGTAAAATGATGTTGCATTATTGTGGGATCCCTGGGCATCTTCAGTTTGCATGAATCTAGTGCATATTCTGTAGGGGCATTCTGACATCGGGATATCAGATTTTAAGTTCTTTCCTTTTCCATTGTTCCTTTTGTCGATCGATGTTTGTGAAGATGGCCCAATAAACGTGTAGTTGCAGCACGTATCTACATTACCAGCACTTCCACTACACCCCCTAGCGCTTGAATTTGACACCTTGAAAAGCCAAGTCTCTCAAACCGACACAAAAAAATGCAGTTCATATTAGACCGTATCAGTGCTTAATAAGATGTCATATCTAGTTTCAGGCGTTTCACAAGATCGCTGATATCGCAGTCACGTATAAGTATGCGCCCCCGCGGCCCACCAAACACCGATGCATAACATTTCTTTGAATTGTATTGGAACAGTAGTAGGCCTATTTTGCAACGTGAATTTTTAGAAAGTGAGGGAATTACTGCCATTTTAAGACGTTAAGTTCGTTTGACGATGTCTTTAAGAGCATTTGCATCATCTTTGTCGTCATCGACATCGTCATCAACCCCTTCCCCTAGTGAGTTTATACCACGGATGTCACTAAGACTTCCACCGGTTGATCGGCGTTTCCCCTCCGGGGGCGTTTCTTCTCTTAAACCGGTCAGTTTGCGGAAGACGGTCACAACCCTCAATGCGAAATCATGCAAAAGAGGCAATTTTCCCTCCGTTTTTCACACTATATCCAGCGATTTTTGAGCTCATTTCTGTAAAACCAAACGCCCCAGGAGACACAGTAGTACGAGAAAGCTGGGGATAATAGATTTTGTTTTTCGATGTTTGGCTATGGTCCAGTGGTGGGGGCACATCAGATCTAATTTTCGCCCACCACCACTCGGGACATGACCGACTAGGATTTCCTTTACGTGTCGGTAATTCCAATCTCATCGTAAATCTGCCCTCAGATTCCCCTGGGTACATATTTTGAGCAGCGTAGCTACAAGGCGATCCGCGCCTGGCCACCTCGTCGCTGTGCCCCCTCAAACATGTTGATTTTCACGCCCGATTCCCTCTGCTAAATCGGTTCGTCGGGAAACGACCATCAGACATCGAGTCTTGCAGCCTAAAAGGCTTGGTGCAGTGATTGCTAATTAGCGAATAACCTGGTTTGAAATGGTCTGGGGACAAAATTTGCCGCCTTTCCAGGACATAAATTACATCTGCAACACTCAACTTGAATTCAATAAATGTCAATTTCTTTTGTTAGATCCAGAACTAAACAGTTTACACCTTTTAATCGATGAAATGCTACGTCAGGATCTATTTTTTTTGCCACGTAAAAAAAATTATGAATTTAAGATAACATTGGAAATAAAAGTCTATTTCTAACTTCTTGTAGCAAAACAACAGTAACTAAATTGAGTGTGCTTGGCAAAATGCCAAGCTGTAATAGTCTTTTTTTTTTCTCCTGTTGCATTCAATTTATTTTTGCCAGAGCAAAACAAGATGTGAAATATTTTAACATTTTCTCTCGAAAACAAAACAAAACCGCCGGCCACTCACTTCTAAAGTGTGACCTTCACGCTGAATCACAACTTACGTTCCAATTGAAACTGACTCCAGGGAGGGATTACAAACAATTTTTACATATCGAACTCGAGAAAAGGTCATGAAAACCTGAAACATGCAGTTGCTGAGATTTTACTTGACTGCCACGGGCTATCTTTGTGTCCGGATGATGGAAAGTGATACCTCTCCCCTCCAGATTGTTTGAAGTTCCTAGTGTTTGTGATCCCCCTCTCTGTTGAAATGCGGAAAACGTATCGGAAAGCACTGAGCAAACACATAGATTTATCAAGGAGGGCAAAAGGCCACATGGAAATGCACGTCACCTGGAGGAAACATTTCCACCAGAACTCTCTGCTCGCTGCTGTATCGAATTTGAACTAGCCGTTCAGGTAAAAATGCAGGATTTTTCGCATTATTATATCATACCCTAGTCTGTAAAGTAAGACTGCGAACACTGGCGAGCTCGGTTGTTCATTTTATGTGCAATGGTGGATCTCTACCCCCCCCCCCCCCCCCGACCGCAAGAAATAGTAAAATCATGCAGACAATTAACACTTGCCTTCTAATACCCCCTCTCCCTCCCCTGACAGCTAAACCCCCTCTTAAGCCAAACCTGGATCCGCCCCTGGTGTGGTAATACGTTTGCATTAGCATGAAGAAAACAAGGCAAGCATATAGTGAATCTGATCCCAAAGCTCACAAATTCTATTCAATCGATTCAGTATGGCTTTTCACTAGAAGTCTGGTTCATGCATCTGGTCTAGTCCGTCGGCCGGATTTAGCCCATGGCGTTACGGGGTAATCCTATAGGATAGCACTGCCCGGCACTCAAGATCACCAGTCTACAAGCAGTCTAAATCACAAGCGACAGTCAGTCAGTCAGTCAGTCAAATAGGTACAAAGAAGACACTAGGCTGGCCCTCTGAGAGCAGCAAAAATGTCGAGGGATCGCGTCTCATCCGGGTACACTTGTAGACTCTTTCTGGCCATGGCCTCTTGCAAGCACTGAGCAAGCTTGTGACATCACGTCGGTAGACTGCAAAACCAAATATTAAAATGTACATCTCCGGCCAACGCTAAATTCCGCCAAAATTCATAACACTATCGACAGCAAATGTATTAAGTCCGAATAATACGGAACCTACTTGACATTTTTAACAACAACAAAACGGTAAGTGGTAAGACGTCTGCACTGGTAAGCAGGAGGTCGTGGGTTCGATTCCCACCGAGTAGTTTGTGATTTTTTTCTTCTCACAATCGCTCGGGGAAACACTGAGTATACAGTGTTTATATACCCAAAACACAATATTGAATTAACATCACCCAAACTCTAATTCCATCTTATGAAGAAAAAAATCCCGATAGTGGCTTTAGAAATGAAATATCCGCAACGATTTGTTATTTTAAAAACGACTCCGGGGCAGAGATCCAGAGGGAACTTTAGAGTCACTCAAACGGGCAGTGTTTTTTTTTTAATTGCTTTAGATAAAAAAATACATGAAATTGTTAACGGCTGCTATTAAGGCAAGTTATACTCAAGTGAAGTCTCAAGGTCGATTATTCTGGAGCGCGTGCCTGCGCTTCTTATGGATATAGGCCACATGAAGGTCTAGTTTTTTTTTATGAATGGACTTACGTCATCGCCGGTCTGCGTCTGCTTACGTCATCGTTCGACACACCAAACAAATGACATTGATTGGTCGTAGGGATTTTCTAAGGGCCCTTAATTGCTATTAATAGATGAAATCAATGAAAGGGCCTTTTTGCAATAAAGTGGTTTCTCTGCAATTCACCCACGATGCCATTTTTGCAAACATGATATTCTCCACTGAACACGGAACTTGAATTTTACGTGACATCTTAGCCTAATAGTAACAAAATAATCTAACATTTTTATAGGCCAAGGTTTTACTTATGAAATAACTTGCAGTTTTTTCTTCGTTATTAAAATTTTGAATTTAGAATATAGCGTCTTGATAGCCGTCGTCTTTAGCAATTTTGGGGATTTCAAGATGCTGGAGAAAAAAGAAAGAAATGTAGTTAATTGTAGGGAAAATTGTCTTCCAATTCGCATTTCTTGTAATATGCATGCAATATTCTCAGTGCTTTTTCACATGCGAAAAAAAAGACGGTAAAGAAATACACCTTTTTTTTAAATCGGAGAGGAAAAGTTTGGACATCGAGTCGGAGCCAATTATGACAATAAATCTCGAAGCCTATTTTAATGCTTTAATTTTCTGGAATCGCATTTCACATTTTGGTGCCTTATTTTCAAATAAGGTTTTTTTAATGGAACTTTGTTCAATTAAAGAAAATAATTGGCGCAAATGTCCAAGATATGATCCCGTTAATAACACATCTTTACATGTTTCCAATCAACCCTTGTGGCATGTCGAGTAAGGAAGAAGAGGGTTGGAGGTCAAGGTGGGTCATCACATTGATCCAAGGGGGTCGATCTTCTCATGTCACTCCCGCCCTACCCCCACACCTCACCCGACACTCAAATGTGAAAGGGTGAGTACGAAAAATGTTAAGAACTTGGTCAACCGCCGATTATTTATATGTTATGCACGTGTTTGTAAAATAATTTTGGTATCAAAATTAATGCATGATGTCCAGTGCTGTACGTCTCATCCCCTATCCCACTTTATGAATATATAATTCCGGTAAGCGGCCCTAACTTCCTCATCATCAAAATTTGTCGTTACGCAACACTTTGTCAAGCGACAATATATATGAAATTCTAGCACCGAATCAACTTCAGCGGTATTTAACAAAAGTCGAGGAGATACATAGGCGGATCCAACGGGGGTGGCTGGGGTGGTTGGGTGGCTATTTATGAACCACCCGCTTCAGACTGACCGACGATAATTCAGTAACGTCATAGACAGAAATGTCCTGTTATGTTCCTTGAATGGCGGTCAAGCTAATTGCAGCTGCCGTATACGTACACTGATGACCAGTTTTGTCATCTGCCCAAGTCGTCAGCTCGGTCGCGCCCACATGCCAACACGCACAAACCGATGACACAAACAAGACGATAACTTCGTTATAAAAGGGGATAAAGTCATCCAACATTGTCTGGTTCCTGATATTATTCCTGATCTCCATGGCAACGTATTGCTAGCCTACATCAGTGATCATCCGTCGGCCAGTCGTGTTGTCTGCGCAGAGGGAGAACGCGTTCATTTCGAACCCACCGAGTGAACAATGAAGTACGGAGAGCTGGAGGCACCTGCACGCTTCGCATAAAAGTATCAATTTCTGTGGACGATTTCTTTTGAACAAAAGTGTTTTTGTTTTCTTTAAAAAAAAAAACAACTCGGGATCTATTTGGAGGCAGGGTTCATCTCTTAACGGACTTCATCTGCAGTGTACATTGACTGAGGAGTGCCAAGTTCTTTCCGCTTTTATTTTGGGAACCTTTTTTTTCCCGGTTTAAAGATGTCTGGATTATTCCTGACGATGGTTTGCCTGATCTTAAGTGTTCTTGTTTTGACCATGGGCCCGCTGTCGGCAGAGTCGTCGAGGATAGGAGGTAAGAGACTTTAAGGAACCAACGGGGAATTAGATAAAGGGAGGGGTTCCTGACACTAAAAGTCAAGGTCCAACTTTGCGACATTAGGACTCTTTGATACAAAAACAACGTGGCTTGAGAAAAGTTGGCGGACAGCATTTTGGGCTGATATTGTGGCTGATGCGCTCGCAGGTTCGAAATCCACCCACCAGAAACGGACAAGACACACTTGTGTTTCTGCATTTTTTTTTATCATTGATTACTAAAAAATATGCTGGCATAATAAAGGCCTAATGAAACCAAGGATTTTTCAAATGTGCATCGGCACTGTAGCTTGCAAGCCTTAAGAATTGAGTCCTAAGCCTTCAAAGCTGCTATGTTCAAAAGTTGCTTCAAAATGTGTATAGCTTACTACATTACCGGGTGGTATAGTCTAGTTCTTTTCTGTTTTCAAAACAAGAAATCGGGGAAAAACACCGGCCGCGACGTTCGGTTGAGCCGTTCAAGTTCTTAAAGTCTTTACCGACATATTTAAGGGACCAGGTGTTTGTATTGTTTGTTCGGCCTTCAACCATAAACTGAAGCGCTCGATAATTATTCGTAGAGGCATCAAAGACGGCAGTCCAATTGTGAGATTATTTTCACCTCCAGAGGAAAACAAATCGAAATCTTCGACGCGAAATACTTGCAAGGGTTTGGAATAAATTCATTCTTAAGTATGCTTACACACTGATTGCGCGTTCGATTTCCCCCTTGACATTAAGAATTGACACTCGTCTTTTCATATCTGTAGAGAAAGGGTGACTTTTTGTTTGCGATTGGTTTTTGTTCGAGTGAACTGGCAAGGTTTTCGGCTACTTGAATGATGGATTTTTACGTAATAGCTATGGTAATCATAATCGGCCCCGGGTGTCTGATGTGTGGAATGGTGACCGACTGCATGGGCCATTACGAAGCATATTTAAAGCCAGAGTCCATCATTTGCAGCTATTCCAAAAGTAACTGGCGTAATTATTGTTGAAAAACATACTTGGTTGAAAGATAGTAAGGGGACTAAACTCCCTGTGAAATTATTCTTTCTGGCAAGCTGTCATTTTGAAGAAATCAACGAAAGAAGGCCTTTTCCAACGGTGCGTCTTAAGAAGCACCGTTGGAAATTTCCGTTTTGGCCAAAAAAAAAAGTCTCCGGTTTCTGGTATGCGCGCACGTCGCCGTAGCCATGCGCTACGGCAAAATGAAAAAGTTTTTTTTTCAATACAAGATGATGTCTCAAAACCGCCAAACTCACTGGTTTGACTAGAACCCTGCTGCTGCACAATTTTAACGTGTTTTTAGATGGGGTTACGATCGAGAATAAGCTTTATGTGGCCTCTCTGGACTCCCATATATTTGCACTAAGTTTAGTCGGGCACCATTTGCAGTCATCAGCCGACATTTGAAGCCAAAAAAAAAAACCAGGTAAAAAAAAAAAAAAAAAAGCCGCGTCGCCGCACCACTTTTGGGGCAAGCTCCATACCAGAAACCATACCAGAAACCGGAGACTTTTTTTTTTGGCCTTAGTAGTTCGTTTTTTATTCAGCGAAGCGCGCGCAAGCGTTGACCCGACGCACACGCGCGCCCAGTTGCTATGATTCGTCGGATCAGTGCACGACATCGCGTAGCTGCAATCGGCTCAGTGAGAACGTGTCTCGGACGCTGAATTCAGGCCCAATTCAAAACAAGATTCAGCTACTTTTGATTTGAAATCGAGATCCTAGAATGTTGTTTTTCTCGAAATATACAGGTGAAAAACTTCATCAGGTTAGTTGTTCAGCACCCTTCTTTAGATTTTGAGCACTTTTGTTGCTTCAAACGAACAAAATGCACAAATTACAAATGATGGACTACAGCATGAAAATTGTGTTGGAAAGGGACTCTTTGGGGGCAAAAATCCAAAATGGCTGCCGCGCCATATATTAATGCAATCATTTCGGTACATTAAAAAAAAGGAAAACTGTATTTTAAGGATTCAATTTACATAATTATTCTTACTTACAAAACATTTTCTAAGGCGTCGGGCTATAAGTAACTGGATAATTATGAGGACATAATGAGAGATCCAAAATGGCTGCCGTTGTCCACTAAAATAGCGTACATTTACCTTTCCCCTAGAAATCACCATCATGGGAAACGTATTATTGTCCGAGCTTCAAATTCACAAAGTTACCTACAGGCACAGTTACCCAACTAAAAGTATGTGGGAAAATCATGTGAACAATGATAGCATCACGGGTATGCAGCCCAAAAAGCTATACCAAAAATAGGAGGAAAAAGGGGGGGGGGGAGGAGGTTTCAGGAAATTGGGTTAAAAATTAGGCGAAGAGTTGCCTAATGATGGGGACTTGAACAAGTTCTAAGAACCCCTCCTCAAATAAGAGATTAAATTTGTTAATAACATTGCAATGTCAAAAGGTTTTACAGTAAACTTGGGCAAACCTTGGTCCTTTTTTAGCCAAATTTACGGACACCTCTTTTCCCCGCGTTTTTTTTTTTTTTTTTGGGGGGGGGCTAAATATCATGATACTTTCATTGTTCACATGATTTCCCACATGTCGTTCTATTAGAGTAACTGTGTCAGTAGGTAACTGAGTGAATATTAAGCTCTTCAATAGTGAGTTTGTCGAGACAACTTTAGGGTTTAGCCATATTGAATATTTTGTATGTCCTTATAAGGAAATATATGTAAATATAATCCGCACGATATACTTTTCAAAAAATAAATATAATGAAAATGTACCAAAATTTGTCAATAAATATATAACGCTGCGATCGTAACCCCATCTTAAAACACGTTAAAAATTGAGCAGCAGCAGGATTCCAGTCAAACCAGTGAGTTTGGCGGTTTGAGACATCATCTGAAATTGAAAAAAAAAAAACTTTTTAATTTTGCCTACGCGCATGGCTAAGGCGATCATGCGCGTGCAGACCAGAAACCGGAGACCTTTTTTTTTGGCCTAATAAGGGACGTATTTTCCAGGACATGACAGCAATAAGTCTCACGCCCGCACACGGATTTAACCTGCAAATTTGTTCCAAAACTATCCAAACTGCGGCACATGATTCGTGAAAACATCTAGGTATAATTATTACATTGCAGCATGTCTCGGGACAGTATGAGCTTGGCATTTAATCCGACTAGAGGTCTATGCACCTGCAATGGGGAGACGTATGTTGCCCCCAAACAAGTTCCCCAAAGCAAACAAGATCCGCCACAAATATCTGGGTTTTCCTTCTGGGTTTGCTTGTGATTGTATCTCATCAATTTACGGACATTTATGACTGTACAGCAAACATTGAACTTAAGGCCATTAACCTTTCGAGAGGGCCCCATCATAGGAACTGAATTTTGACAATCTGATGGTTTTAAGATGTTTATCCCGTTACCCGATATACTTTACATCACCCACCTGGGAACATTAACGGAGATACCCTGAGAGTAATCGGATTTTATTCCTTTCTCAAAATGCCAGAAGTCCCATTATGATTAGTGGCGTCTACGATATGTTTGTATGGTCTGAGTGATCGTGACAAACAGATCACTTATGGGCTTTCTTTCCAAGTAAGAGAATGTTTGCTGGCCGTTGTCCTTGAAAAAAAAAATACCCGGAGACTCACGTGCATTATACGATATCGGCGATAGTGTGACTGGTCTGCGATAACATCTGATTGTTCTATGGTATACCGACCATTTGCCAAGGGCGGATCCAGAACACAATTTTTTTGGGGGCCAAAAAAAATTTGGTCCCCCCCAAAAAAGTGGGTCTCAAAAATTACGGCGTGGGGTTCGGGGCCCGTGAGGGCCCCGAAAAATGTTTGGATTCTAGATGCTCTGTGGTGCGATCTGAGGCAATTTCTGACCACTTTAACCAATTTTTTTTTAAGGAAAAGATGGTGGTGTACTCATTGCCTGCCTTTATTGCGATGTCACATTAAAAAAAAAAAAAAATGGTTTCGTTTTATGGCCCCCTTTGGCCCCCCCCCCCCCGGATCCGCCCTTGCCATTTGCACGGTTGATATTGCTACTTGCACTGATAGTCCCGTAATAGATGAGCAACGGCCATAATGACGACGCGAAGGTTTTTTTTATGCACGGGTAGCCTCAACTTCGATCCAAGATGGCCGCTCAGAGAGAAAATAAGCTCACACACCTGCGGTCGGTATGAGTTAGATCATATGTTCATCTACGACAAATATGTCGTCGCCGTGGCTATGCCGCTGACATAGCAAACATGATCATGCGTCCGTGTTCTTTTGGTCTGACGATTAATTTGGACCCTCTACTTGTTTTTAAGCTCCTAATTGTTTCTGTCAGTGATGCAACTCGTTTCTGCCTAAGTTCAGATACCCCTAGGCGTTTGTCAGACGACGAACGTGATCAAATCACACAAGCTACCAAACTAAATGTCACTGTCTCCCTCAATGGTTGGGAACTTTCAAGGGATATTATATTGCATGCAATTCTCTACAACAAACAAATTATGTGCACTTCTAGCTGTCTAGGCCAATTTGACAACAAAAGTTACCTTATTGCAAGGCGCATGCGCACTGCATTTACTTTCTCCTTAAAAACAACACCGCCTACGCGAAACTTTTTTACAATGACTCCATTAGCCTTTTTGAGATAGGGTGGACACAATCGAAAAAAACCCCACTTTTTAGTTTGGTTAAACTCTTATGTACCCAAATCTTTCAAAAAGGCAAATGTAACTGTCGTCGACAAAGTATAACTTAGTTCACAAGTATTTTCATTTTCATCTTTTTTATCCTTAGGGATTAACAGAGAATATCTAATGAAGAAAAGAAGTTGCAGCCAAGAAGATGGCCAGGCAGCGCTTGCAGAATGTGGTAGGTAGACTGAAGGCCCACGGTGGTTTGAGGGGTTGGCACGGGATTAAGGACTCCATGACTTAGCGGTGGCTCCCTCCACCACTCCCCCATTAGGGAAACATTGTACACATGTCTTACTACCCCGTAGTTTCCTTGTTGTGTCACGGTACAGAGACCAATCCGTGCACAATGGTTTCTCCATTGAACTTGGTGGGAGGGGCCGCATGAGTCGAGTGCACAGTGATCACGTTCCATGATTCGTCTATTTAGACCAAATACCAAGCTACCCACTTTTTATAATTACTGGACTGGCTTTCCGCCATTACTGGGACGCTCCAAAGCTCCCTACAATTACGCGCCAACTTAAAGGGGCATTTCGGCATGAAATCCCCGAAAATGTTACGTTTTGGATTGTTTACTCATCCTATTTCAAAGGTCTGATTGAAAGCAAACTAACCTAATGTCATACAGTTCCCGAGAAAAGACGGGAAAAAAAAACATTCTTTACATCGGACGCGGCAGGCACTTTGTGGCATACACATACGTTTTCCATGCGTTTCCATTCAATGTACGGTACACGTTGTGTAGGTGTACACAAATGTACAATACACAAATGTTGTTTCTCGCAAGTCCGCAAAATGCGATGTACTGTGCGGCAGGATTCACAACTAGCACTCAACTCTTAATTTTCGAGAGTCAAAATTTTGACCCTCGAAATTCGTTCTCGCATGGTTCTCCCACCACTACCTGGTATTGGATCATTTGCATATCCAAAAAATTTGTATACGTATGCAAATGAGGAATAGTCTGGTGCCTCCCTGTTCTTTACATCAGCGTTTGTTTCGAATGTGGTGTCTGGGGTAAAAAAAACCCATCTAATTCGCCGCGGCATGAGTGACGAAAACACGATTTGGTTTCAAAGTTAAAATGTTACAATCTTATCAAGCCAATAAATTATGCAGTATCACATTTCATATTGATACATGTATGAGCAAATTGGAAAGGAAAGGATTATTTTTAAGAAACACGTTATACACTTTGGATATAACAACACCAAGTACACGATATAAATCCATTACCTGCTAATTGCTCAATCAGGATACAGGAAGCAAGGTCCCATCCCAGGGCTTACTTTTGGAAACGAGGTTGAAATTAAAGTAACCTCCGGGGACGAGGTTGCCCTTTAAATGACTTGTCCAGAACTAGCTATAGACCTTTCTATCGCCAAACTATGGAAGGTCCAACACTACAAAAGAAAAAAAAGGTTATTAATGGTTACAAAAATATTTTTTGATGGTTGAAAATACAAAATTATCAACAAACGCAACAAATTCCTAAACATGCCCTTTTTACGTAATATGTTGCCAACCACGGCTTCAAAAGACCAACGACATTCGAAAAAAATGAAGACTTCTATCAGAATAGGAGGCTTGTGGACATTAATTCCAGTCTGACATAAATTTCAGTGTAAACTTTCAACCCACACAATGAGACACATTTATACTAGACCTATACTGAAATGGGCCTCTCAGCCGAGCGGTTAGAGCGTGGAGCTACGAAGTTGGCGGTTCGAATCCCATTCGGACCAAAAACTGGAAAACTCTCTCTGACGACCAACAGTGAAAAAAATGGGTACGTGATTCGTTCAGGGAAGGTAAGACGGCGAGAGGAGAGGACTCGACCGGGCACCGCTCTCATATGCCGCGCCCAAGACATAGTGGACCTCTAACATCCCACTTTTTGCACTGCCCTACGGCCAGTATAATGGCTATGGGACCCCTACCAGTCCTTTATCTTATACTGAAACGGGACTCATCATTAATTATACAGGGTGTCCCCAAAAAAGTTGTGCAGGCAGATATCCTTTATTTTATCACAAACTACTTAACATGAGTATGTCATCTTGATGGAGCATATTAATTATACTCTTGTGTATAATCAGTGAAAAGGCCATGGAAATCCGCTCATGCAAACCAGAGATCTGACGGATTGTAAAAGGCTATGGATTCTCCACCAATTCCAATGGGATTTACACAGTTTACGATTATCATTACATCAGAAAGTCATGGGCCTTTTCGGTCCGAGTGATGTAAATTAAGTTAACTGTGCACATTTCATCCCATTGGAATGAGTGAAAAACTAATAGCTTTTTATAATCTGTTAGATCTCTGGTTACACCAGGGGCGTAAATCCGGGGGGGGGGGGGATGGCGGGTATATATCCCCCCTCCACTTTTTTACCGGGGGATGGGTTATTGAATCATCCCCCACTTGTTCGTGATGAGAATAAGAAAATGCGGATTTCGAGGTATTTTTCAAACATCCCAACAACCAAAATGTATTCAATAGCATAGAAAAATGGTGTAATATGGTGCCCCCCCCCCCCCCCTGCTGTTCAAATTGCCACGGCCGGGCAATTTTTGTCTTTTGGTCATCCCCATACCCCCACCCCCCACTCGCCGGCACAGATTTACGCCACTGGGTTACATGAACGGATTCCCACGGCATTTTACTGAATACACACAAGAGTATATTATTGATATGCTCCATCAAGATGAAATACTCATTAAGTAGTTTGATGAGAAATTGAAGGATATTTGCTTGCCCAACTTCCGGGACACCCTGTAGACCTACATAAAATGAGGTTTTCATTCAATAGTTAAAGTTTGACTTAATTGGTTCTATAAATTGACAAGTGGGCGGTTGGAATTAGCAAGATTTTAGACCGAATAAACAGTGAAAGTACACAAATCACGGTAACCGACAACGTCAACGACTTTGTGAATCACCCCGATGTATCCTGCTATGATGAACATGACAAACAATTATCCGGGTGGTTTCTCTGTCAGAATACCGTATTATTTGAATTGCAACTTGAGAACATTAATGACTTTTTCATTGAAATGAAGGATCATTTGCATCGTCACGGCCCAGTTAACCGCCGTGATAATCTTTTCCCGATGAATTTAGTGGATGATTTAGCGGCGTTGCCGTGGTAGACATGCCGGCGCGGATACCTGGATAGGACGGCGCAAAGAAAGAAAGGGAAAATCCGTGGAAATGTGCGGCACTTAATTTTACTCCCCCGCTTTGAAGGGTGTCTTCAGATCTGTACGTCTTAAAGGAGACTTTGAACCTCTGTGTCTACAGAGGGCGCTATTGCGACATGAGGGTGTTTGGGCTCGGAACGCCAATTTTTTTTATTCATGGAAAACATTCTGTAATGACATTTTGGGGTTTTATTTTATTGTCAGTGATAATGACAGAAAATGAACAAATTGTTGACTGTGTGCAAAAGTCCCAAAGCGTTTGTTACGGACGTGCACTAATAAGGGGCCGTGCATAAAAGTACGTATACGCACAAAGGGGGCCGAGTGGTGTGTTATTGTTGTTAACATTGCGTACACCATGTGTACGGGGGGGGGGTTCCAAGCCAATGCGTACATACACACAGTGGTAATTTCTTTTAAATAAGTTGTCATAAAATCAATGTTCTTTCTCATATTTAATACGCACTGGGACCAAAGTCGGCATTTCCCGCGTAGTCATACGTACTATGGATGGCCGCTCAGCGAGCTGAGTTTAATTAAAAAAAAATGCAACTCTCTACTATAGATACGTCTCTGTGTTGAAGATGGCGTCACCTATTTGAGTCATTTTACAAAATTTGAACGAATAGGCTACATGTGTGCAACATAATCAGCGAACGAACATGCGCCTTGTCTGTGCTGCCTACAGGGGGCGCCATTGATGCCGTTGAAGATGACGCGACCTATTCACAGCCAGATTTTATTTAAAAATTGGTTCAAAACGTGCGCAAGACATCAGCTCGCAATCTTGAGATCAGTGAAAGAAACAAACTACGTTTATATCAGAAAAAAAAAAATATGTAGCGGGTGGGGTGGGAAACGATTCATTCCGGCTCCTTTTGGGTCGTTCAGCCCTAACGATGCCAGGCCGAATATGATTAAGGATCCAAGGGATCCGTACTCAGTTCGTAGATGTACCGCCGTCATAGAGCTGTATAATAGACCGCCGTACACAGCTTTTATGCTTCCCATTTTTTTCCTCCAGTCGTTGTTTTTTTCCTATTGCACCTGCTCGTTAGTACGGTGGCGAGGCCCTTGGAAAATCCATGATTAATGTGATGCATTTGGCGAGGATACATTTAGCTTCCATTATACTCTCTGTCCTTTCATAATGACCGTCGATTTCGTTCTGGTTTCTCCAGAAAAGAAAAGAAATGAGGTTTACCCGGAAAGCATCATTCTCACATTAATGGACAGCTTCCGCTCTGCGTCGACATTGAGGGATGTCGCACAATTAATTGTAGGCGTATTTTCGAGTTCAATTTCCCGGTTAGTCTCGTGGTTTTTTTGGTTCACGATCAGGCCTCATCATTGTCTCGATTAAATTCTCTAATTCCTGCACTTTGTGGTTATTTGAATATATATGTATTAACTGTTAACAATATCATTTTTATGTGGAAGGAATTATTCCGGGGGGGGGGGGGGAGCTGGGAGAGGCCTCTAGCCCCTTCACCCCACCCCACCTTATAAGACCTCGGAACTGGACTCGCAGGGGCGTAAATCCCGGGGGATGGGGGTGTATAACCTCCTCCCCCACTTTTTGACGGGGGATGGGCCATTGAATCATCCCCACCAAATTCAATAGCACTGAAAAGTGGACAAAGTACAAAAGCTTTTAAAATGCGCCGTTTCGATGTAAGCGCGAGTATACATAGCCGGGAAATTTTTGGATTTTGGTCATCCCCCATTATACCAGCCACTCGCCGGCACAGATCTCTTTCCTCTAACTGATTTTATTTTTGTCTTTCAAATATAATATTACAGGTTCAAATGCACGGTGCATAAGCAGGGTGGATAGAGCAATAGCTAGGAATTGCGGTGAGTATTGATGTAATGCCCCTGCTAATGACTCAGTGTCAAATTGGATTCAGTGCCATGTGCAAAAATGTGAGCAATTCATGATTTTGTCCTAATATGTTGACCAATAAATAAATGAATACCAAAGCCCTCTGACATTGACATTTGTTTATTGACACTAAGTATGAATTATGACTTTTCCCATTGCGTGGCCAAACGTACAGATTCTTTTTTACTACCCACCGTTTCTGGCATTTCGTATCAAAGTGGTCAAAATCGATTCGTTTTTATGAAGAGTCGCGGTCGAGTGATAGCCATAGGAGGCCTAGCTACATTTCCATAGTAACTGTCCACGATGCACGCATGCAAATTTCCTGGCTGGTTGACCGCACTGAATGACGCATCTTATACCTAAATGACAAACGATCACAATAATTCGAATCGTTTGTCTATTTGGACTTTCCTTTCACCGTTTACCACGGAGAAGGTCGAAACCCGCCCTCTATTGATACATTTATTGACTGTATTATTCTGCTTACCTATTCATTTATTGACTGTATTGTTCTGATTACCTAATTAGTGTCTTGCAATGATTCCATCGAAACTCCTGAATTATTTATGAAAAAAATGGCTTCACCCACTTATGGGAAAAACATATCTGAACTCATAACACACGTCTGTGTTCAAACTACCAATATCCTTCTTTTGGGGTAAATGAGGGCGCTGTATAAGACTCCAATAGGAGGTAGAAACAGATCCGAAACACATACATCTAATATTGACGTAAGTTGACACATTGATATGCTACAGCTCAAACATTACATTAGTAAGGGGGTTTCCCAGTGGTTGCATATCGCATCCGGATGATGGCGTCCTCGATTTCTGAATAATTATGACCTATACTCCACATCTCATGTGAACAATAAGTTGTGGGACAACGTTTTGGATAAACAAACCCATGCACGTGATGCTGTAAAGCTGTCTATCGGAATAGGATCGCGTTTTGTTTATCCAAAAGACCAGAAGACCAGAAGACCACTTATGATCCGTTTCAAATTCGAAGAGCATCTCTTTGATCTCCCAACGTTTTAACGTTATTCCACCTGTCGGCCTATAAAATTGTTTAGGAAAGTAGAGGAGAATGGTAATAAAAACCCCGAAGAATAAAAAAGCAACGATAAATATACCAACGATAACGAAAGAAAAGATATTTAATACATTAAGAATTTTTTTTATTAAATATATATTCCCCTGTGCTTGGTCAATAGGAGCGAAAAAGAGAGCGTTTGATGCTGAGTCAGAAGAATCGTCAGTCTCGGCCGGTAGGGGGCAGTCTCAACCACCTGATGGACTACACAGAATTCGCTTCAGTAAACGCATGGTATGTTTGCCTTCGTAACACACTGAGATCGATGTGAATAAAACCATCGCAAGTGTAACACAGTTGCTGACTTATCTTACCTTCAAAAACAGCTTGGAAGTTCAAAACTCATTCTCGCGCTTATTTAATAACATGGCTAAGTTTCAAAGATAAGTTATAAGTTTACCAAAGTTAGTCGGTCCACATTTTGTTTTGCAATCGTTTACACATAATCCGTGAACTGGTGCAAGCCAGCAAGTCTGGTTCCCTGACCTGACATTCCCAGACGTCTGTAAGTTGCATGAAGTAGGGTCCGGGAACCAGACTATATACACGAACAATATTTTTTTCTTGAGTTTTTTTTCCAGCTTCTATAATACAAAACTTAAAACAGGTCAGTGTAACAATATTTGCTATACTACCGATAACCCCCAAATCCATCCATTTCTGAAAATTACAGCAATGCGTAGGCAACTGTTGTTTATTACCTTTCACTTGGGCCACTTTAGACCAAGGCGCCATAGGGCGATATTTTCCCTATAACCTCATGAATATATCTTACCTGTTGTCGTCAAATTATTCTTTCGACTGTCTTTTTCTCTCTTTAAAGGATTGGCGGTGATTGGACAAAAAGTGGCCTTAACGCGCAGATACTGAATGGACAAATGACGTCAGGCAACCCAATTGGCTGAATTGTGAACAATAAATGAATATTTTTGTTTTATATTAATTCGGTGATGAACTATCTTAAACTTTTCCGCCCGAATTGCTTTGTTATGGACCACGGAGTTGTTATAAAAAAATGTAATTCGGGAAGGGAAAGTATATATTTTGTTAATTTCGTTTTCATATCTGGGATTTTAAATGAAAATCAGCATTGATAAATATTCATAATATACGCCGATATTAACAATGAACACCATAGTAAAAGGTTGCTTTTTTATTTAATACACCGGCTAGACCAACATGTACAATACAGAAATGTATTCTGTGAACTACAGAGGAGTTGCTTCAAAGTTACATTATTCCCATATTAATCTCGTACTAAATGGGGGTACAAATGGGGTATTTGTCAGAATACTTTCGATATATTTCCAGAATAGTTGGCCGACGAATAGTTTTTTTTTCCAAATTAGAATAGAGGGTGAGTTAATGTGCTATATCTTTCGCAGTTTTATTTATTATTACCATTATTATTATGTTTGCTTCTTTTTACGGGTCAAACGTAAAGCTTAAAAAACAATAACGCAGAACGGACTATTCGAATTAAAAAAAAACGTTTGAATTTTCAGGAAAATAGAAAACTAATATTAGGCCTATTTAAAACGTGTAGTATAGGAATAAATAGTTCGCTCTCTGTCTCGCAACAGATTTGGAAAACGTACTGAACATTTGTATAGTTGTAAAATGATAACAACGCACAAAATCACAATATGTCACGGAAGAAAACTCCGTTTTTAAAATAACAATATTGTTTGTGCTTGTGGTGGATTTAATTAAAGGCCTAATGCGACATAAAGATAAATTTCAATCCTCACTTTCTATCTATAATCACATTTATTCATGTAAATGTATCATTAGGGAGACACGTTATCATCAAACGTTGTGCCTTGGGGAGACAAGGTATATAATGTCTCCCTGATGTTTCAACTCCTATTTCTTGGCAAACATTTCTTGTCGAAAATAGGCTAAATCGATTCTTCGTGATGCAAAACATAAATGAGAAAGTTTGGTGGGAGTATAGGCTCATAAAGGCAAGGTTAGGGTTACGGGTCATTAAAGTTTGTTTGTGCACGAGTCTATGAGAATGTCTCCCTTAGCTATGATTTCCCGTAATTATTATTAGGTGTTCATGTTTCAAAAAAAGAAGAAAAAAAGACGGATGACAGATGAGACGTTTAACTTGTTCATTTTTTTCCTGCCCGGAAATGCAAGCATTAGCAAAGATGAACCTTACCAAGCAACTTTGTGAGGTTATTTCATTCATAGATTATTTATAAAAATGAACAGTTACCATGTCAGTGACATGGCTGTCTTCCCAACCAAGGGACGTATGTCACGTGAAATGGGCACGCCAGTATATAACAGTTAATGAATTCTGCGAGCAATATTGTGGGTTCATAAGTTGTACTTGACATGAATTTTACACTGAAATAGTTTCTTTGTGTGCAAATATTCATTTATCTCAACCGTGTAAAAATAATGAAACACCTATTTTGTAAAGTTCTTTTTTTTAATATGTTAAATGTCCCAGACCTGACAACTGAGGGCGCTGTTGCTTAATGTCGATGTCAAGTCAGGCTCTCACTTTACAGTTTCCCACAAATTAGGAAACAAATTTTATGTCATGGGAAATATTCGTGCATACTTAATAGAAAGTTTGCATACAGCCAAAAATTTGCATCAAAACTAAAAAGGCCCCCTGACCTTCAAACTGCCGATACGACGATTGAAAATTAACTTCTGGAAAACAGGGACGTATGCCAAGAAAAAAACAAATGTTGAGCATATTAATTTACGTAAACTATGTCACATTTTGTTTTAAGAAATTGACCACTCCAGACATATGAAACTGCAGTATCCACGTCTCATCTGTTGCTATTTTCTGAGTCTGAGCACGATCGTAAATTGCCTTGTATTTGGAAACCGTTCTGTTACATTCAGTGGTATCTCTCGATTATATTTATTGCTTTTCGCTACAGATTATTTATTACCATTTCTGGTTTATATAAACACGTAATTTGAAGCTCAAAGGATATATTGCAACACATTATAAATGGTCTTCTTTATACAGACACTTATTGAATCGAAAAGAAAATTTTGCATTTCATTAAAAAGAATAACAATTGAAACAAACAAGTAATTGTTACTGTAATTACGCAAACGAAATAAACATAAACGAAGTACTAATGAGCTTTCAGATTTACGCGATGTTGTGTGTTTTGATTGAGGAGCCCACACTTTCAGAGCTTACTATGACAGTGTGTTGTTATTATTAGCATAAAGACTCAATCTTTGCAGTTGTTATGTTCGGATTTTAGTGATTGTACAAAAACTTGACACACGGGAAAATTCTGTATATTAATCATGATTAATGAACTGGACGAATAGTCTGAATAAAATGAGCTTCAAAAACTGGAAAAAAATCGTTCAGCATGGATTCTTTTTGCTGCTTTGAGGCTATTTGTATTAAAGTAAACCATTCAGTTTCTTTTTCAAACCTCTCTCTGTTTGTTGGGACGAAAATTCCGTTTTAGATGGTATTTGAAGAGTGCCCTCATTGTTCAAATGGCAATAATTTTTTTTTTGCTTGTGAAAAATTAATCCACATAGGGGGAGAGTTGGGGATATGAGCGTTGGACAGTTTGTCGTTCAAAGGGTTAACACGTGACTTGGATGCGTCACTAAAACTGATCTCTATCAAACATGGAAATGTGGTCACTAACGAATGCCTAACCAGCACCATTTTGTAGTTTGCTGCGCCGTCGAGGGCGCTCTCCAATGAAATGATGAGGTATAGATCTAAATCTCCGCGAACCGAGCATAAAAAATGTCCACTTAACTATTTAACTTAAAAAGAGGGCAAACTTTAGTGAATTCAGCAGCAAAAATATTGTAAATGCTCTGCTGTCACACGGCGCAACGGGATATCAATTATTGCGAATTAATCTCTGAAATTTGATAACATTGATACAACTAAGTGGAGAACCGACATAAAACTAGCCAGCTGGTGGCTGTCTTATCTCAATTACGATACTTGAGAACCAAAACAGATGGATTTCGGGTCATTTTTCATCAACCGCCATCTATATAGTTTATAACCGGTAAACGATAGCCGTATTGCGATATTGGGCCATATATATCAAACGCAGTTGTTCCCGATATCAAATGTCACGACGCCCTTTGGATTAGCATATATGGACTAACTAAACGTATTCAAGTCTCCTATTTGGTCCCTGGGGCGTAACTTAATGCTCATTTTTGAGTTGTATCAAAGTTTAAAAATGAAGATGAGTTTTATATTAACTGACATCAGATGAGTCTAGAACAACAGGGTAACCTCGAGCTCTATGTTGGCATAAACATGAGAGCATTGGGAAGGGTGCAAACTCGACAGTTTCGGGACGCTGGAGAATAGAAAAGCAGGACAAACAGCAGCTGATACTTCATAGATGGCGCTGTTCACAATGATTCTGTACTAGGGGCCTATATGATTATGCGTGCAAATTATTCAAAACAACATTGCGTCTTGACCTCTAGATTCTGAATTTCAGCGCGAGCCTTCTTTCGTGTCTTTGGTGACCGATGTCATATGAGAAAAAGATGGCAGCTGTTGACCAATCAACAGCTTTGGCCAGATTTCATCTCTAAATGACGTCACAACTTCTAAAGGCGGCTCCGATTGGTTGTTGCGCGGGGCCGCCGCAATGTGCATGCTCGCACACGTGAAGGTCTGATCCTCAGGCTAACCCCATGACAGATCATCTGAACAAAAACCAGTAATATACTTTCGCCATTGAAGGGGGCCTTCGTGATAGATGTGATTGCGTGCCCGGATTGGTCTATACTGTGCAGATATACTTATGTATTTGGCTTCTTAGACCCGATATATCAGGAGGAACAAAAAATATATCAAGTGTAGAACAATATTTGACGGAAATGTCACTTACAGACTCTGCAAGGCATTGATAAAAGTTTGCTTTCATAGTGTATAACAAGTGCTAGACAAATTACATGTACTCTTGAAATGAGGATTGGCAGTCTCTTGTACTCAAACTTTGGAAATTAGCAACTCAATTTTGATAATTTTAGGGATGCCACACCTAAAAAAAAAAAACACCGGCAAACACACCGACTTTTAAGTACTTTTTGGTAGGCTATAAATATAGTTTTTGAATATTTTCCTTTTTTCCTCTGAAACGTTCACTTGCACAGTCCTAGTGCAATTACATTTACATCCGTTTGTGCGCCATTGCCCAACTCCACTCTTGTGTAATACGATGGAGCTATGATATCACGTGCGCAGTGGTTGGTGTGCGTGTGGTTACACCATGCCGGAAATGAAAGGAAAATAAATGTTATATCAGTTGTGTCGGTGTTGGTCACACAAATATTTTGCGTTTCCTTCCTCCATGGTTTATTAAGCCTGGAGGTCATACAGAGTTCCACAAGCTACCAGCATAGCAGTCTGGTCGAAATATGAAGGGTAAGTCTAGCCTAAAATCATAATCCTGTTTATCTTTCAAACTTCTGACTGATGTTAGACATTTCGTCTACTTCGTCTCCACTAGTTATTACTCAGCTCCAAACCATTTACCATCCAGAATACTCGTATCAACTAGACTACACGTGTACTTGTCACTCATAGGCACTATTACATGCAGTGTGAAATGCACCATTGTTGGACTTGTAGACGCTCAGGAATTTTTTACTTTTTTCAATTCACAGATCCAGTCATTTCCTGTAGCCTGGGGCTCCTAGTAGTACTGGCATATCTACAGATACACGTTGGTAAGTGCATTGACTCTGTGTTGTTGTTCCGGTCGGGTGCCATTTTACGGTTCCCATGAGTTTCAGTTCAGGTTAATTGTTCGAGTCAAGGCATAATGCTTACATTTTTTTGTTACATATAAATGACGATGGATAAAGGTATTCATAATGTGTGGGAAGTCGCCGGGGATCCACGTCAAACAGGTGAACTACCTACATTGTATACAATGCATAAAATCTTCTGCCGGCAGTTGGCGCACTGTACGCCACTGTCCCCATACAGCTCTGCACTACGTTTCGAACTGGAAAGTTTATTCACGCAACATACAGTGGAACTCGAAGAACGTGTCCGTTTATTTTAAATCAACGTCTTTGACGCCTCGAAATGTAATACAGGAAGTACAGTGATATTTTACTTGAGACCGTGAGAGAAATAATAACGAGGATTTCAATATATCGAAAATGTTTTTGTTTTCTAAAATATTTCACAAAATAATACTTGATTGCCTACAACTCTGATTCATTACGGAAGCGTGAAAGGGACATAATACAAACTAAAAAAAGAAGAAGTCAGTCATAATTATGACTTATATCTCATAATTATGACTTATTATTAAGTCATTGTTATGACTTATATCTAATAGTAATGACTTAGTATTAAGTCATAATTATGACACGTCTCATAATTACGACTTAGTAATTGTTAAATCATAATTATGACTTACATCTCATAATTATGACTTATTATTAAGTCATATTTATGACTTATATGTTATAATAATGACTTAGTAGAAGTCGTAAATATAATATATAAGTCATAAATATGAGATATAAGTCATAATTATGATTTAACAATTACTAAGTCGTAATGATGAGATATATATCATAATTATGACTTAATATTAAGTCATTATTATAAGATATAAATCATAACTATGACTTAATAGTAAGTCATAATTATGACTTATTTTTAATTTTTTTAGTTTGTATTATGGCCCTTCAACGCTTCCGTAGATTCATACCAAAATGTACGCAAGAAAATTTTATTTGGGAAACATATCTTGATCATATAGCGGCCATACATGTAGGCCTGGCTATCAAATGAACTTCAAAGTTAAAAGAGCCAATCTTGTCAATCAGAGTTTTAATCTTCTGCCACTTATATCTCACAGTTTCAACATTGAAATGCTACACGTGCACCAACTTGGTAGCCAGCAACAACAACTTAGGAGTTTTGCAATCGAACGACGCATGCGCAGGTGCGACCTTTGACCCAGACAACGTTGGCCAGAAAGAGTGTGGAACCAACTTCGGGCAGACAGCCATGTGCGAGAAGTGGGAAGGGAAGTTCACTGTTAACGTTCCTCTTGGTGAGTTGATGATTTCTATCTTAGTGAAGGGAAAGTTCGATCGGGAACTACACAGGGTGTTTAAAAAAAAAAGGTAATCCAGTAATCCTACTTCAAACTCTTCTTCAATTCTTTTCACGCTCTTATGCTCTTTCATGTCGAATGTCCTCCGGCAAATTGCGCCGATTTTGTTCGACATGAAAGTGAACCAACCCCAATTTTGCACCACATTTTCAAGACAATGGTGCTCAATGATGCGTGACCCTGAAGGTTTACCAAGGTATCACTGGAAAGCACGTAGCTTTAGCTTTAAGATGATACCCTGCTTTTTACTGGTAAATGTATAGTCTGGCCATATAAACCCTTTTAAGTAGTATTACCTTTTTTAAACACCCTGTATTAGTTGCCTAGTGGTTGACTCGTGACAGTACAGGGTGAGTCAAAAAAGTAAAGAATTTCTGCGTGTAGCGCTTTCCAGATCTAGGATTATTTTGAAAGCCCAATTAATAAGCCTTCTTTTAGTGAAAGAATCATTCAAATCGCTCATGTTCTTTTCCAGTTATGGAATTTTTGAAAACAAACACCGTTTGTTAACCATGTCCACGGATCACATAATTTAAGGTACGTGATATTTTAGTAAAAATGAAATCGTGTCTTATCCTGAAAATGATACCAAAATAATGAAATAAGTCTCCGGGGTAGCAAAGTAAAAGGCAGAGCAAGACTATAAACTCTTGACACTATAAAGCTTGTTATTTTAACTTTGGAAGCAGCGGGTTTTTAAATAAATGTTATGATAAGTGTTATATCATGGTTATGAGAGTGTTCTGATGTTTTATTTTGTTATGTGAATAGTTTTCGTTTTGATGAAAGCACTTACTTTTACGGTGTTTGTGTTCAAAATTCCATAACTGGAAAAGTGCATGAGCGATTTGAATGATTCTTTCACTAAAATAAAGCTTATTAATGGGGCTTTCATATCCTAGATCTGGAAAGCGCTACATGCAGAACTTCTGTTAAAAAATTGGGGGCACCATTTGGGTTTCCTTATTTTTGTGACTCACCCTGTATGTTGCGCCTGCGCGATCAGATTAAAGCGTGAACAGCTCTTGTCAAGCGTCGACCTGAAACTTCACGGTCCTATCCTGGCCCCCTGGCCCTGCAGTAAATCATGAGGCACGTGGCTATTGTAACCAGCGATGGCACTCAGACCTCCGATTCGACGGACTGATCTGAAACAGTAGAACGTTGTCGGCTAATGCGTTGTTTCGAGTGAAGTTATTCGAACTATGGCTAACAATATAAAGATGTATTCACGCTGAATCTTTCTCCTTAGTTTAGCTTTCAGCGGTGAAAATGCGTACAGTGCTTGAGGTTGCAAGCAAAGGGCATTCACATCTGTGGCTTGGTCCTCTATAGATCCTTTGCATTAAACAATTGCTCAGAGCTGGCTGCTTTTTGATATCACGGTCTCTAGTTATTTAGGGATGTTCTTTTGTGCGTGATTTTCATGATAACGTTGAGGTCGTACCTTTTTTCTTAAGCCCGGTTCATACTCGGCGCGAAAGCGAACGCGAATTTGTGACGTGATGGCAATATTCGCGCTACGAATTCGTAAAGCCCGGTTCATTCTCCACGCGAATGCGATGCGAAGCGAATTTGACGTCATGAAACATTCGCTACGAAATTCGCCCAAGTTGAAATATGTTCAACTTTTACGAATTCGCAGCGCGAATTCTCGCCGTGACGTCACAAATTCGCGTTCGCTTTCGCTTTCGCGCCGAGTATGAACCGGGCTTAAAAGTTGAACATGTTTCAACTCGGGCGAATTTCGCAGCGAATGTTTCATGACGTCAAATTCGCTTCGCATTCGCATTCGCATGGGGTATGAAGCCCGGTTCATACTCTATGCGAATGCGAAGCGAATTTGACGTCATGAAACATTCGCTGCCAAATTCGCCCGAGTTGAAACATGTTCAACTTTTACGAATTCGCAGCGCGAATACTTGCCATCACGTCACAAATTCGCGTTCGCTTTCGCTTTCGCGCTGAGTATGAACCAGGCTTAAACCAGGTTTTATGCTTCCAACAGTTGGGAATACCGAAATCAGCGGCCAGGTTCGAGGGTGCTCCATTGTCCCAATCGGTGAATTGGTAGATGGCTGCGCTAAGTCCACAGAGCTGAAAGATGTTGCCAAGACAGCCGTGGGATTCATTACATCATTGTTCAGTGTCGATGGGGTGGAGGGGACGTACTGCTCCTGTGAAGGCCGAGACTACTGCAATTTGGCCCCCGGTTTGTCCAGTGCTGGCACAATGCTAGTTGTGATCAGTCTTGTGTTTCATCAAGCCTTTATGTCACTTGTACTGTAAATATGTTAAGTGTAACATCCTTAGTGATTAGAAACGTCCGATATTACGTCAACAGAATGTTTTTATACATTTTGGTTTGCCACGAGTGGCTTGCCAAGTTTACATTCCGTTGTCTATAATGCAGCCGTGCACGCGTTCCATTTACCATTTTGTAAAAAATTTCTATATATAATCAAAGGTATGCAGCGATTTGAATGTTTGATACTTCTTCATTTTTGATACTTCCCTCATGCCAGGGTTTTCAACTACATACATTTTTTACCTGATTATTAGTGGCTCAGCGGCGTACGGCAAACGTACAGCTGCAAGGACACTCGTTTCGAGCCTTGTTTAAAAGTCTATGACAGAAGTAGAGAAGATGAGACAAAAATCAGTTTAAACGGTTGAACTGACTGCATGCCTGCGTGAAAAAAAGTTCCTCTATTAAAAGACGTGTCTCAAATGCGACACTGGTAAAAAGTTTAGTTCATAACGGCAAAAAAGTTGAATATAACTCCGCTCACTTGAAAGGATAAGTTCAAGTATTTTGTTTTCTTTCTTGATAATCATCCTGTGTGTACCATACACTTACCATTAAATGTTCCAAGCAGCAACCTCACAATTTTTGTTCACACGCTCGTGAGTGATTGTGTATGGGTATGGATGCTCGCTCCCATACTCTGGAAATATACTCAAATTTGACTAGAAAACAGTCGAACTTCTCCCCAGATACCTGTAGCATCTGTATAGACAGCTGACTACAGACAGTCTTCTGGTCAAATCTACACTGTGAAAAACACATAGGCCTATAGTTAGATTCGACCAAAAAACATTCAAACTTGTAGGCGCTATGCAGCTGACTACAGCTTGGGTTAGCTGGGTGTAACTTTGACTTGTCAAATTTAACTAGAGTGTTTTCATAACAGAGTGATATAGGCTTTTCGTTTTAGTGCAAGACTTTGTTTTGAGATTTTTTGAGAACTTCGCACGTGTGTGTGGAGAAGTTCGTTTTTCAAGATTTGTCATGTTAATAAGGGGCCAGCACCGGAAGTTTTCAAACGGCCGTGACAGTTAGAATAGCGGGGTGGTTGAGGTGTTAACCTCAGGGGTCGCTGCTCATAATGTGCGCTTTGAAAATCCGCATCCCCCCCCCCTCCGTCACCTTCTTTCTGGCAGTTAATATTGAGAAGCTTATGCTTAATCACCAAAATCATAAATAGCCTACCTGAGGCAGTTCGCTCATTCCTAATAGTACATGGTCGAGAGCCAGTCAGTGAGGTGGTTTTAATCACTCTTCACGCAATCGGCGATGATATTAAAACCGGCCCTTGAAAAATGACAATATATTTCTGCTTTGCAGAATTGTTTGAAGTTTTGGGGAAGTTAGTAGTTGATAAAACAACTTATTTTACGTCGGACCATTATCGGCGACCACGCCCCAAACCGGTTTTAAACCAGACGTTTAAAACCACACTAAGACACTGTAATTCCTTTATTGCAAGATTGCTCGCGACGGTCACCGTAAAATATGGTGGGCGAAGCTACTGGAACACTCCACTCATTGTCTATAGGCATATGTATCCTACATTCACTATATTATACCTCTGAAAACAGTGTTCACGTCATCTGTGACGTCATGCCCGGTACCTGTTTGTAACAGGCAATGACGTCATTCAAGTTGGTCACCGACACGCAAAACAACCACCTTAGTATCTTTCTTGTATTACTCCCCCATATTGTATAGTTCAATTCAATTCAATTCAAAGTAACGTTTATTTCCACATAATCATAAATAAAGGACAATAAATATAAACAGATGTGGAGGCACGTTCCAAAAAAGCGGGGCTTGTCAAGGAACAGCCTGTTTACAAAAAACAAAACAAAGTAACAGCTTCACAATAAACGAATAAACATAACAACACCTATAACAAGAACACAAACTGTGTACATGTATACGTGTACGACGACTAAAATAAGAAAAGATATGATTCAATAAGAAAAAAATAATAAACCAAGATCAGAAAAGTAAAGTAAGTGGGGCTTACTGAGGTGACTGGTGGATTAACAAAGACTTCAGTTTGTGTTTGAAAAAAGCGAGTGATTTACATTCAGAAAGTGGTAAGGGAAGACTATTCCAGTTTTTCAGAAATATATCAGTTTTTAGTAAATGTTATTGCGTTTTAAAACACCCGTATTTTTTTTAGTGATGTATGTGCAATACAGAATCGAACAGTTTAGGCCTACTGAAAGTTGACATCACAATTACCACAATATCAATATTTGCACACATGTCAAGTGTGACATGGTCTAGATAGAGTATTATTTTTTTCGAACGTCTTGTTCAGCACCTTGAATAGATACCTCTGAAGATTAATGCCGTCAACACTGCTGGACTTGTTTGACATTTCTAAACTCGTTTGCCAATTGCTTCCTTCCACAAAACCCTAAAGCTAATTGCACATCTCACTAATTACAATGGCCCTTTTAGTCGAGGTGTAGCAACTACTACTAGCAACTACTTTGCCACTTGTGATCATGCTTTCATTTGCATGTCGAAAGTGTGGCACTTATCTGACCGTGAAGCTACGCCACCCCCCCCCCCCAAACCCCACATGTTAATGACACCCTGACTTTGCATTTGTAATGCGTAACCTGATCTAACTGGTACATGGTCCTGGATAAGTAACAAGTTGTGACTACCGTTTTCCATGTAACACTAGTACTCGTAACTTGGAGGAGGTTACATTAACATAACTCGCCAAATTTTCTGAATTGCACCATAACATTTTAATTGAAAGTGTCTAATGATGCTCTTGTTTTGTTTTGTCATTGTTTTTCTTGTCGTTTTTTTTTTCGGACCGTCGGATCGCCAACAGTAACTTAGAAACTTACTTGGCAAAATGCCAAAAAACCTCCCCAAAAAACCCAGAGTTAAGACTCGACCGGAATAAAACAAACTAAACCTGTGAATTTTGTTAAACATTTTGTCATTGAAAACAAACCTTATTGTAGGTATTCTGAAGCTTTGCTTCGGTTTCTTTGGTCCCAAATTTTGGATAAATACTAAAGAGGTTTACCTATACCATGAGCGCCTTCCTATTCATAATTATCTTAAAAATGCTTATCGGTGTGCCACTTGTTCATTGGCACATCTTCTGCTTCTGGAACATTAAATGCTTTAATACCAGGTCAGCGTTTTCGATTTAATTCTATACATGTATTTGATTTGGATATTTCGGGCTTCCAACTCACTCCGGAGCCACATGTGAAGCCACAGCTCGAAAAGAATCCTGGATTTGAGAAATCAGGCTGGTACATCCTTTCTTTGATTAATTGAAACTTTCAATGAGGAACAAGCCAGTTCGAATTACCAAATACACTATTGAGCCCATCTGTTTGCCCCTTCGGTTGCAGTATTTTGAGAATGTGAAGGTATTTTCAAAGGATGATGATATTTCCTACTGATGGATATAGCTTTTCTTTGTCCGTTACTGCACTTGTCCACGTCATATGGCAAAACGAAAGCCAAGTTAAAACAAATAGTGGCCTTCATTTCCCTACTGTGTACGTGAGTAATCACTGTAAATTTTCCCCCTGAGTTTGTTCACACACAATTCAATATGTGAGGCAGATTATGTGACTCAGAAATGAGGCCAGTGTGCATTGTGTGTACGCGCGATGCTTCGTTGGCTTTTTAAGCTCAAACATCCTTATAATTATTAATAGGCAGCGGCTACTGCTGTCTGTGATATCGAAATCGTGATGGCGTGTGCAAAGCCCATTGGCTATCAGCTGCCGGCAGCTTGTTCGCCACTACCACAATCATACTGTGCACAGCATTGTTGATGAACGCGTGGATAGGTCATGCGCGTGGTATCTCACGTGTGATGCACATCACACAGCCTTCATCACTTATCTACCGTAGACAGGTATATGCTAATGGACCAACGTGGGCATTTTGTGTACCGGTGTAACTTATCTCGTACCTCCATGGCATCGGGGCTTGTACTTGGGATTTAGTCCATTGATTCAAGCTCAGGATCTCAGATCTCAAAATGTACATTTTGAAGGTAAGTGAATTCATGATTATAAACTGACTATACTGGAGTCTGATAAAAAAAAAACACCTCGAACTCTGGCATAACAGCTTTTTTTTTTTTTAAAGAGGTTTCCACCTAACGCATGCATTTTAACGGGTTATCTCGCCAAGCCATCAGATAAAAAGGTTTCGATGCATGTGGCATTGTCTGCTTTATGGTTTCAAGTCTTTTACAAGTGGTTGGATAGGCCTAATGCGGTAATAATACAGCGCACATCCATGCATGTGATCACGCGGCGTGCAAACTTCTGACGGGAGTTAGGTTTAATACGAGTAAAGAACAGACTCCAAAGTAGCTCGGATAAAGCAAAAGATAATTAAAACCAAAGGGAAAAAACAGACACAGAATCTTTTTTTAGGTGTACATCGATTCCTCTTGTGAAAGCCCCCCCCCCCAAAAAAAAAAAATTACTGACTTTTTTCAAATCCAGAAAACAATTAGATGATTCTGCATTGTTTCATCAAAGTTTCCACTGGTTATATACAAAGATCAATGTCTTTGCCAAATAAGGTGCTCGGTATATATTTTTAAAAAACCTACTCTCTGGGGATTTTCATTTTAATTTAGCGCAATTTTAATGATACCTTTGTTTATTTGTGTGTTGCCATTCGGCAGTTGTGTCTCTCAATGCTGATGTATTTTTACCAATTATTTATAATGACTGTGGCTGACAACAATCCAAAAAGACATCATTGAATCTGCTCAGAAAAGATCGACGCAAAGCATGCACGCAAAACACAAAGGCACTTTGTTTCATAAAAGATTTCTACGTCAGTGTACGAAACAGAAAAATGTCTTTTCCCCTTCAAATTATTTATTAAGACACCAGGAAAGGACGTGACGCAAGAACATTAACTCAGAAAAATTGAACGAGACAGAAAAAAACCCACTTCAGGGAGTATAGTGGTTGAAATTTAAGGGAATGAAACCCTAGTAGGCCTATTTAATTATATTTTGTTCTATTTTCCGAGAAATTTGTTTTTATTCCTTGTCAAACGCAGGATAGGACTCAATTAAAAAGCATTGTCAACTTGATGTTATAAAGCGCTGAAGAGTCATTCAGTCACGTAACGCCTTCATTGATTTATTGATATTTCGCAGCTACCGCACGCGGTTTCAACAATGGCCCTCCGGGCTGTTGTCAAAAGCCTATTGAATAATCGACAAACCTAAATGTCCGTGAAGTTGAACAATAAACAGAGCTTGAAAATTAATCAACAGAGGAACGCGGGGGGAAATTTTCTGGGGTAAACATTGAGCCTCTGTACTGATGACGTCACACTTTGCTTACACGTGTGCTTTCGTATGGGACCTGGTGAGGATGACGGTTTCGTAGCGCAATAGAAAAGTGTTCGCATAAACAAAGTGTGACGTCATTAGTACAGAGGCTTTTTGAACCTGTTCCGTGTGTTTTTTTTAATACAGAAAAACAGTTTGACAAAGCGGTTTGTTGAAGTATAGTAAGTAATTTTTCGGTGTTTTTTTTACAACAGTTATCTGATTCGCATTGGCCCTAGCTGCCATATTGCTTCATACCAATGGTTTACAATATATTGTGTTGGTATATTTCTCCTAAATTGTAACGTCGCCAGTTGATGACAATTTTCCAAACGTGAAATTAGAGACCATCGCTCAGTAGCGGCTTTTTTTGCTGCTTAATCAGTGAAGCATTTACAAAAAGGTCAATATGGTGCGTGATTGTTCACATCTTTGTTTTTGCTGAAAAAAAAACAAGCTTGAAAACTGACACGTGGGTACTGTGTTATAGGTCAATACTGAAAGATGTTTTTCCGTAGCTTTTTTTTGGAGTTTCATCCCGAAAACTCCTTTTTTTCTAATTTGCCATTTTTAGCAACACATAATTTATTCATTTTGAAAAAAAACAACAACAATCGCCTCACGCTGAGTTTGTTTGTAGTCAGTACTTTAACGAACTCCTATAAATTCAAGCATATGGCTGAGATGAATCTAAAGACTCGCCCAGCATTCACGAAAATACATTACACCTTGTGTATCTCACTATTTATCGACATGGAAGTTGATTGGCAGTCACGGAGGCCCTTTTATTTTTAGTATCCCTCTCTTGCGGTCCCTTTAATTCATTTTGGGACGGAATCATAGTAACCCGGGCAAACTAACTGCATTGCTTGTACAAATTCAATCAAATGTGAAGATCGGGAATTGAGTCTCACCGGGAAGAATGGAGTAATCACGCGAGGATGGGAAGAGGCTCCAACGTCGTGTTTGTAGCGCAAGACGTCGCTCGCTCTTGTCCCTTATCTAAATCTTCGGATATAATTTTGTAAAAAAGTGAGGAAAATGCATTCTTTTGTTCCGTTATGCAATAAAAGTGTATATTTTAAGTCCGATTTAATTTGGAATCCGGCGTGAAGGCAATTCGCGATTTGATTCTTCCATGTCCGTTATTTTTATTCACTGAACATTTGAGCAATGTTCTGTTCCACGTGTATTTATGTCATGTTACTTCAATATATTTTGTAACATGTCAACAAAAAATAAGAGAGCCAATTGATAATTGATAGAGTTATCGAAGATCTAAACGGATTACATAGTACAGAAAACGCAAAACTAGCTACAGTCGGGTTGTATAAATCATAAGTTTTTTGTTGTTGGTGTAACTCTGTTTTTTTTCCAATCCTTAAACGTTTATTGTAATTTGTTTATTCCTAAAATCCATAAAGGTGCTAGTGCTAAGTGATAAGGTGTGTCAATGTACGTTGAGTCTTCTGTCCATCGTAGATTTCAGGAACAATCATTACCCTATAAAAGCAGACAATTTCTAAGAATTTTTTTCTGTGACAATCATTCCGTGACCAATCAATTCGATGTGGGATTTTTTTTTTATTACGCTTTCGTACAGCGAACGACCAGATATAAACGGGAACATGGCGAATGATTACAGGCGAATTACAACCGATTATAAATCTTATCGCTTCGCGTTTAGCGATAATACTGGAATATTTATGGGCTGCATTTCTAAATAATTAATCAATTTGTGCACAATTAGTCACAAATGAACTCTATACCACCGGCACAGTGTCACTTATCTACACCGTTGGCATGGTCACTCGATAAAACTCATAATTTATGTAGGTTATCGAACAGAAACAAAACCTGGTATAGTGGGCTGATCAACAGATGGTCAACGCCGAATTTCTAGGCGTCAGCCCAACCCCACGTCTCCGTTTTATTAATAAGCTATAGTCTTTTTGTATACGTCCGTTATTATAAATGGTATTATTTGTTTTTTATTTGGTGCACCATATTTCGGTTCACGAAGGTTCATGAGGTGGACGAGGAGAGACTGTAGGTTTGCATCAACATATTTTGCGCTTCGTCTTTAATTTTCGTGAGATTGACAGACTGAATGATTCCATCAGAATTAAC